TCGCTGCTCCCGGGGAGTTCCTTGATGCGCTAGCCAGGTGTGAAGAACGGCAGCAGCATCATTGGGAGCTTTCTGTGAGATGTATATATCAATACATTGCTCCTGGGCTTCATTGCGCTCATGAGAAACACCCCAAAAGTGAGCATCGCCGTCTGCAATGCCAAATCCAGTATCCAGACCCTTATAAATGCGGACTTGGCGAGATTTGGCCAATGAAACGAGGTCGTGAACGGCACTGTCGCATCTTTCACGCTTGGCTAGAGTTGACCAAGTCTTCAGCAATATCTCCTCTTCGTTTCCTTCGACGGCATGCAGCATGTTCAGCTTTCTGAGATGGACTTGAGTCTCCACAATGGCCCAATAATGTTGTGCCCTGGGCTCTGAGGTCACTGGAAAGCATCCCAGGGCTGACAATTTCTTGCCATCGTGGGAGGAATCCCAAAAGCTTGCCCGAGGGGGTGCGCGATGGACGTACTCGGGTGAGGAGTAAAGTTGGACCGTTTGAGTACGTATCAACTCGAGTTCGGGAGCCAATTTATTGTGTTTCAAAAGCTCCGAAGCACGAATAATCAATGTATCCAAGTCTTCCAAAGGCAAATGTGCGATTTTGCTATTAGACGATCCGTTGGGAATCCAAACCTTCCTGGCCTCAGATGTCCAAGACTTTTGAAGCTGCCCATGGTATTAGCTATGTCATTCTTAACCTGAGAAAGGGTTGGACCTTCATACCTCAACAATTTCTGGTCGACGCAGGTACTCAAAACCACTGAGCGTCTGAGTTGCGCAGCTGTTTGTGGCCTTCAGCAACACACTCGCATCCTTTGGTCCATGCTCAATCACTGCGCCAAAGTGTTCAGCCAGCTTTGCTGCCCGACGAACTACGGATGGATGGGGTTTTTGGTCCCATTTGTCAAGGAAGCCAAGGAAAAAATCAGCTCTCTGTTCCCGCTCCGTGCCGACTCTGGCCACAATCTGACGGAGTCGCTTCGCCTTGAAATAGTCGCGACGCTCCCCGTTTGGAAGGATGCACGCATTCAAAATTATCAATCCCGAAGCGTGTATAAGACTAATGGAATCCAGCGCTTCGGAATCATGTTGGCATGAGAGAAGCACGGGAATATTCAAAGAATAAAGTCGTTCCAAAAAATAATTTACCTGTCCGGGCTTCTTGGGAATAGAGCATTGAAGCGCAAATCCGGCCAGCTCATTGCGAAGATGAATGTTTAGGAGAAGATCGATCGTTTCTTCGATGTGTGAGTCTTCGAGAGCGTCCGGACCAAAAGTATCAATGTCAATATTCGCTAGACTCATCTTGTAGGCAACGTGTTCCACGGTGCACATGGATGAGTGTGAGTCGCCAGGCTCACCTCTGACACCTCCCCCCATATAGAGGGGCAGCACCACCAGATCGTATTCCCGATATGAGCCATTGGACGACTGGACATCGAGTTCTGATAAGAAGGTGAATGATTTGTTAGAACGGAACATCTGTAACGCTGGCCTGCAGTCATCTCTCGAGCCATCTGTCTTGACAATTTTCTCCTTTGAGGTCCTGAAAGCGGTTAGCCAGCACCGATAGATAACACTTAGCGCACCTTTGACTTACCACAGTGACTTAAGACCATCCTTCAACAGAAACGTGATGATGTAATAGGTGAAGTAGAATAAGACAGGGATTAAGAAGGAGCTGAGAGCAAGTGAGATGTTCACCAACTGGAACGTATGGACGTATCTCTGATTTTCCGGAAGGATGCTGTTGCAGTACACTTTAAACCTAGAGTTACTGCAGTCATCAAAGGTAGGATTCCATGACCCAGGCTGAATGAAGGAAGCCATTTCGGAACAAAGAAAAGGAAGCAAAACGAAGGGATGAGGAATCAGCTCCTACAGACAGAGAGACTGGAGCAATGAAAGCAAAGTTTCACTGGCGTTAGCATATGACTGGAAACCGCAATTAATGTCAAGGAAACAATGTGCTTAAATGAATGTGTTTCTAGAAATATCCATGAAACAGGTGGGAAACAACCGAGCTGAGAAAAAAGAATGCATGTCAACATTTAATACCGGATGTATGGGGCGAAAAGGATATTACACCTTGAGAACAAAATTGAGCGCGGAGAAACAAAATTTCTTAGCCATCGTAACGCAATGCTACACTGCTAAGCCATTCCGATTATTACTTTAGGCCAGCGGTTTCACAGACATAGGTATGCGCATCTTTTCGGACAAAATCGTCCGCTCATTTCGGGGAAAACCTAAATAGCAAGTATTGAGGCCTCAACGTCCCCATTATTGTAGCAGGAACAGAGCTCGGAGATTAAGTGTTTCTGTGGCTGGGAGAGAACCATCAGTAGTCAGTTTCAACGTGACGCTAAAACTATGGGCAGGCTAAACCACAACAACAGCACTCTACATAGCCCCTCCCCCCGGCTAGTTGCCCAGACATGCACAGACCATGCATATACAGGTCCTGGTTTTGCCGTCTGAACTGCAGCAACTAGCGGCGATCCAAGCACAGACGAATCTGGAATCGTGGGATGTTACATCCAACGATAGAATAGTATAGTACATTACACACACAGACCCGTGAAAATTGCCGCATGGGCATACGGACAGACGCAATTCCATCCTCATGGTAGGCTAGTGGTGAGGCGGGAGACTGAGAGCTGGGCTTCGATGGCCCGGAACTCCGAAAGAAGACGGGGTGACATTCAGTGTTTGCCAAAATGACCCTATCTGCAACCTCAATGGCCGAGGAAATACTATGCCCATAGAATAGCCACTAATTTTCAAAACGTTCTGGCATCAAGGATCCAGACTATGAGTGGTTGTGGAGCCTCATGTACTAGCGAAGCTACCCAAATCCACGATTTAACAACGGACTGCGTATGATTTAGTTTAGATTGGATATCCGAGTGTACGGTGAGGGTCATTGATTTGTGATGCTAAACTGAAGTCATCACCGTTCACCTTTGAGCAGTCCGTTGGGGTTTCTGGACTCACAATTTTCTCCATCGTGATGGCGCTATGCGTTATTACGACATGAGATGCGCACCAGCAAGTCTTCAAATTCAACAGTTTGTCCACTCGGAAAGTTCAAATTTTGGCACATAACCTCGAGGACTTTGTTGAGCAGTTAGACTCTCTTGCTTCATCTACCATTCTTATATCTGTTCATTTCATCTGGATCCTGCCCCAGGAGCTTTAACTGCAACTCAAAAGTATCTCCGCTACAAAGCAAGTAATACAACCACCAATCATAACACGGATTCTATCCAATTACACTTGAGGATGTTGTCTTCGTCTTCCACATCGGAATCACTTTCCGTTTCCTCCATTCTTACAACCCCGGAGCCTAATTTCGGCGATGACTTTGCCGGTCACCAGGAGTCGTTGACTTCAACCGCTACCTTTACCCTAGTCATAGGTGGTCTTGGATACATTGGATCGCACACCTCCTTGGAGCTCCTCAAGGTTGGTTACAATGTTATCATTGTCGATGACCTAAGCAACAGCTTCCACAGCGTCTTCACTCGCGTAAGGAAGCTTGCTGAGAAGTACTGCCATGAGAGTCACCGCAGCATGCCTATCCTGCACTTCCACAATCTTGACTACAGGAGCAAGTCGCTGAGATTTTTGCTCGAGTCATACTCAGACCTTGCCACAGTTCCTTCAAGCTCTCCCCACGGCTCCCCCGTTCTGACGCACAGGTCCAAGATTACAGGCGTTATTCATTTCGCTGCGTACAAGTCTGTCAGCGAGTCCATCTTGAAGCCTGCCCAGTACTATCGCAACAATGTGTGTGGCCTTGTTGAACTGGTTGAACTTCTTGGCAAGCACAACATCCGCAACTTCGTCTTCTCCTCGTCTGCCACTGTGTATGGCACCAAGGCAGACGAGGGGCATCCGCTCCGCGAGGAAGATTTGATTCACCATCCTGAGGTGTTCATGGACGAGAACGGCAAAGAACAGGTTAGGATGCCTGTGGTCCAAGGGCTCCTTAGTCCCTATGCTAGATCCAAGTACTTCTGTGAGGCCATTTTAGCAGATATGGCTCTATCGGATCCCGATTGGCGCATTGTTGCCTTAAGATATTTTAACCCCATCGGATGTGACCGATCCGGTCTCCTTGGAGAGGAGGCTAGGGGTGTGCCCAGCAACCTGTTTCCCATGATCAGCCGAGTACTTACGGGTGAGCGAAAGGAGCTGGAAATATTCGGCACCGACTGGGATACAAGGGATGGCACTGCGATGCGCGACTTTATCCATGTCTCGGATCTGGCTCGGGGCCATATTGCGGCCCTCAGCGCCGACATCAACACGCCGTTCCGCAGCTTCAACCTAGGCACAGGTAATGGCACCACTGTCCTGGAAGCAGTCGCCAGCCTAGAACAAGCATCGCGCCAGCAAATCCCAGTGCGACTGGCTCCACGCCGAAATGGTGACGTCGGCTCGTGTGTCGCAGCTAACGCGCGGTCGGTTAAGGAGCTCGGCTGGTCTGCCACCGAGAGCATCTCGCAATGTGCCGCTGACCTTTGGAACTTTATTTTAAAACAGCAAGTGGATCGAGCACCCCAAGTTGGCGATATGTATTGAATATGAGGCGCTAATACAGCCACGTCATCCATTTGCTATGGGCTAGACTAATCAAACTTCAAGAGTTTAAACTTCAAGTGTGGGTTGGGGTAGGAAAAGAAGGGAGCTAATGGAATAATATCGTTTCTGTGTCTTCTTTTAGTTGTTTCTTTATTGTGGATTTCCTCTTTGATCTATTTAAAGTATAAAATAAAATTATCTTGTATTAACCTATGATCTTGGGTTTCATAGCATTCACAATGACATCAACTCAGACCAGGGTTAGATCTAGCGTTATACACTACTGGCCGACTGGGTCCGTGTCCTTGATGCCATATAGCCCAAGCGCCCAGTCTACTGCCCGTGCGTTAGGAAAATTATATAGCGTCCGTCATCCCAAGACGACTCGGTGTTTGACCTGCAAGGGCCACTTCTCACCATAGCGGAGCCATGACCACAACCAAAATCACAACACCACGTTATGGCCATGTCCCAGGTCAGCCATTTGTTCTCGTACCTCTCTATATTTATCCCCTGGGAAACGCTTGGCAGCCGCTTTTTGACATTGCGTACTCAATGCCCCACGTTGAATTCGTCGCAATCATAAACCCCTGCAATGGGCCTGGCACGGACGCGCTCCCGGACGCAAATTACGCAGCAGTTCTGCAGAGGCTCAGGTCCGTTCATAACATACGACCAATCGGCTATATTCACTGCAGTTATGGCCATCGGAGCCTTGATGCCATATTTCGAGACATTGATGTCTATCATGACTGGAATCACGACTTACGGCTAGAAGGTATTTTCGTCGACGAGACACCATCGGATCCGAAATTGCTTCCATACATGTCCGCTATTGCCAGATACACGAGGAAGAAATGGGAACAGACGTCTGATCGCTTCAATTTGATTGTTTACAATCCGGGCGTTGTCGTTGACCCAGCCTACTTTGAAGACCCCAATTTGGTGGTGATCTTTGAGCAGTCTGAGTCTCATTGGAGGAGTCCAGAAATTCAGAAGTCTATCGCTCAGGTGCCCCTAGAGTTGAGGTCCAAAGCTGTTGCAATCGTCCACTCCTTAACGGAAAGTCTCTGTGATGCGGCCCGGCTCACTACTGAGATACGTTTACTGGGTTTTGGAGGTCTCTATTTAACGGAGCAAGGTGGTGGTGGCTTCAGTAAGTGGCCAGTCATGTGGGTCACGGTGGCTGCGGAGATAGGCGGGAAAAGTAGGTCCTGTTAAGCCTATTACCTGTTAGCAGGACAACTAGGTATAGCAATTATAGCAGTAGCCACTATATGAGTCAGACTTTAGCACGACTGGGAAGAGAGTGTTATTGTAATTAATTTAGGTGGCCTAGCTATAAGAATAAAAAGAGAAATAAAGAAACAGAAGAGAAATGAACACAGAAGGAAAGGACAAGGCGTAAATATATTTCTAATCTGCCTCGCCTAGCAGTAAGCGCAAATCCTTTTAAAGAAGGCGCTTGATTTGGTTAAGTTGATGTACCTGTTAAAGTGCCTTCCTATCACGAGATTGACCGCCGTAGTCAGCCTTATAATATGTTATGTTATGTTATGTATATTTTTCGTCCGGGGGGCCGTAGGCCCCAAAAAGTCTCCTAATGGAGCACAGGACGTGCTGAGCTAAACTATCTACAATCGCTGCCGTGCTGATTCTCGATCGGACCATCTGCAAGGCCTCTTGGATCGGAGCCGTATACATGCTCGAGCGTTTTCTGTACTCATTACCCCCAAGAGGCTCCTCTCTACTCGTAGCTCGCCCTACAGTAGTTGTCGGTGAAGCACGTCCCATTGGACATCAATACAGTTGATCCTCGCAGAGCTTCCCTCCAGCAGCGTCTCCCATCTAGTTCATCCAGCATATCATCGGCACAAAGGCGCATTTACTTTCAAGAGGTCATCCCGTCAGCGGGATCTATTCCTCTCCAGCCTAGAATTCTCTTGCACGGATAAATCAAGTAGCTTTCCATACCCTGAGGCAGGAAGTCCATGATCCCCTAAGATCGCCAGTAGCTGCAACCTAGGACCGTACATCCTTGGGGAAACCCCTCGCAGGGAAAAACCCAAGGCGGCTAGAACGCTGCTCTGTGGACAAGGCAGTCGCCTCGTTCCACGGTCTCCAGGTAAGCTCTGTACCGTTTCGACCCAACGGTTTGGTCTAGAGGTCTCAGCCAGTGAGACAGATTGTCAAAGCCTGGTGGTGTTCCAGGCAGCAGCCGAGGCCGCAAAGAAGAAGAAGGTCTCTGGGCAGTACGCGACTGCAGAGATCGGTCAAGCAACTTCCGAGCTGCAAAAAGGGCAACGAACCATGTGGGATCCGTGCGTCAAGGTCGAGGGCACCAGAGGGCCCAGAAAGTCGAGCAGCCGAAGGCTGTTTGTGTTGTTCGGGCAGCTAAAGCTGCTGTAGTCGGTCGAGGCAGCGTTAAACTGCAGGCGAAGGTGAGAGTGAGAGTGAGGGTGCGATGACCCTCAATGTCAAGCAGCAAGATGCTGCGAATGTCGTCTGGGCAGCCGAAGCTGCAGAAGTCGGTGTTACGGGAAGTCGAGGGGCACAGAGGCCGGAATGTCGCAGGCTCGCGAAGCCGAAATGTCGAGGTGAGAAGAAGTCGTAGATAAGACAAATGAAATGGTGCCCGGAGGCGATGTCAAGAGCTCGCGAAGCTCAGTGCCGTTGAAAACACTTGTCACGAAGAAAGGTCAACTCTCTGAATCCCTTTCTTCCAGCAGCTGTTAGGGTCCCGCTAGTCCCGCAGCTGCTTTTGTTGCCATTTTGGCCTGTAAAAATTTTCTGCCCTAGCAGAACGCTAACAGCGGGTGCCAAGGAAAAATTTTTACAGGAGAGAGTAGTCTCAGCCTTATAATAATGGTGTTACTTTTTGCTATAGGGTAACTTATCTCTTGGATATGAATATTTTCGATAACGTGGATTAGGATTATCGCTTAATATTTATAGCTTCTTTTGTTTATACTAGGATAAGGTGCTTATAAGGTAATTCAATATCTTATTATATTATATTTCGTAAATATAGGTTTACCGAACCGTATTCTTCTTGATGTAACAACACTTGTATTTACTGAGTATTGACAGAAATACTGGTTTAGGAGACAGTATACTTTAAAATACTCTTAGGTTATGAATGTAAATAATAATATTTCCATATATCAACAGATTATGTTTATATTGCTCTTGTTATTATTCCCCCGCGTTACTAACGACCTGTGAATAGCAGTTTGTCTATGAAAAAAGTACATAAGGAAATCACACGAGACCTTATCAATTAGACTTTTTCAGATCGGTTGTGTATGACCTCTCGTCACAATATCGCACCCAACCGTCCAGATTCATTTTTTTAATAGCCGTACTGAAGTCCTTGGTGCCTGTGGCGTTGCTCGAATTGCCACATATCGCATTAACCGTTGAGTCTAGAACCCTATCGGGAGCTCCTGCAGGATACTCTATGTTGAACACGGGTTTCCCGTCTTTTATAAAGGCCGCAAATGTCTCGCACTCTGAATACTCGATGCACTGTTCGTTGACTGAAAAGCGCACGACGTCAAGAACCTCAGGGATAATATCGCCATTGTTTTTCAGACCCGTAGACATATTATAGGCGGCAGCTGTCTCGGATAGGAATTTGACAAAATCAACAGCATCGTCTTGAGTAAGGCCAAGACCATTATCGTTTTGCTTAGCATGCATTAGTTAGCAACGCATCACATACCTAGATCGTCTACCAACTGCACAATTGGTGAGATGGGGGCCAACTTACGAAACCATCGACGTTATCGGGATCAATAGCATCACAGCCCTTCTTTGCAGCATACTCGATGCGTTTCTTCATGATGTCGCGTACCTTTCTGTTGCGAACATCGACCCAACGTTCACCAGACCAACCCTCAAGCTCTTTACCCAAGTGAGCTTCTTCAAACTGGTCCTTATCGTCTCTCCAGTTCTCATATGTCCCTGCACTGAAGTAACATATGACCTTCTTGCCAGTCTTGTGCAAAGCTTTGAAAGTGTCGGCATCATTGTCGAAGAGATCTACATCGTAGATTGCTACATTGGGCTCGACTTTGCCGCCATCATCAATCGCAATGGGATCGAGAAGCACAATCTGCCAAGATTCCCCGACTTTGGGTTGCCAGATGTCTGTTTTGTTGTGTCTTTTGTTCGTGGCACGATCATGCTTTTCTGACCCATGATCCTTGCGGGAATAGACGACGCCTAAAACTGCCCCAAGAGGAATTGTAATGATGAGGAGAAGCCCGACGAGAGGGAGAATTTTCCACATGGGCCAAGAGGTCTTGGCAGCGAGGCGTTTGCCAAAAGGAAGCTGTGCAGCGGCCATGGTTCAGGAGGAAAGAAAAACGCCTGCTTAGTACAGGACGGGGAATGAGAAACAACTTCGGAAGCAGAAAAGCGGCAGTAAAGGATTGGAACCCTTTTGTACTACTTCCTATCGCATTGCAAACAGTTGTCAAACATTGAACCGGAGAACCCCGAGATACTATTAATAATGCATGTTTACGATGTAATTAGAGGGTAAAATCTTACATAGAGAGAGAAAAGGCCACCGGAAATAATAGCCCGACACGTTACATCTGTTAAGCAACCCCACCAACTAACTATCAAATATCGTTACTTAGGATGCAAAACGGGTCATTAGATTAATGATAGTCTGAGAGGGTTGAGAAAGTAAAGACGCTAAGGACAAAAGTGACCTAGAATTATGTAGTGATGTAATTGTGCTTTCTTTCTAGGGTAATAAAATAAGGTTTAGAGATGAAAGGTATTCGTCCTTGCTGCTGTCTCGCCTAATCGAACGCCACTTACAAGCTGCTACTCTGGAAAAGATCCGTGTTGAGGGTACACCAAAGTGCTAGCCATCGCTATGTCCCCCTCCTAACGCAGGGGCCGCTTTAAGATGACACCACCAGGATGACTTTAAGTGTTGAGTTTCGGCGCGGGCTGCGCGCACGGTTTGTGCTCACGCAATGCACTGCCACGCATGGATAGGAGATGTTGGTGTCTGCTGTGGACGCCTCACCTGCGTGCCAAGACTGAGAACAAGCATGCGCATCATTGGTGTGTAGGCGGCTATTAGCGCGGGAATTATCTGATTAGACCGGTGGGAACCGGATCATCACGGCGTTTGGATCGTCTTCCAATTGAAAGAGAGCCTCGTCACTGTTCACTCATAGTTGCCTTGTCAAGACCGCCACCACCAGTGAGCTATGGCTTTAATGTCGAAACCGTAGCCATTTTGGCAAGAAGCCTCCTCCTGACGGTTATTAGACTTGTCCGTTTTTGACCTACAACAGTTTGACTATTGAGTCCTGATAATTTGAGCTGTTGTGAACATTTTTAGTCCTCTGTTCTATACTCTAGGCTTGTGTCTTTATTAAGGATACCATGTGCTGAGATTCAGCCTCCTTCACTCACCACTCGTTTCTCATTCTTTCTTTCATCATCACTTTTTCATGTGGCTTAATAGCTCCACTTTCCTTCAAGACTCGTCCTGTGTTGTCACCCTTTGAGTTTTTGTCGTTACTTCGTCACTCATTCTCATTTTTCGATATCAAAGTCGTAATGCGTTCCATTATAGGGTTTGTCGTCGCTGCCCTCAGTTTGCTGGGAGCTAGCGACGCTCAGACGTCTTCTGATACTCCTGTCACTGTTGCTTCCGCTGCTACCTTGGACTCTACAGTCCTCATCATTGCCCCTGATGAGTATTCGGCCTCGACTGCTAGTTTAGGTCTCCAGGGTTATGGTATCCCCTTCGAGAATCTCTTGGTTCCTCAAGCCGGTATCGATCTGCCATCCATGAACTCGTCTGCCTCGCACGGCAACTATGGTGGCATTATCGTCATTGGCTCTGTCTCGTACAATTACGATGGTAACTGGCACAGCGCTCTTACTAATGCCCAGTGGACCACCCTCTATGAGTATCAGGCTAATTTCCATGTCCGCATGGTCCGTATCAATGAGTATCCCGGTCCTCGCTTCGGTAAAGTAGCAGCTAAGAAGTTAAACCAATCTCGGTGGTGACTAATAAAGGTGATAGGTGCCAGTGCCATCGCTGGCGGATGCTGTGACAACGGCGTGGAACAACTAGTTAGCATCACCGACACCAGCGATTTCGTTACTGCCAATGTCAAGAAGTACGTTGTTAATACCGATGATTGGTTCGAGGGGACCACTTTGGCTAACAGTATTTAGAAACGCAGGATTGTCTACCAAAGGTCTTTACCACGTCCCCGCAACCATTACCGACACGAGCACTACTCGTCAAGTCGCTGAGTTTGGCACTGCGCAAGGGTTTTCTAGCAAGAGCGTTGCTGCTGTAATCAACAACTTCAACGGCCGTGAGCAGTTTGTCTGGTTCCTCAGCTGGGCTCCTGACTGGTCACAGACCTCGGCATTCCTTCAGCATACTCATATCCACTGGATGACTCGAGGTCTTTTCCTTGGCAAGCGAAAGATACACTTGGGGTGCCAAATTGACGACATCCAACTCCACGCTGAACTTTACTATCCAGCTGGTCAGCTGTTCAAGATCCGGGCTGATGATCTTGACGCCCACGTCAACTGGCAGAATAACCTCAAGACCCGATTGCCTGCTGGTTCCGACTTCAGATTGGAGCTTGCCCATAATGGTAATGGAGATATCATAGCTGCCACAGGCGGCAATGGGAACGAGCAGAATGTGTGCGTTCCTGACTACGCGGTAGACCCTGAAATCCCCCCCAACACTCCCCTTGAATGGGTCAAGCCTCCTGGAACTGGCACGGATCTCTGGCCTGCAGAGTTTGTTGAGTATGGTTGGTCATTGTCTTGTGCCAAGCGCGATGCCTTTGCCAAATGGTTCTTGAACAAAGACAACCTTAATCAGTTTGCACACCTCTCTCACACCTTCACCCATCTGTCGCTGAACAATGCCACATACCATGATGCCTCTCGAGAGATCCACTTCAACCAGGCCTGGATGGCCCAGATGGGAATTGACAAAGCGACTCGATTCTCCGCGCATGGTCTCATCCCCCCCGCTATCACCGGCTTGCACAACGCCGATGTTATTAAGGCTTGGTTAGATAATGGCATCTCCTATGTCGTTGGTGATAACACCCGCGTTCCCTTGCGCAACCCAAGCAACAAGTTCTGGCCTTTGATCAGCACTGTCGCGGCAAACGGCTATGATGGCCTTGTCATTCTGCCTCGATTTGCAACAACTATCTACTACAACTGCGACACGGCTGAGTGTACCACAATGGAGTGGGTCAATACATCTGGGGGCAGCGGCGGTTTTAGTGACCTCCTGGCCCAGGCTAAGAATGACAACACGCGTTATCTATTATCTCTGATGCCCGACCCTTATATGTTCCATCAGGCCAATTTGCGCCAGACCGATATGCCAACTATCACTGTGGGAGATCAGACCGGCAAAATGTCCCTCGTTATGTCATGGGTTGAGACTATTACTCAAGAGATGACCCGGTTGACGAACTGGCCCATTACTTCACTCAAGCATGACGACATCGCACAATATTTCCTTAACAGAAAGGGGGTTGATGATTGTCATCCAAAGCTCTCATACACCTTCTCTGACAATGGCCTGTCTATCAAGTCGATAACCATTACTGCGGATGGCAATCAGTGCAGCACTCCTATTCCCGTTACCATCCCCTCGGGTTCTGTCACTTCATCCGGCGGCTCTGCTACTGCGGACCAGGTCGGCACTGAGCCTCCGATCCAATGGGTGAAGCTCAGTGGCTCACCTGTTACACTTACACTTAGCCAAACTGTTTCTCTTTGAGGTGTATTCCAAATAGAGATGTATTAGATCAGTCTGTTGACTATCAGAAGATCTTACATAGCTTGGGATTGTGTATATTACCATGCAGTACCCACCTGCCGTACAGCAAAAAAAAGTCTCCCCATACAAAATGCTTATTGTCACTTACACGGTGCTTACCCAAAACTGGACTTATTGACCTAAAACAATGTCTGTTAGATTGAGAATTGCATCAGGTTTGGTATTATTAAACTGACTTTTTAATCGCTTGTGCGGTATAATCGTATGGCACTAGTTAATCTAAAATGTCTTAAAATACCTCCCTTATTCCCTAGCCTCCCTGAAGCTTTATTAAATCTTTTCCTACACCAGCCTGCTTTTTATCGCTTCGAAAATGAGTGTCCTATACAGAGAGCAGCGTTATAGATGCTATTCTAGACGTCATAGATAATGGTCTCCCGCAGAGCCAGGCCGCCTAGAAAAATGGCATGCCTCTACCGTAGCTGCAGCGAGGGTAGCTGCATTGAGTGGTGAGGACGGTGTCTGAGCCAACCGCCTGGGGGCAGGTGAAACACCAATGGTGCCGTTCATAGCTGCAGGGCTGTTCTGCAAGAGGGCTGCATGGGCTCCTCGGTTTAGATTGGCGGGAGTATGGATCCTAGATTAAAGGGGTCTGGGGGCAGTTGGCAGGATTGTTATAGATGACGCTATTGCCGCGGCTTGTGACTATGCAAAGCGTAAATTAAGACATTTATTGTGTACATATTAAGGATTTAGGTATAGATAGGGCTACTTTCTTAATACTTGTATGCTAAGAAAGTGTGATGACAAAAGGAAGTATAATGCGGCGGGATTTAGTTCTACCGTCGTATAGTAGGGTACCTGATGCGCAAACTGGCTGCTGGACTTGGTAATATATGTTAATATAGGTATTATCTAAGTTATAGTGGATTAGAAGAGGTACTAAGCTTTATATTTAATCCAAGCTGTTCTCCTATCTAAGCCCAGGTTCTAGATAGAAGGCTAGGGTGCTCCGCAATGCAAAATAGCTAGATAAAGAACTTGTTAGTTAGTTCTAGGCGATCTGGGAATAATTCAAGGTGACTTGCAACGGCCAAGCTCTTAATGATCCTAGCGTGTGGTTGTATATGATTCGGTGTGTATTGTTGAAAGGAAGTTAATATCGGGTCTCTTGATTCTAATTACTAGGTTTAAGCAGCATGTAGTAGAGCTAGGGCCACGGGAGGTTAAGAGGGAAGAGCTCTACATTTTATACGTATAAGTATAAGCTTTGTAAGGGAGCGTTGCGCTGCCATATGTATAGAAGGGTATATTAGATGGGAGGTTTATGGATGCAAAGCAAGGCTAGGGGCTAATATTGAGATTAAGCTAATGCAGTGCCAGCTCTCGCTCTCTTATTAGTAATATGCGAGTTATGGGTTTAGTAGGTTAGGTGGCGCGCGAGCTTGTGAGTGAAACCAATACTGGCGTTAAGTTAACCGACTAGATATTAACATAATACCTCCGGCTTGTGCTACTGTACGCAGTCGTGGTGGTATTTCGACGAAATACAACAAATCTGGCCCGTGCACGCTGCCGGGTCGTCCGTGCACGCGTCATGTCTGTGTAGGCGGTCAATAGGCGGACGGGTCCCGTCCCAGTTTCCATCTTTGGTATAATTTTTTCCGCTATCGGATTATAGGCCTTCTTGTTCCACTGCCTCAAGTAGTTTAACGAGTCCCATTTACCAGCTATTCCAACGAACCACTGGCTTGAGGTGAAATAGCCACGACATATCTGCGTTCCGAATTTACTCCAAATTCTACTAGAGCTAGAGCTGTACCACAATACAGCTTTCTTCCTCTTCCATGGCCGAGTACAAGGCTTCTTGTTCATCGATATCCTGCTAGGCTATTTCCCAAAGCTCACCGATGCCTCTTCTGCTTGTGAACAGTCGCCCGTTCTCGGTCTCTCGAGCTACTTGTGCTTCGATGCGATCAGGCTCTGCTTTGTCCCAGTCTGAATAAGCCACCATCTCTTCTTTGGTCCATTCTCTTAGGCTCGTTGAGGTTGCGCAGCACCTCCCCATCTGCTTATAATCAAGACACCAGCTGTAGATTGCTTTTGGATATGCTAAAGGCAGGCCCATTGCTTTTCTATACTGGCGGTTACCTAGTGAGGTTCCCGGTGGCTGGGCCTTATACCAATCATCTCTTGACGTGATGTATCTCTGGTGGATTGCTCGTGGATCATCGTACCTCAGCCGCGTTGAATCTGGAACTGGATCTTGCAAGTGTAAGGGTGACGATACTGACGGTCCGATAGCGGAGCAAACTATACCACATATGGAAACTGGGACGGGACCCGTCCAATTTTAGAAGGACGGGTACCCGTCCGCCTATTGACCGCCGTCTGTGTATTTCGTTAAATTACCATAAACACTGGTCCGTGCACGCGTGATATCTCTAGCCCATCCAGTTAGACTCTCCATTCGTATACAGCACCATCACTCTCGTAAACATCACAAGAGTACCAAGGCAGCAAGATCTCAAGGCACTCCTTACATACTAGAAGTCAGTCCCATAATGGCTAATCATACACTTCTCGATAATCTACAGCTCTTCTATGATACTGGCGCCCGGCTCCTAATCTGCACCAGAGACAGCTGTCAATTCGCCCTATCCAATGGCCCATCCCGCGTAACAACACATCTCCGCGACAAGCATAACGTTTCCACCGACGCAAGAAAAGGGCTCAATCAGCTTCTTAAATCCCTATCCCCCGGGCCGCTAGACCCTGAGAGTGCATCAACCTTAGGCGATGGAACGGCCGAACACGATAAGCTACGAGTCTATGAAGGCTTCGCTTGTATTAACTGCCAGTTTCGTACCATAAACATCCAGTCAATACGGCGCCACCAGTCCAACCCACCGGATGACTGTGGATCTAAAGCCAGCCTCACTCGCTCCAGTCGCCGTCGCGACCTTGACCAGCAGTTTGAGTGTGTCTACCTGCAGACATGGACCACTGGGTCAGCACGGAGATACTGGATCATCAACAGAGGTGGAAGTATGATCCGGCAGGTAGATAGCCCTGCAGTGCAGGCTCATCTGCGCAGCGTGTTGACAAGGGAGTTCAATCGAGGAAAACTCCCCAATGAGATGACGGCGGCGCCTCCAGTCGCACCGACCGACACGACGGCATTTGCATTACAGACGCCTTGGCTGGAACGGACCGGCTGGGATCGAACGTATAACAACAAAGACCGCCGTGAAGTGCTCACAGCCCTAACGCGTACCTTCACATCCCCAGGCGGACGGGAACATCGTATCGGACACGGCCGACAGTACGGTCTTGACGAAGACCTCGTGAGCCCAGGTGACGATGAGGATAGGATTGCCTCCTTATTCGTCTGGTACATGTGATGATATGTCGGTGCGAGGAGACAGTGAGGAAGACAAGCCGACACATGCTCTGCTGGCTCAGAAGCACAAAAGCGTCGTCAACGTATAGCAAGCCTTTCACCCTCGTGCAGCCGTCATCGTCGACCAAGTACCGGCTCTTGTTGAAGCGATGTCTGGCGATGGTCCTACGCATCTATCGGCTTCCCCCTGACAAGCGCCTTCAGGTAACGGGCCTGGCGCTAACTAGGAAGCAGTTACAGTTCCTAGATGCCATCTGGACCCATGAGGCCTTTAGAGACTTGGCCACCCTAGAGGAGCTCGCAGGGAAGTATAAACGCTCGGCTGGTCATACTCAAGAAGCTGCAGGACTTGGGGAGCGTAGTCAGACTACGAAGAAGGATATTGGCGATAAGTATGAAAAGGAAGTGGAAGAGGAAGACGAAGACGAAGAGGAGGAGAGCGAAGAAGACGAAATGGAAGATGAGGAAAATGAAGAAGAAGAAGATGATGACGACCCCAATAACAACAATGATAAGAATCACAATAGAGAGGGTCAAAGGGGTGATAACCACCAAGAGGAGGACAGGGGTTTCACTGCATGGTTAAATAACCTGGGTGAGATAACTGACGAGGAGGAGTATGGTATGGAGGTTGAGGGGGGTGCCGCCCCAGGGTCTCCCGAAGAGCTGATCGAGCTACTATTTGGTCTAACTCTGGCACTTGCCACCCAGCCAGTTGTCAATGGGCAACCACAAAGGACCGTGCTGATCTATTTCAGTGGCATCCTAGGCTTCTCGTCATCGCCAGACGGTAGTGCCTTCCTACCAGCCAGGTCCTACACCTCTAACCTTTCTGGACTGGTCTATATCCTCCGCCTCATATTTCTCGAATACGCTCTGCCTCTACAGGCTTATCCTACTCTTGCCCTTAAACGACGACCGCGGGTAGGTCAGCTCGAAAGGCTACAGTCGATTCGGACAAAGTATATGGTAATGGAATCCCAATCCCCTATGGAAGAGCTACTGAGTCTTCGAAACTATGGGCAAGTTATGTCTCGGACAGACACGCCGCCTCATCTCCTCCGTTGGAGCGATGATGGGCAGGTGGTGTCACTCGGAGATAAAATCTCAATCTCAATGAGCCAGTTCCGGCGATTGCCTGATCATTTCATCACGGAGGCAGTCAGGTTATGTGACGAGATGATGTTCTCCTGGGACCCAGCAATCGACTTATCCACCATCAGCGACGATATGGCTAATAATAAAGAGGGCTTCTCGTTTGTCATGCATCCCAAGAATAAGCTAGATACGGCCTACCTCCAACTCTTTGATCGAGCAAGCAAAGCGCATCGCAATGGGCTCCTTCGTGGCAATGGCTGGGATTGGCATGCTGTCTTTCAGTATTTTAAGAAGGATGGGGCACTTCTCAGCGCTATCCTAGGCGGCATGTTCTGTGCAGGCGGGCAGTTGCCGCGGTGTACTGAAGCGCTGACTTTATTATGCTGCAATAGCGAGCTTCATCCGAGAAGCATATATGTATATGACCAATCGATCGTTTATATCACACGTCATCACAAAGCAAAGAGAGCCACAAACCGCGAGTTTGTAGTCGCCCGCTTTCTTCCTGCTCAGCTTGGCCATGTACTCTACAAGTACCTCGTCTATATCCGGCCGTTCATTAACATGCTATACCGAGAGAGAGGGTCACGAGAATCAGGACAGGCGGCCGAGTCTCCTCTCTTATTTCGCGAGGATGCCACACTTGCAAGTAAATCCTGGCAGACCGGTCGCCTCACGGCAATAATCAAGGGATCCACGTCCCTGGTTTGGGGTCAACCTATTAACTCACGGCAGTTTCGTCAGATCTGTATCGGAATCACGGAAAGGCATGTACGTGAGGTATACGAGTCATTTAATAGATTCGACGACCGCAGTGTACATGCCCGCCGGAATGTTGCTTTTGCTTGGCAGAGCGGACACCGTCCGCTGCAACGAGCCAGTACCTATGGTCTAGATGGTGCATTTCCGACAAAGCTACAGCCGCAGCTGCTCGAACTCTATCGATGGGCTTCATCAAGATGGCACGAGTTCCTCTATCTGCCTAGTTTTCTGAAACATACCCCACGCGTAGAGGGTCCGTTCAAACGGAACGTCCAGTCTAGCCCGCTCAGTAGTCCACAAGTCAGAGAAGGAAACGAAGGCCGACGGGCGAGCACACCGATAGTGGTACCATCATCGCCGTCGTCCTCAGACCAAGCCTCCACCCCCGATGCTCCAGAAAGCATATCGCGCAGATCCCTCGCGCAACCGATTATATCGTCAAGCTCTACTCGACAACAACGGTCAATGTCTATTCGTCGTGATCGACCAGATGATCCAAGCTGGGAGGTTGAAGAGTTTAAAAGAGAGCAGCAAGAGATGATCGCATGTTTCAGTATGCAGGAAGAGGGTACAGAGATAGTCGATCACGAATCTCGTCAGCAAGAGCAGCCCGGCCCTGACAAACAGAGGAATCATCACATACATGGGCAAACCGTTTAAACGGTCGAATATTTCCTCAAACGTTTGAACGGTTCAAAAATATTGCAAACGGTTAAACGAACGAATAAACGATTTAAACGAACAAATGAACGATTTATGACGGTGAGAAATATCCACCGCGCCTGCTCTAATACCAGTCGAAATAATGGCCACTATCATCGTCAACGTCCTGAGAGTCACCCTCCGGCCGTGGGATTCCGATTAAACCCATCCCGTTCTCATGCAGAGGCTGTATGAGTCCTTGACGCAACCAATTGCCCGTACATTCAATCATCTCGATAGTTTTGCATGTGATTCGTAATCTATCCCATGAACATGTTCTTCTTGCCCCAGAAAACGTCCTCTCCGGCTCCGATGACTCTGCTGGGATAGAAAGAATGCAAATAGCCATGCGGCTAAGTTTCGGATACTGCTTTCTCTGCTGTGGTTGACACCACCACTCCAGAGGCGTACAATCCGGAGGGATATCTGTTGCATCAACGTTGATGAAGCTAGTGAAATCATCCCTAACACTCGCGTTAATACTCCTAACCTCCAGCTTCTTTGATAGTATCGCGAGTTGATTTGGCTTCTTTGCCAGCGGTGGTGGCATCGACGTCGGGGTGGAGGGATGGTCGCTGGGTTGCTCGTAATTAAATTCCTTTTGCCAGAATGCTGTGGCCGAGGCAATAGTATCTTCATGCCATTCCTTTGGCCAGTTCTGCTTGATATACGCGATGCGTTTACGGGGATCAAGGAGGAGAGCGGCGGCGTATACGGGAACCTCGTCAGTTAGGCGGTAGTATTTAGAGAGGATAAACCATCCCATATCGATGGCTCGAACCATCCGTTCGTCGGAGTGTTCATCCGACTGATATAGCTTCTGATACAATGTTAGTAATCGACTTGATGTGGATAGATTGAATGGTACCTGTTGTTCTTCGTAATGGAGTAACAACATATCCATCAGCATCAACGATTGTGAGATAGACGAGTCATCTCCCTCTGCATACAATGTTGCTGAAGCAAATGGCTGAAGAAACGTATGTACTTTGCCTAGCAACTCCCAATCTCCAACTAATAGCCGATTGTCTCCGATGACCTCTTCGTGATCAGACATGAAGGACTGGATTCTGTCCTTCTTCCTAATCACACGATCAATGACCTGATACCAGGACGACCAGCGGGTACGGTTATCCATCCCTAAGCGCAGTCCCACTGCCTTATCCCACGCATTCTGGTGGAGGCTTGATGAACTTAGCCACACAGCTAAGCCATGAAGCTTGCGTAATGCAGGGACATTCTCAACGCCGCTAAAGTCGTCAGCCGATATCACGGACGTATTGCTAGCCGTGCTGCCCTTGCGCTTGTGCTTTCTGGCCGGCTCTCCGTTCTTTCTCTTTGCTGTATTTCGTTCGGCGGCAGCCTTCTTTCGATGAGAGGTTAGGACCTCGGAAAACTGGGAGAGAAGCTCCTCTCCAGTGACACCGGATGCTGACTCGAGTGCTGCGACTAGAGCCTCTTTAGAAGATGCGAGAAGGAAGGCTTGAAGGGATAGATTAATGATATGCGCGATACAGCGTATACGACGTCCTTTTGCGTTGAATTTAATCCACTCAATGTCAGCCTATAGCCTAAACTGCGTAGTTAACTAACCTTATGTCTACTCATTAGCTTGCGTTGTATAGACTCAAGACATGTGTCGTTTGAAGTCGCGTTGTCACCCGTGTGCCAACCAAGTTTTGACTGTATCCCGTACTTCTCTAAAGTATCGATAACAGCCTGCGCTTGAGCTTCTCCAGAATGACTCTCTGCACATTCTGGTAGAGATAGTAGTGCCTTACGAAGCTTGTAGTCTTTATCTACCCATTGTGCACACACAGCAAGTAGAGAATGTCTATGCGGTGATGTCCAGAGGTCTGTTGAGATATGAATCGGACTTGACGCGGTGGTGAGACTGTCCTTGATCTCGCTGATGTAAAAATCATAGTTTGCTGCAATATATCGGACCATCGTACGCCGTGAGGTAATGAGGGAGTCTTTGATGTATGGGTTACAAGCGAGAGCGAGTTGTTTAAACTCGTCCCATTCAATAGCCGAAAAGGGCACTCTCCGACGCGTGAGTATGCTGATCAATGCTTCCTGATATGCTTGCGGGTTGAAGGCATTTCGAAGTGCGTCCTCGCTTGCTACAGGGCGAAAATGTGCGGAGATTGAGCGCTGGGTGCCCGATACAGACCTGGTGGATCTGGATGCGACGGGGTGGTTGTTTCTGACGTGATTGGCAGCATTTGCCTTATGGTCGTATCGTTTATCTCCACACGCAGTGCAAGTATAGATGGTTTTACCTCCAGTCTTGCGTCCGCGTGTATTTGAACGGTCCTTCGTGATGTCCATAATTGAGAGGAAGTTTGACGGCAATCCATTGACATCTGGGGGGTTTTCTGTAGCACCAATAATAGACGATGTGTCAGATGACATATTGATAGGTAAAAGGCGAGATTTTGAACTCGGTATCATGGATTGAGACCCAATATCAATGGGTTTTGTGTCGGCCTAGCACCGATACACGAATGCAGACATTGAACAAAAGATCAGTGTAGATTGAGGACCATCTCTTCTATCTAAAGAGCGACGAGAGTCGGTCTCTTATACCTGTGTTCAGTCTGCCGATCTCATAGGCAGCAGGCTGTTACCTGACGCTAGGTATGGTGTAGCGTTCACGCTGACCGTGAAGCTATTCACAATGGTCGTGATCCTTGCCCTTGACCTAAGCGAAGGTCTCCGGAGCTCGACATTTTGAAAGATTTTTCGAGTGCTAGGGCTGAAAAATCGTTTAACCGTTCAAACGGTTTTAGGATGCCCTTAAACGGTTAAACGATTTAACATGCTTAAACGTTTTAAACCGAACGAACGAATGAACGAACGAACGAAAGTGCCCATGTATGAATCATCATCTGTCCTCCAAGAGGCGGTCGGACTATCAACGGCAGGGTCTGGGGGTCGTATCCCCACCTCCAAAGCGAAAGCGAACTCTCCCTCCCAGCTTCACGGGCCAGAACATCCCAGACCAGCCTCCCGATAATGATATTCGGAAACACTGGCCATTATTTGGGCACCCTGGTAGCAGTACCACTACCAGCGCGATCAATAAGCGACAGGCTATACTTAATCATCTTGACGATCAGGCAACGTTTAAGAAGGGAGACGAGGATTACCAAGTACATATGAAGCTACGGTGCAAGGTAGGCATCGAGCTTGAAAAATGGGCTACCGTTGGCTGTCAGCTTTGTTACGTTCTCGATAACACCGGCTTAGATCACACTCTCAAAAACTGCACCGCTGCAGGTTCCGAGGTAGCACAGAGAATCCTGAGCTGGCTAGAAACGTTGCATCTTGAACGGTACGCAGGGAACGTGAATCATTGCAGCCTCTGTACCGAGACCGACCAGATATGCGAAGATATAGCTATAATGATACGCAGGTATCATGCCAACACCAAGGAAGAGAAGAATCATTGGACAGAGAAGTACATGTCGGCAACGGGTCCAGATGGACTCTGTGATAACAAGCCAGCCGTACGAAGGACCATTGCCGCCCTTTGTACGGTTGACGATCAGATTCTCGGCAAAGCGTTGACCAACTTCGTATCCAAGTCATATAATATAGATCTTACTCTGGAAAGTCAAGCGACCAAGTGGTTCGAAGAAAAGGTTCCCCTCGAAGAGACATGGGTACCGAAGCTCCTTGTAGCCTTTGACCTACTGTACCAATTACCACTGGTAATGACATCCATTACAAGTTTTTGTGGCCCGTGCACCACTCTTTTCCAAGGCGGCTAATAGGCGGACGGGTACCCGTCCTTCTAAAATTGGACGGGTCCCGTCCCTGTTCCCATATTTGGTATAGTTTTCTCCGCTATCGGACTACCTTACGCCTTTATGTTCCACTGCCTCAGGTAGTTTAACGAGTCCTATTTACCAGCTATTTCAATGAACCACTGGCTTGAGGTGAAATAGCCACGACATGTCTGAGTTCCAGATTTACTCCAAATCCTACTAGAGCTAGAGCTGTACCACAATACAGCTTTCTTCATCTTCCACGGCCGAGTACAAGGCTTGTTCATCGATATCCTGCTGGGCTATTTCCCAGAGCTCCCCCATGCCTCTTCTGCTTGTAAATAGCCGTCCGTTCTCAGTCTCCGCAGCTACTTGTGCTTCGATGCGATCAGCCTCTGCTTTGTCCCAGTCTAAATAAGCCATCATCTCTTCTTTAGCCCACTCTCTTAGACCCGTCGAGGCGGTGCAGCACCTCCCCATCTGCTTATAATCAAGACACCAGCCGTAGCTTGCTTTTGGATATCCTAAAAGGCAGGCCCATTGCTCTTCTATACTGGCGGTTACCTAGTGAGGTTCCCGGTGGCTGGGTCTTATACCAATCATCTCTTGACGGGACGTATCTCTGGTGGATTACTCGTGGATCATCGTACCTCAGATACGTAGTTGAATCTGGAACTGGATCTTGCAAGGGTAAGGGGTGATGATACCGACGATCCGATAGCGGAGCAAACTATACCACATATGGAAACAGGGACGGGACCCGTCCAATTTTAGAAGGACGGGTACCCGTCCGCCTATTGACCGCCCTTTTCCAACCCCTTGTGCCTGGGTTCGAATACAAGAAATCCTGGTCCGTGCACTCTCCTCACTCCACCAATCATTGTGATACAAAAGCTGAGTTCCCTGTTGTTGAATGTTGGAGGGTTCACCCTCAACTTCAGGATTAAGGTTCAGGATTAAAGTTTGAAGTCCTAAACTTAGATCGTAGGACTTTCATCTAGGACTTTCTAGGACTCAAGTCCTAGAAGGAACCAGTCGAAGATATAAGGTCTCAATGGTCCTTCGATTGCGACAGAATCAAGAAATATACACGATTCACCTTAATATCTGACAAGTCTGCCCACCACGACCGTCACAATGATTTCTTCGTGTATTGCATATTGCCGCTTGCAAGGACATTCTTTTATTGCGCTCCGCAGATATTATGTGCCCATATGTTATTACGAATTGGTCCTGAAGTCATAATCCTATTTAAATAATTTATACGGTATTTTGCTAGTAAATGCCTCATCAGATAGACTTCTTATGAGATTACATAAGGCAAGTGAAGCAAGAGACTTGACGGAGGGCTGTGCCGACGCAAGGGATCCCATAAATGAGGTGTATGGCATGACCTTAGTTGGCTAGCATAACCTGAGGACCCTGTGAGGCAGACAGGCATCGCGCGCAAAGCTGAGCTGGGAGATTACATTGACCCCGGAACGATTAGCCACCAGGATCGGTCGGCGATTGTGATGATAGTGTGCCTTATATCGGCGCTTGATGAAAGACAGGCTATCTTAGACTGTTAATTTGTTTCCCAGAGGCCATTAGCATGCTTAAATCTAAGCATCTAGAGATAAAGAGCGAATGAAAAATGTTTGTTCCAGGTAGTCAGCATCCTTTTAGAAGTGTCTCTCCGTCTTATCTTGTTTTATCCACAAGCCTCGTACTCGGTATCGAACAGAGCTATAAAAAGATAAAGTCCCTTCTCTCTGTAGCATCCAATTACAACCCCTGATAACCTCTCTTCTTTTCTGCAACCATCTTACAATTACATCAATAATGGGCTTTCCTGCACAACTCTACCTGGCCTGGTGTCGGAGATTTCAGCGTTGCGCCGCTACCTGCACGGAAGCCGTCATCGAAAGGGCCGGATCCAAGACAACCGACCTTAGATGCCGCTGTTCAGACCTTGGCAGCGTCGCTGCTAAGATGACTCCCTGCATTGCTCTTACGGGCGACTGCGACTTCGGCGACGTTCCCAGTAAGTTTCTTCTTGGCAGACCCTACTAGAATGCAGAACTAACCTCTTCGCCTCGTGTAGACAATACCGATCTAACTGCAAGTTTGCCACGGACTCGATTAGAGTTCGTAAAACCTGCAACCGACAAAAGGAGTGGGGCTTCGAAGCCAGGGTATAAAACTCATGGACCATTTCAGATCAAGGGTAAGCCAATGCGGGTTCAAATAAAAGCCCAGAAAGTCACTATAGTTTCACGCATACTCAGCTATAAGAAAAAGAGCCAAAGAAAGAGCTACAGTGCTTCGTAGAGATAGAAACCGAAGAGCTGTCTTTGGATCTTGATTGCGTGTCCTTGAGACAAGACAACACCATACCACTTTTATTCATAACCCTGACCGGTTACAGAAGCAAATATGCCAAATGATGAATATAAAGCAGGTTCAGCGGCGCAAAACCAACATAAGGAATCATAAACATACAATCAAACTGCCTTAGGGAAACACCATCGCTGCCATACAGCCGCATGGCAGCGATATCCGGTAGTTATATATTAACTATGCAAGTCTGGGTGTGTAGCAGTCGAAGTAGAAAACCGCAGGCGAGGCCAATATGATATTTTAACAGCAGGTATATGGATGGCTCACTGGGAGCGCTGCCTGGATCTGGTGCACATCGATTCCGACTTGGGCAGCTGTTGTGGCTTCTTGCCGCGGCGTCGGCCTGGACTTGGAGGAGGGGCGGTGAGAACTAGCTACGTCTAGAAGAAAATTTGGTTGTAGGCATTGATGCGAACGCCCTGGCCTTTCTGCCAACTCCCGATTCTGGTTCATACCTCAGAAAATCTAGTCCACACAAGGACGGATGGCACGCTGACTTCACTACGCTAAACGTGGATAACGGACTCATGAAAGACAAGCCTAGAGAAAATACTGGAGTACGACTGGTTAACTGTCTTGGGAGTTAAAGCAGTCTGGTTGAGACCGTTGGTGCCACTGATATTTCATTTTGTACATACGATGACGGTCAAGGGGGTTCATTGCCGTAGACCTAGCTGCACTAATTATAAACCGACTACAAAAGAACTAGTGGGAAGCTCTATTTCCATGTAGGAGCGAGTTGATCCAAATTCCGCCGAGTAATGTGGGAATCATTTTCGCCATTTAGCCACCCCCCGCCTTTCCTCCACCGCAAAGTGGCACCACCTCGGTTTCTTAGTCAAGAAAGACTAGTCTATATTTACCAGACCTCGGAGGAATCCATACCAGGACAAGCTTTGTCAAAGTCAACGGGCTCCTTCAGTAGCGTCGTTCGATCTGGATGTCTTTCACACTTTATCAGAAGACCGTCGCAAAAGCGGCCTGTCTCCTTGAACAGCTCAAAGAATTGGCGCCACTTTGCCTTGCCTTTCTTACTCGCCACGGAACCCCTTATATTCCTAATGAAGATCATGCAGTTCTGGGGTCTAGTGATGAGGAAGTTCCGACGCTTCACGACCGCTATGAGCCCGGATGTCGCCTTCGTTGTTGTTTCGAGTTAGAGATGCGACAATAGTATCACTTTCCTCTCCCTGAAAATTGTTCATCATTACTTTGGTGTCCCGAATTGCTATATAACTATCATTTAATGTATAGATGCACGAAGGTTACTTCGTGTTTACGTATTTCAAGCTGTTACTACCTAGTTCATAGCTAATCAACCTTCTTGAACAGGACCTTTCCTTCAACCTCATCAGTAACTCGGTTAACCCAGTCCACCTGCAGTCCAACCGGCTTTCCATCATTTCCGATCTTGAACTCTGCTGCTACGAACTCGGTGAAGTACCCTGGATTCTCCAATAATGGCAAGTAGACAACCCAATAGTCACCAGAGACGTGGTGCAGGTTCATCTGGTACTTCCACGTCATCTCCTGGCGGTCTGCAACAAGGATCTTCTCATCTGATCTGTTAGGGTGAGGCTTCTCGCGTAATGCGATGCGTCCGTATCCTGGATCGTAGTATATGCCCTGCAATTTGGTGGTATTCACGGTGGCGGGCAGCGGCGGATTCGGTCGCTCGGGGTAGAGAATATCAACAGTCTCATCTACGGTACTGCTTAGACCGTTCCAAAACTTTTGGTAGCTGTATTAGTCAGTCAATGTTTCATAGCATGACGGAAGACGTGACGAACTTAGCATCAAAATCAAAGCGCTCCTTCTCTGGGATCCCAAGCCGGTCTTGAATCAACTTCCATGCCAGGATTTCCTCAGCGGCATTCGACGTAGTGGCCGTGTTCGCGAACGCAACGACGCCATACTTGGTCTCGGGCAACCAGTAGACCTGGGCACCATAGGCGTGCAATCCTCCGCTGTGCTTGTATATAACATGCCCCTTAAAGTGGGTACGCTCCCAGCCCAGTCCGTATGTCGTGATATCGTAGGGACCATTCGGTTGTATGGATTTAAGGATTCTCGGAGACTTTATGTCCTTGTGCACCTCCTTGGAGAATGGTGGTGCTTCGTGAAGCAGGCATTTCACCCATTTAGCGTAGTCAAGGACATTAGAGAAGATAGCCCCGGCGCCGCTAAGTTCCGTAACGTTCATGAAGGGAACCTCTCCATATTTTCCTTCCTTCTTGTCCCAGTAGTACCCCGAAGCGAGTTGATATGGTGCATTGATTGCATCCTGCAAGTCGAAAAAAGTGGAGTTCATATCCAGCGGATCCCAGATCAGCTCCTTCATTACGTCTCCAAGCCATTTGCCCGTAACAGTCTCAATGACATGTGAGAGCGTGGTATACATCAAATTCGTATAAGAGAACTTGAGCCGGGGTTCGGTAGATAAGGGTAGATTCCTCAAGTTGCGAACAATATCCTTAGGCTTAATCTCCTTCCCTTCCACTACCCGTGCATAGGATTTATCGTGAGCCGCCATCCCTACGCGATGGCTTACAGCGTCGTCTAGCGTGATATGCTCTGTCGCCCACGCATCCCGAAGGACGAAATCGTCATGGATAATAGATGAGATTGTCGTTGACCAACCGTTGGCGAGAGCCGTGTGCTCTCCGAAGTTAATCAGGCGGGCTAGGGTAGTGGCAGTGTGTGCCTTTGTAGTTGAAGCGGCGTACCAAAGCGTTTCCGGTGTGGCTGGCTCACCAGGCAATATCGCAAAGCCGTATCCCTATATCTGTATCAGTATCATCAACACTCACGCATTCAAGCCGATGTTGCAGAGCGCAGAGGAATCAAGGTCATACCTCAGCGAAGACCTGGTCGCCATCAATCACAGCAATCGACAAACCCGGGACTTTCCACTTATCCAATATCTCTGTCACAAAACTGGCGAAATCCTCGGTGAGCGGAGTCTTGCCCACTGAACTGCGATCGTTCGCCTGGGCAGTTGCGTCCATCAAGGTGAAACCTATAGCGAGGCTGGTGATGAGATTCCGAAACCGCAGCATGATGTCTTATTTATACACCACTAATGCCACTTATATTTTGATCAGACAAGTCGGTTATCAGGCGGCAACTGTGATGGCGAACTGTACTTGAATCCGCGTTAGTATAATGGCATGCGCCGTATATTTATAGGAAGAATAGAAATGGATCTGATTAAGCTTCCAAGGGGCGCCGTTTATGCGTAATAACCATAAAGCTTTACGTCCATCATTCGCAAGCATCGTGGCTGAGGGAGCCAAGATTATTGCACGCCAAACTAGAACGGCACCGGTAATGTATCCATATGTGACTAATGGATTCTAATATCAATTCAAAAGTTATTTCACTAATCAGAGAAGAGATCTGGGGCAACCGCATGGGCCACGCATCTCTTTGCGTCGCCAGTTCTCTATAGAAGGGCCGAAGAACCTCACTATGACAATTCGCTTCGCCGAGTGTGCTATTGGCGTGTTTTAGGGGCCGCGCGTTCACACAGCCGCAATTCAAACTAAGCCTTGAAGGATGCCAAATTGGTACCCCGAGACTGTGGAAATGGAACGATGGCAGCTTGTTTCAAGCACGTCTGGAAGGATGAGTCAACTCAACCTATCCCCAAAGAACCAAGAAGCTCAGGAGAGCCTCATGGAGAATTCCGAGCTGAGAAGATATCCACAATAGAGCCGCCTATTATGCCTGAACCTTGCTTTGATTTTGGCCGCGGGCCACTGGTTTACAACAAGAGCCGTGCTTAAGAGAACTCAAGACTTTACTTCTTACATTATTGCAATAGGGATGGGAAACGGTCCAGTGAATGCGGCCGTAACTATAAGACTCCATGCACTTATCAGCTTGACGAAGAGTCGGTTGCCGGTTGACTGGGCGGCTAAGAATGTCTATGAAGTAAGCGTCAAGGTAGTACACGAGAAGGGCATAGGCCGACTCGAAAGATAAGCATAATTAAACACCGCTTCAACATGGCGGCCGCTCCCCCTCGCGAAGCTATCAGGAGGCTGCTCCCAGGGAAGGGCGCTAGACCCACAGACAGGAATGCCCCCCTCGCGCAAGCACGTAATACAGCCAGCTATGGTTAAGGCTCGCCATTCAAATATGGTTAGGCTCGCCATTCAAATCATGTATAATTCGCCTATTACGACGAACTTCCAGGGTGGCCCTTGTTTCCCGTTTCACCCTTGTCACCAGAAGTTCTAAAGCCGGGGTAGATATCCCTGAGAGTTATCATGCAAGGTTATTCTTAAATTTCTAATTTAGTGCATCAGATTTGCCCGGGAATCGCGATGTGGTAAACTTACATGCGATTGCTATGCAGCAGAACAGGCATCAAGCGTCAGAGACTATCTGTAAACGGATTCATACTTACAGTCGTCGATATACGGGAAATAGGGACGTCATTTTAGCGGGAATTGAATGAGGAAGCTTAGGTGCTTGCCCCACAGACTGCTAGAGTGAAGCCTTCTCTCTTATTTCAGCTTTAACAAGCGCATCGTGAAGCAGGCTGTGAGAAAAATGAAGAAGCTCAGAGACTCCCGCCCTTTGGACCCTAAGTAAGGCTAGATGCTGAAGAGTGAGTACAACCTAATTGACATCCTATTCTCCCTACGTCTTACAATGATGGCGTGTTGTTCACGGCTTTGCCAAGCTACCATCACCACATAACCTGTAACTGTAGCCCCAGGCTTTCTCGCTGGTGCTTAATTCGAAAGAGACTTCTACTGTGTACCTGCAGAGAGATGTCTGACAATTAATTAATCTAACAAGCACGTGGACATGCGGACGTAAGTCGCTACAAAGGGGAGGTCTTTCTGTGTATATGAATCCAAGAAAACGACACATGACTGCGCGGTCATTGCCTCATCTCCAGGCTTTTAGAGAGAAACGCAGACTGACAATAATACGTTGGACGTGTCCTAACATCTAGCGGCTAGTTTGCTATCCGATATGCCCCATACGGATATACTCTCTGTTTTTGCGAGTAATGTTAGTAGCCCTTGATTGTTGGCGTTCCTTCTTTTTCTGCCTTCGTATAGCTGTTCTTTCCGCTCGGCCGAGAGAGGGAAATTCGCTATCCTTCCCACGTAGAACGAGGCCAGGATGCATCGCATTGAGCATTATCAGCGCCAAGCTCATCGGAAATGCATCGAGGGCGAAAGGATAGACTTCCTTCGTTAGTAGGGGGTTGTCTGCAGTGAGGCCGGGCCCGAATTCAATCAGGCGATAAACGGTTCGAACCTGTAATACTCTGAAGTTAGCGGTGACTTGACGTGCCATGAGTTCGTTCAAGTCTCTGAGTCTCCAAACCTACCACGATGAGAAGTAATCCCGCCAACATCACCAACGTTAAACCCTTCATTCGGCCATTGTTGCAGCGAGGCACGTGACGTATTCTGCGATAGAACCACGCAGTCATGGCTCCAAAGATAATGACAAAGGTCATCTGTATCGCTACACCCGCTGTATATACTTTTGTGCCGATTCTGGCAATGTTCGGCTCGTCTTTATTTGACAGCATGCCACCCCCTCCTGCTTGGACGAAAAAGCAGATGACATCGATCCAAACGAAGATGACGGTCAGCTTGGTCGCCTTGATATTCCATATTTGCTTGTCGGCAAGCCCAAAATATACCATTCGCGCGACTGTCATATACACAAAGGCATTCACCCCTAATTCAACGGTCAGTAGCGGAATCTTAGATACCATTTGTTAACGTGACGAACAGAGTGGTGCCAACATGAAGAGAAGTTGCCCCCAAAAGGCAAACTGTTCCTCTTGTTGGTCACGGGAGCCGAGTGTTCGTGCAATGAATGCGCCTGTCTCCCATGCCCCTCCCATAATGACCACCCAGCAGAATTTCTTTTCTTTTGATCAGCAATGGCTCCTTCCCTGGATTTACTGGGGATAAATGTCAGACCTTTCTAAACGCGATTGCTTCGATCAAGTGGGCAATGGTGCTCAATCCGAAGACTGTGGCAAAGGCAAGATTGCCAGTGAAGCTCGGGTAGAAATGATAGTTGGAGTTGCAGGTATTAGGGTCGAATGGCACGTAGCCGTGCACCCCTGGTACTGCTGTAGTGCAACTGGCCATGACGGTTGAGGAGGTCGAGGTGAGATGTGACCCATGGGACATCGTTGTTGTGGCCATCGTAACGGTAATGAAGGTTAAGGGACTGAATTTAGAGGTACTGAGACTGACTGCGAGCTTGGTTTCTTGCTGTTCTTATGCCGAGAGCATTCTACGATTCCCGTGTAATCCCGAGATCCTGGCGGAAACCAGCTCTAGTGGGGAAACGCTAATTGTGAGCTAACGGGACTTTTGATACAATCCAGTGGCTTTGCAGTTGGCGCAATTAAACGCGTGGCCTCTACCATGCTAATCATCAGGAAAAGCACAGAACTCCCCACTTAACAGGCCCTTGAAGTGCGAGCCTGCCAATAGTAGTTGTCTCTTTTAATCCTAAATATGATAGCCCTGCTTTCTCGGGGAAATCGTGCTTATTTGGTGGAACCCCCCCCCCCACCACCCACCTCCTTCTCCACTGTCGTATGCTTCTTGGCCACGTGCGGGCCGCAGCTGAGTAACGACGACAAATAGGATAAGATGACAAGGCTTGCGGAACGTTGTACATAGAGGGACCTGGCGTCTCAGGTTTTGACTCCCTGGCATAGGTAAGTCAGATTAGAAGATGCCTCTGATGCAAACAGCACTGAACACATAGCAGACGTTGCTGCTCTAGCTCGACCGCCTGTCTCAACCACGTCTCGAAAAGAGCCAATCTGCGTTCTCTTGGCGGGAAAGCTTGGTTAGACCCACCGGGCACGCCAAGCGCACTAACCGGATATCGCTGGGGTTGAAAGGGGCGTGCATGTAAGCTGCAGCGCTCATATGTAAATTAAGCGCGAGGCTGACTCTTAGGGTTAGGATAGGGTTAGTATTAACTATCTAAGCTTCTCTGCCCGGCTGTTTCTCTCTAACCAAGATCTAGCTTACAAGATAGGAATATCTAAAAGAAAGACTTAGCTACTATCTCTTAAAAGAGAAGTATTAGGTAAGATAAATAGCTAGCTTATAAGACCTTAAATGCCTTATAGTCCTGCAAAAAAGTGGTTTTAATAAAGGCAAGGACTACTAAGCTTCTTAGGCCTAAATAGCTAGTTTTTCCTAGTAAGTGATCTAACCTGGGGGAAAACCAGTGGAAAACCATAGTAATAAATAGCTTAGGCCCCACTTGACGTCAGACCATGTCAAGGGTGCTGGCAGGGCGATCCGGGTATTAGGAGATTGTACGTGGATGAACAGAAACTATCGTCTACCACGAGGGCATTAGACTTGGTGATAGAACGCTGCAAGAGCACAGTCTGTGACACCAGTCGTACCCTCTTGTGCTGGCTCTCGATTCCGAAGCTTCATGTCTATCGTGAAACTACATTCTGTCTTGTGGTGGAGGAGAGCAGCGAAACTAGATAGGGTACTTAAGAAACGCCAGGTTTAGAACTTCCGGTGATAAGGGTAAAACGGAAAACAAGGGCCACGCTGACACTTGGTTCGCACGATTGTAGGCGCAAGCAGGTCCAGGCTCTAAGAAAGAGCTAGGATGCGCCCACCCTAGTGGTTTGTCGTAATAGATGACATTATACCTGATTTAAATGGCGAGTCTAAACCCTATTTGAATGGCGAGTCTAAACCCTTTTTGAATGGCGAGTCTAAACCCTTTTTGAATGGCGAGTCTTAACAGCATCCTTTTAGAAGTGTCTCTCCGTCTTATCTTGTTTTATCCACAAGCCTCGTACTCGGTATCGAACAGAGCTATAAAAAGATAAAGTCCCTTCTCTCTGTAGCATCCAATTACAACCCCTGATAACCTCTCTTCTTTTCTGCAACCATCTTACAATTACATCAATAATGGGCTTTCCTGCACAACTCTACCTGGCCTGGTGTCGGAGATTTCAGCGTTGCGCCGCTACCTGCACGGAAGCCGTCATCGAAAGGGCCGGACCCAAGACAACCGACCTTGGATGCCGCTGTTCAGACCTTGGCAGCGTCGCTGCTAAGATGACTCCCTGCATTGCTCTTACGGGCGACTGCGACTTCGACGACGTTCCCAGTAAGTTTCTTCTTGGCAGACCCTACTAGAATACAGAACTAACCTCTTCGCCTCGTGTAGACAATACCGATCTAACTGCAAGTTTGCTACGGACTCGATTTGGGTCTGTAAAAGGTGGTGTACATTAAATTCGTATAAGAGAACTTGAGCCGGGGTTCGGTGGATAAGGGTAGATTCCTCAAGTTGCGAACAATATTCTTAGGCTTAATCTCCTTCCTTTCTACTACCCGTGTATAGGATTTATCGTGAGCTGCCATCCCTGTGCGATGGCTTACAGCGTCGTCTAGCGTGATATGCTCTGTCGTCTACGCATCCTGAAGGACGAAAGCCGATGTTGAAGAGCGTAGAGGAATCAAGTTCATACTTCAGCGAAGACCTGGTCGCCATCAATCACAGCAATGGACAAAGCTACGAATGAATGAATGAATTTATTCCGCCCGGGAGGATACGCCTCATAGGGCCCACAACGTTAAATCTTGTTATATTCTTTTCCGACTTCTGGCCCTGAAACCCTCAGACCTCACCAATCCCTATTCCTAGCCACATTTCCCAGCCTAGCTTGTCCCTGCGACAGGCCTTCTTGAAGGCCAACTTCTCCAAGTGTTCAGCGTCCCATCCTCAGCGGCTGAAGCCTGGTATGTCTACCAGAGGTTGTACTATATTAGTTCTTGCTGTATTATATCGTTTGGTTTGTTAGTATATCTTGTATGTTTTCATGTCTGTGTGGCATCCAAACGGCCGACCGATTGGCCCCCTTGATCTTGACCAGGTACAGCCGCGCTCTAAGGATCTTTGCCCCCCGCATGTTTGCCACTAATGCCGCTTCTCGGACCATGTGCAATTCCGCCTCGTCTCTACAAATTACCTTGATGATGTTGGCGTTCCTAGCCCCTCTAATCACCGCTGCGCCTCTCCATCTCTCATCCTTTTTTCTTGTCCTCACGGCGGCTTCGATAGCCTGTCGGACCTCTCCGATCTGCGCCTTGTCGCTGTCATCGACGCCCGCTCCGGAGATATCTATCGTGCAGAACAGGTCCTCTCCAGGGGATGAAAGCAGCGGCGCAGGTGGTAACACTGGCTCGGGACGTCTAACACCGCCGTTCGGCCCCTCGGTTGGTGGCACTCGGGCTATGTCTGCAAACGACCGCCTAGGATTCGTATGAGCGGAACCGGTTACGGCGCGCCGCGCTATGATATCTAATTTCTCGTGGATGTGTTTGATTTCTTCGGCGGCCTGCACTTGCAGGGGCTCAATATCGCGTGAGGCGTGCTGCTGCATTCGTTTGAGCTCGTCAATCTGTTCCTGCATCAGCTTTCGTTCCTGTGCGGCTTGCGCCTGGATGGCTTGAATATCTTGTTGTAACTGCCTAATGGCCTTCTCCTGGCCTTCGATTATTTGTTTGAGCGCCTGCTGCTCCTTTTTCCAAGCGTTCTATAGAGTCTTGATGATTCTCTCGTGAGAAGTCGTGGTTTCCTTCACGGTTTCCTGCTGCGCCTTTGCCATCTGTTTCATTGTTTCGTCGTATACTTCGCGGATCAGGGCTTGCATTACTATCCCAATATTACCGGGCAAGTTCTCCATTCCTTTCGCTGTTAGCTTTCGCGGCCGGTCTGATTTGCGTGTGCTGGAATCCCGAGGACATGCGTCCTCAGAGGTCACGATGATGCTGTCCGCAACCGCGTCCATCGCGCCGTTTCGCGTCGTGTCGCGCCCCGCTTGACTTTCCAAACGGCTACCTCCACAACGTTAACAAAGACTGTAAAGACTGTAAAGACTGTAAAGATTGTCACAAAATCAAATGCGCGCCCGGGCGCCTCTGTATTGGGCGCCGTTCTGTATTCTGTGCTTACTCACCAAGAAAATCTACCTCCCTCCCTGCCTTTTTGAGGGGTCGAATGAAAGGCCCACTTCAACCATCGCGAGAAAAAAAGGGGTTCGTAAACGTCCAAAAACGGTAACCGTTTTTACGAGCCGTGCGCACGACTCGACATGACAAGGATTCTTCGACGATGAGTGTGATACAGACAGATCACGGCTGAGGAAGAATGCCTCGAAGCCTGCTGCCTTGGATTCTATCCTTTTCTTTTCTTTTCTTTTATTTCCTTTCGTTTTCTCATTCTTTGCCACTTCATCTATCGCTCTTCACTTCCAGTCTCTCCTTGATCAATACCTCTTGCACTTCTCCATCTCGCTCCTTCAGTTTTGAACCTGTTGAAACATCAGCGCCAGCAATTTGTTGACCAAGTATTCGCCAGTATAGTGGTGAGAACTCATCCATTATCTCGTTCTTGTGCGTTGTTTGGCGTCTTGTTAATCTATTTCTGCAACCAGGGCATTCTGACTTCGCCTCCGATGGCCGCCGATACCAAGCCTCCCAGTGATACCGACCAAAGTGATAAAAGGTCTCCCTCTAAGGTGTCCCACCGACCGCAAAGAACTCCAAAAGTCGCCGACTACTTGCGAGTCTTCAGCTACGCAACAAAATGGGATTTCTTCATCTATGCCCTCGCGTATTCGCGCCCTCTCACCAACTACGCGTCTTGCCATTAATTTAATCGACCCTGGTCTAAATGAAGTCTGCCCCCTGCGAAATTCAAGCCTGCTCCCTGTTAGGTGGGTCTAGAAATTAAATTCTACTCCCCTGTAAAAATCAATTCTACCCTGGGTTGTTTGACATGAAACAAATGAATTCTACGTAGAATTGGTTTTGGTATGGAGCACTAGGTTTGATACCAAGCGCCGCACAGAAGCACAGTAGGTATGTATGTATGTATGTATATTTTTCGTCCGGGGGGCCGTAGGCCCCAAAAAGTCTCCTAACGGAGCACAGGACGTGCTGAGCTAAACTATCTACAATCGCTGCCGTGCTGATTCTCGCTCGGATCATCTGCAAGGCCTCTTGGATCGGAGCCGTATACATGCTCGAGCGTTTTCTGTACTCGTTACCCCCAAGAGGCACCTCTCTACTCGTAGCTCGCCCTACAGTAGTTGTCGGTGAAGCACGTCCCATTGGACATCAATACAGTTGATCCTCGCAGAGCTTCCCTCCAGCAGCGTCTCCCATCTAGTTCATCCAGCATATCATCGGCACAAAGGCGCATTTACTTTCAAGAGGTCATCCCGTCAGCGGGATCTGAAGCACAGTAGGTACCTCCCTGCGAGCTCCTCTAGGGTAGCCAAGCCTCCGAGGGCCTCATGGGTCCAGATAGCATCTAGGAACTGTAACTGCTTCCTAGTCAGCGCCAGGCCCGTTACCTGAAAGCGCTTGTCAGGGGGAAGCCGATAGATGCGTAGGACCATTGCCAGACATCGCTTCAATAAGAGCCGGTACTTGGTCGACGATGATGGTTGCACGAGGGTGAAAGGCTTGCTATAGATTGACGACGCTTTTGTGCTTCTGAGCCAGCAGAGCGTGTGTCGGCTTGTCTTCCTCGCTGTCTCCTCGCACCGGCATATCATCACATCTACCAGACGAACAAGGCAGGCAATCCTATCCTCATCCTCACCTGGGCTCACGAGGTCTTCGTCAAGACCGTATAGTTGGCCGTGTCCGATATAATGTTCCCGTCTGCCTGGAGATGTGAAGGTACGTGTTAGGGCTGTAAGTACTTCACGGCGGTCTTTATTGCTATACGTTCGGTCCCAGCCGGTTCGTTCCAGCCAAGGCGTCTGTAATGCAAATGCCGTCGTGTCGGCCGGTGCGACTGGAGGCGCCGCCGTCATCTCGTTGGGAAGTTTTCCTCGGTTGAACTCCCGTGTCGGCACACTGCGCAGGTGAGCCTGTACTGCAGGGCTATCTACCTGCCGGATCATACTTCCACCTCTGTTGATGATCCAGTATCTCCGTGTTGACCCAGTGGTCCATGTCTGCAGGTAGACACACTCAAACTGCTGGTCAAGGTCGCGACGGCGACTGGAGCGACTGGGGCTGGCTTTAGATCCACAATCATCCGGTGGGTTGGACTGGTGGCGCCGTATTGACTGGATGTTTATGGTACGAAACTGGCAGTTAATACAAGCGAAGCCTTCATAGACTCGTAGCTTATCGTGTTCGGCCGTTCCATCGGCCAAAGTTGATGCACTATCAGGGTCTAGCGGCCTGGGGGATAGAGATTTAAGAAGCTGACTTAGCCCTTTTCTTGCTTCGGTGGAAACGTTATGCTTGTCGCGGAGATATGTTGTTACGCGGGATGGGCCATTGGAAAGTGCGAATTGACAGCTGTCTCTGGTGCAGATTAGGAGTCGGGCGCCAGTATCATAGAAGAGGTGCAGATTATCGAGAAGTGTATGATTAGCCATTATCTCTTTGAGTGTAACAAGCCTCCAGTGGCGTCACGACAGGGATATATAGCCAATTAAAGAAAGCAAATTGGCCGCTACGGGCCAGCTTGTACTCAACTCGCTATAGAGGGTTATCAGCCAATTGCAATAGCTGATTTAGAAGGCTATACCGTAAGGAAGGTAGACCAGGTACGGAAGAAGACAACCTTTTCAACTGTGCCTACAGCGAAGCTTCTGTAACCTTCACGTAGGTGGGGTCAAGTGGGTCAAGGTACGAAATGGAGGCTTGTTACACTCAAAGAGATAGGACTAAATTCTAGTATTTAAGGAGTGCCTTGGGATCTTGCTGCCTTGGTGCTCTTGCGATGTTTGCGACAGTGCTGGATATGATAGAGATGTCACGCGTGCACGGACTAGTGTTTACGGTAATTTGATGAAATACATAGACATGACGCGTGCACGGATGACCCAGCAACGTGCACGGGCCGGTTTTGTTGTATTTCGTCGAATTACCATCACGACTGCGTACAGTAGGATTTGAATGGACAATAGGTGGGTCGGGAGGATCTTGCCCGCATTTGGAAGGGGTAATAGTAACCTAGGGTAACGTGTTTGATAAGTGAGTGGGCCATCCAAGTGAGTGAGTCAATCTTATTTCCAACTTAAATCCGGGTTTTAAAACAATTCTTTAAAATTTCAAATCAAGCCTAAAATAGCTATAATTTTAATAGCTTATATATAAGTCTTGAAATATATTATATAAATTTTCTAAGATTTTTAGAAAAATTCTAAATAACTATAAAACTTAAAACCTATTTATACTGTATTTTATACTGTATAATTAAGCTTTATTATATAAAATAAAATAGCTAAAAATCTTTAAAAAATACTTCTCAATATAACTAGCTATACTATTATAAGAAATGTTTTTATTAGAGTTTTAGCTATTTTATTTATATTAAAAAGATGTTATAGGGTAGGTTTTTTAATACTATACAGTGCAGTGACTCACTCACTTGGATGACCCACTCACTTATCAAACACGTTAAGGTAATTGCAAATACATGTCACAGCTCGAGACCAGACTAGCCTACCCTAGACCACTAACAAGGTAGATCCGGATCACGTGGCGATACGTTATCGCAGACTTTGTTTACCGACCAGATAGTTCCTGAACGTAGCTCCTCGAGCTACGTCTTGTCAATAGAGCCTGACCTGCCTGCAGTGCCTATCCGTAGCAATAGATCATATTCCGCCTGAAGCGTTCCCCGTTCACCTGTATACCGAGCCCAGCCCGTGACAATACATATTAAATATTCTTCAAAACTTTAGCTTAGTTAGGAAGGAAAGGAAAGTTAATATTATCTAATAATAGAGAAATAATAGGGGTTTTACTATAGCTCTGCAAACCCTGAAAGCATGCATAGACGAAAAGAATATATTATAATATAACTCTAGGGAAATTAGAGAGACGTCTAGCATGCACGGACCAGAACATGTGCATTGTGTCGCAATGTTCGCGGTAATCATTGTAGTAGGGTTAGGCCGAGAGGTTTGGCTAATATATGAGGTAGGTGCCTTAGGCACCTCTAATATGTCCACAGCCTTACTCACCTCGTCAATTAGCGGCCTTTTCGCGTCTGACAAGCATCACGTGCTTGGAAGCCCCCGAGTGGTGTGTAAAATCAGATCGCAAGTTGCATATGAATTTCAGCCTGATTCTCTCAAATAATATCACTATAATCTCCAATCAGTATGGCACAGCGTCTGTGTGCTGCGTGTTCGCGCTTCGCAAAGGACTTTGCTGAGGCAGAAGCAAAGGTCTCGTTTCCCCGCGCTCAAACCCTTGCCCCCAACATCCATGCTCTTCGAAAATCAGCGCAGAATGACTGCCAGTTATGCCAAATTGTCTACCAGTCATATTTCTATAACAGCTTTGTATCCTGGTCAGAGGAGACGTTTCCCATTCACCTCCAGAAATGGCCGTATAGACCTCACTGCGACGACGGGCTGCCTCACCCTGGTCAAGACCCAATAAAGCCAGAGGCGTTGTGGATTGGTGTGGGCAAGACAATAAAAAGTAGCGCGTGGCATCTTGAACCACTGATCGTGAATAAGGAAACAGAAGGATTAGTCAAAGCTTGCTCTTCACGCACCTCGAGTTCTATCGCCGATCTGTCTTCAGATGAAGGCGTTGAAAAGGCTGTTGCATTAGCCAAAGAATGGTTAGCAACTTGTTGCACCAATCACACCAACTGTTGTATGTCGCCTGACAATCAACATCTAGCAGAGACATTACCAACAAGAGTAATTGACGTTGGCTGTAAGGACGAAGCACTGGCCCCAAAACTCTTTATACCGACTTATCCCCTTCAGGATATTAAATATGTTGCTTTGAGTTACGCATGGGGATCTGACCAAGACTTCGCAAAGTCTACAGCGTCCAATCTCGACGACATGACCAGATGTTTGCCCTGGGATAAGCTTGCAAAGACAATACAGGATGCCATTATATTCACGAGGAAGTTATCGATCAGATACCTATGGGTCGATGCCCTCTGCATCTTGCAAAGCGAAGGACCAGACAGTGATCGGAATGGTCTGGTATGGTCTGGTATGGGGGGTCAAACCAAACCATACCAGATGCTTACATAATAACCGGTATGGTATTACCGGTAAGACCAATAATACCATTAAGGATGCCAAGACTTTTAAGAACGACGTCGAAAAGCTATAGAAGGGTGAAAGAAAGTGTACTATACATGTGATGAGCCCAGACGGGCTGCTTTCTTTGTGGTCTTTTCGCGGTTCGAGTACGTGATGTTGTCTTGTACAAATTCGTCTGGAGGCTCGGGATACTGAAGGGGAGCAGGTGATGACGTCGAGACAGGTAGTGTGGGAGCAAGCGACGGTGTAGGAGTCTTGAAGGATAATGGCGTTGAGCTTGTAGCCAGAGAGGACGGCGAGGTTGGAACTGGAGATTCCATATGTGATACCTCAATACCGTAAATGGGTCAACTACGTGTTGTAGGATTGTAATTTTAAGCCGAGAAAATTCTTGACCTTGAGGCGCTAGCCAGTTTGGTCCATAACCCAGCCGCCTAGCGCCACCAACTCAGCCTATTTTTAGTCCATTTTAGCCTTACCGGTATGACTTGGTATACCGGTAATACCATGGTATTGAGATTTCTTCAAACCATACCAAGTCTTGGCGGTATTTACCATACCAATACCAACTCATACCAGACCATTCCGATCACTGGGACCAGATGATGCACAACATAGAGCTGACTGGTCCTATGAAGCTGTTAGGTTTGGCCAGTACTATCAAAACGCAACCTTGACAATCGCGGCAACCGGGGCTATATCATCCAGCGATGGGTTATTCCTACGAAGACCGGCACTTGAGTTTGACCCAGAGCCGGTTATTCTCAAACAGAACACGAACGGGGGCGAGACTGACGTCTTTATCATTCAACCACCGACTCCATCATGGGGTCTAGCCATACAAAATGCTGCTCTTCTAACCAGGGGATGGGCTATCCAAGAAAGAGTCTTATCAAAGAGGATACTACACTTCGGCGCAAGTTGTTTGCTATGGGAATGTCATGAAAGCCGGGTTACAGAGACGAACCCTGGCGACGCCGACTCTCTTGCCTATAGCCAGACAGGCGAAGACTTTATCTCTGCCTTCAAAGACATGGATAACCGCCAGGAAGATGACATCATGAGATCTTGGTATCAATTTATAGCTGTTTACTCTTCGACAAACTTTTCTTTCCATACGGACAAGCTCCCAGCTTTATCAGGAATTGCGACTAGGGTCAAAGACCGCTTTCCACAGGACTACATCGCGGGAATATGGGAGTTGGCTGTTCCAGAAGGATTGGCCTGGATGGCCAGGGAAACGGAAGAGCCCGACCCGGGCTCTGATCTACCGTCATGGTGTTGGGCCACCAGACGGTCCGTTTCGTTCTTCTTCGTATGGGACAACAACGATTGGAATCCAATGATACAAGTCAAGTCCTGGTCAGTCACGACAAATGGTCCGCAGACATCGGGTCAAATACTCCAAGCAAGATTGATTATTAGTGGCATTTTCAAGGGAATAGATTTATCCGACCCAAGCCTGATTTTCAAATTCGGTTCCAAGACCGATGCTGAATGGACAAACAACGTCACAAGCCTTACTGCTTTAGACCCTGGGTTCTCAGTGGATCGGCTTGTATTCATTGATGACGTGAGGTCTATTAAGACTATTGGCAACCATCACCCTTGCCTCTTAATCGGAAAATCATATCCTCCTTTGAATAGTTCAGAGAAAAGATTGGTAGGAGTCGCGCTTATATTGGAGCCCACTGGCCGCGTGGGTCTGTTCCAAGAGTATAGAAGAATTGGACTTGCGTCTCTCTCCTTCATGGAATACTGGGCTGATGTTCAAGATATGAGAACAGTTGAGCTTGTATAGATCCCTCAAGGAGCTTTAATTCTTATGTACTGAATGATGGTGCTAAAACAGCTGATGGGAAACGTTCTGAAGACTACCTAAGTTTGAACTTGGAAATGCCAAGTCCGCGGTGTACAATGCTATGCTTTAATTTTATCCCATTACAGTTTTGGAGCAGTACACACCCTTTTCATTGCTTTCCATTTGCGTTTGTAGTAGTATAGATATATGGGGATAGACCGGACATAGGTTTACACGTGAGAAGTAGACAGGGTTACGCGACAATTAAAATAGAAGAGTAGGGCCTGTGAAGACGCTATTTAAGCGTCTAATGTATGGGTTTTCCATTGGATTGAGACTTGGTTCTGTCTTTAATACTTAAGTAAGCTGATTATCTACATGCATTTCACTGAGCTGTCGTCTCTCGGCTTTGCACAAAAACCTCTTCCGCCCACGCGCGATACTGAGTCTCAATCCAATCCCCAAGTTTTCTCAGTGAAGCAATCAATTGATAAAGCCCAATAATTGTTCTTGTATCTCCAATAGCAAGCTCTTCAGCAACTTCAATGTGAGTCCCATGGAAGGAAGCAAACGAGATATGCCACTCATGACCAACAACATGAATGAGAGGGATTGTCGGAGGCTTGTGATTTGGCAACAATTCTGAGATCCGTTTGAACCACGCAGCTGTCCAAACTGATAACTGAAGTTTGCCTTGATTCGGCGACGTTGAGGTCTTGGTCTCGATGCTGCAGGCAATCGGGGCGAATTGAAGTGGTGCATACAGTGATTGATTAACGAACTGAGCTTCAGGCGGCTGATTCCAAATATGCGTGGCGATTCCGGCGATTAGTTGACTATCAGCCTCGGAATGCGGTGGATCATGAGGCGATGAGTGTGGTCTTCCATTGTTCAACCAAAGGAGCAAAGTAAAGTCAACCATCTTACTTTCGACTACTGTAGCTTTGCCATTGGCGGTTGGTAAAAAAGGTGCCGCGATCTTGGCCGACATTCCTGGTTCAATACGCACAGTAGAATGGCCTGATAAGGCATGTTTCAATAGCGGCATGTGGACATGCATGTTCCAAGATGCTTCTGAGCAATCAGAAAGCTTGCACTGCTTTGCTTCGGATCGAATCCCGTGCAGTACCTGAAGTTCTCGATTCAAAGCGACGAGAATCTCTGGGCCATCTATACCTCGTTCGTCTATGAACCAATGGTCCTTGGCTCGCTTCTCAGTTGACTTGATACTATCCTTCATCGGACCGGGAATAAACCTTTCCTTGTCGTTGATATCCTGCAATCCTTCGTATAATTCATGCACGTCTGGTTGAAGAAGATCAAGCCCATTACCCTCCAACTCGAGAGGATTGATGGGTACATCAAGGACCTGCAAACTATTGTTGTTTTTAACGGGACTCTTAGATCGAGTAGTCCTACTAGGCGAAGTTGCTCGAGAGTCTTGTGAAACAAAGGATGATTCGGATGGGGGCATATGAGGAATGTTGGTCAATCGAAGCGGAAGGCGCTCATCGTTGAAAGTAGCAGGCGTAGATGCTCGGTTTGAACGGGGAGTGGTGTCCACATCTTCCTCAGTTCTTCTCCGCTTTGGTGATGTTTTTCGAGCCGACATACTCCCATCTGAAGTCGGCGGCGTGATGTGCGACCACTGTAGCTGAAATGATGAAGCCTTGTTTGAATGCAATTGGTGGCCGTTTATTTCAGTACCAAATGAGTCTGGAATGGCAGTAAGCCACTTCTCAATGGATGTTTGGAGACCCATGAATAGCGAAGTGGAAAGTTTGAAAGAATTGTTCGGTTATTAGTGGTTGAGAAGACACACGTTCTCGATGTTAATATTATTAAGCTGCAGTGTTCGCGTCGCGCTATTGCTTTGATTTGAAATGATTTCCTGTTGGCAGGGTAACAATCGCGAGTGGGTTAGTGCGATATAATTAACAGGGATGAGGTTAACTAATAGCAGTGACCCAATTAGTATTAGTTTGCCAAGATTTTGTTCAAAGTTGCCTACCCTATGCATGACCCACGATCCATAACTCCTTAGCACGGGCAACTCTCTCCTGTAAAAAAGTTTTCCTTGGCACCCGCTGTTAGCGCTCTGCTAGGGTAGAGAATTTTTTGCAGGCTAAAATGGCAACAAAGCAGCTGTGGGGCTAACGGGACCCTAACAGCTGCCTGAAGAAAGGGATTCAGAGAGTTGACCTTTCTTCGCGACGAGTGTCTGCAACGACATTGAGCTTCGCGAGCTCTTGACATCGCCTTCGGGCGCTACTTCTCACGTGTTATTTGCGGCTTCTTCTTACCTCGACATTCCGGCTTCGCGAGCCTGCGACAATCCGGGCTCTGCGCCCCTCGACTTCCCGTACGACCGACCTCTGCAGCCCTGGCTGCCCAGACGACATTCGCGGCATCTTGCCGCTCGACACTGAGGGTCGTCGCACCCTCACCCTCACACTCACCTGCAGCTTTGCGCTGCCTCGACCGACCTCTGCAGCTTTTGCTGCCTGAACAACACCAGCAGCCCTCAGCTGCTCGACTTCTAGGGCCCTCTGGTGCCCCCTTATCTCGACGCGCGAGCCCCACATGGCTCGCTGCCCTTTTTGCAGCTCGGAAGCTGCATGACCGATCTCTGCAGTCGCATACTGCCCAGAGACCCTCTTCTTCTTTGCAGCCCCGGCTGCTGCCGGAACACGACCAGGCTTCGACAATTTGTCTCGCTGGCTGAGACCACTAGACAAAACCGCTGGGTCGAAATGGTACGGAGCTTACCTAGAGACCGTGGAATGAGGCGACTACCTCGTCCACAGAGCAGCGTTCTAGCCGCCTTGGGGTTTTCTCCTGCAAGGGTTTTCCCCAAGGATGCACGGTTCTAGGGTTACAGCTACTGGCGATCTTAGGGGTCATGGATTTCCTGCCTTAGGGTATGGAAAGCTACTTGAACTATCCGTGCAAGAGAATTCTAGGCTGGAGAGGGATGAGTTCCCGCTGACGGGATGCCCTCTTGAAAGTAATGCGCCTTTGTGCCGATGATATGCTGGATGAACTAGATGGGAGACGCTGCTGGAGGGAAGCTCTGCGAGGATCAACTGTATTGATGTCCAATGGGACGTGCTTCACCGACAACTACTGTAGGGCGAGCTACGAGTAGAGAGGTGCCTCTTGGGGGTACTGAGCACAGAAAACGCTCGAGCATGTATACGGCTCCGATCCAAGAGGCCTTGCAGATGATCCGAGCGAGAATCAGCACGGCAGCGATTGTAGATAGTTTAGCTCAGCACATCCTGTGCTCCGTTAGGAGACTTTTTGGGCCCCCCCGGACGGAAAATATACATACATACTCCTTAGCATTCTCTTTCCTTCGTCATCACACTTTCTTGGCATACAAGTGTTAAGAATGTGGCCCTGTCTTTACCTAAATCTTTGACAAGTGCACAATAAAAGATTCTTTCTGCCTGATCTCAAGATTTCCTGTCTATGTGACTTTATTAGATGCCTTGACAACATCTCGTAATCTTTAGTCTTAGGTTGCAGTGCTTGAATGCTGAACCGCGATTTCAGCCATAGCATCGTAGCGCCCTAGATTGAACCTTCGGCGCCTTCATAGCCTCTGTCACTCAGTTCAATGCTGGTGCTCTACCTTTATCGATTTTTGCCATCGACACAGAGAAAGTCTTGATTATTTTAGCTATCTTTGCTATGTAATTCCTCGATGTTGGCGCTTCTCCGGACAAAACTTATGTGTGCCGACAGCGACATCGTTTGCAGCGTAGGACATAAAGAAGAATGCCCCTCCAGACACTTTTTCTCAAAGTAGCAGCCAAAACCTTTGGCGCAATGGCAGCATCCGTACGTTTGTTTTAGCAAGTCCATATACTTGTCTATTTGCTCGATGAAGGATGTTTTCATGCGTGCTTCGTCGTCTCAAAATCCTCGGTATATTGCAGCATTCTGTTGAGCAAAGTCCAAGCGATGTTGAAGTGTCTGTATCCTTTTGCTACAAGCGCGAAGGATTTCCATAGAGAGGTTGTGTTTGAGCTCCACTTCTTGAAAGGCTTGCAATTCGGAGAGTTCCTCAACACATGTCGCCGCGGCCGAAGCGATAATTGAGCAGACGTCAGGATCTCTATCTGAAGTCAAGACCTCTTGAATGGCCCGGGGAAACACATTAGCATTTGGCCCTTCTCCAGGATGACCCGAATTTGTGAGTTTGCAAGTTGAGCCAAGTTTTGGATATTGTAATAGTCAGCAATTGCATTGACGCGTAAATGGGAGAGCAGATCCTCGACAGTTTCATCTTCAGCCAGTTCTGAAAGAGCGGATAAAAACGTGACATGTGATCTGTGTTATCCTGGTTGTGCCCGTCGTCGGAACTGGATTTGTGCTCCCTTTTCGAGCAGAGTTGGTACTTTCCTGTGTAGAGGAATGATATCATATATTAAGCAGTACTAATATGGAACTCATTCACAGTGATGATTTTCGATGTTGCTTTCTAGCAAACGAATCGAGGGGCCGCCAGCAACGGTAGTTGTAGCCCCGTACCTGAAAACCGCCGGAGAGAGCGGCCGTTAGTACCGGTGATTGCGGGCAAACAATCACTTGATGGAGTTGAATTCAGGGCCATTGCGAACTAAAGTAAAATCACTGTACTCTCCGGACCCTACTAACGAAAATAGAAAGGCGTGAGACTGGAGCGCCATCTGGACGAATGTTTGCTTCAGTCGTGGATGTTGAGTAATGTTTCATGGTGAATGCGAAATGTGCCCTGCGGTCGTGTCATTGATGGGTGGTAGTAAAATCCGGATGATTCGATATCCCGTGTTCAAGCGCTAAACAAAGCCACCGCGTCGATGAGAAACGCCTTTCCGAATTTCGCGATCAATAGGCTAGCCCTTTTGGAAACGAAGTGATCTCATCGTAAAGAGGTTAGACTAACTACAACATTTTCTTCTAATGCAACCTGTTACCATTCAAAGACATCTCAACGCCCTGTTACAATATTGTCCTAATCAAGGGTGAGAGAAGCAGACATTTAATGGGTTTAGTAATACTTGAAGCTTCTATAAAACTAGGGCATGACTTTACCGCTCCTCGTAGCATGGGGCGAAATCGAGCATCGTTCCATGCAACCAGGAATTCAGAGCCAGCCCTGGAGTCCTTGCGCACCTGCATTCCTTTGTGTTGGTAACACTTCGGGAAAGAAGCCTAGTTCCCTTATCGTCTTTTGCGGTTTACGTCCCTGGTCGGCGTCGAAGGAGCTTGTATCCAAGTATTGCCCGACGTGTAGTGACAGACAAGACAAAAAACATTAATTAACAGGATGAGGAACAATATCCATATACTCATCATCTTCAAATAATATCTAGCCCATCTCTTCCGCTTCATCCTATCATTCATATATTGTTGTGGAATACTGGAAGTGCAATATGAATTCCAAAGACACTACCCTAGGTCTCGAACTCGAATATGCCAAAACACGCTTAGTGTACCTTTGGAAGTAGATACTATACGAAGATGATAAACACGTGAGTTTCAATAGACAATTAATAGATGTTTTTGTTTAGGTTTGTAGTCAAGCTGTTGAACTTGACAAGGGTCAGCCGACGGAAACGCGGCGCGTTTCGTGTTTTAGGTTTTCTTAATTCATGAGTGCGGTACGAGAAACGCAGTGCGTTTCCATCGGAGAAATATGGGCCGAAAATGCTAGACGGTGATTGGTCAAAAACAGGAAACGCAATGCGTTTCTGCTGATAATTCTTGAGTAGGGCCGTTTGAATAAGTATGGCGATGGTGGTGCTGATGTTGAAATTGAGAGAAGTCTTTTTATTATCTAAATCTGTTGATAAGATTTTTTCAGCCAATCAGAGAGCGATATTCAGGTGGATATCAATCTGGATGTCCATTTAAGAGGCAGAGAGTTATATCGATATCGATATATATCAGTATCGATATATCCGTATAGCACAGTTGATATCGATATATCATATCCAAACACGCAGGTCTAAGAACTATAATATATCGCATGTACGGATGGATAGCCAAGATCAAATGAGCACTTGATTTTCTATCTAAAGGAGCGACGAGAGTCGGTCTCTTATCCTCATGTTCAGTCTGCCGATCGTCTAGGCAGCAGGATGCTGCCTGCGATTTAGAGTTCATGGCACCTGTGAAGTTATTCATGATGGTCGTGATCCTTGCCCTTGACAAACAACCCCCCTTCGTAGAGGCCACGCCAGCCTTGTATAGCAGCCTTACCTCTTTCGGAACGGATGTTATCTGCACCGCGTGCAGTGCACGTATGCTTGAACTAATAAGCTAGTAAGATTATTAATTTGGACCCACCACAATGTGACCGATGTAACCAATGTACAGTAAGATAGGAAGATCGATGATAAACAATTTTAACAGTGAGAGGACAGAGGTCAGCACTATTCCCAAAATGGAAGAATAGAGATCGAAACCACTCTTGTAGCCGCATAAACCCCCGCTCTTTATTTTCGGAGGAGGAATTCAAGAAGCAGACCTAATCGGCTTATATGAACGCGATCCGGATCAATCGCCTTGGGACATCTTATTACTCTTTGTGGTCGATCGGTAAGTCATCAATTTACTTTATCATGCTTTGTAAATAATGAGACTAATAGACACCATGGAGTAGAAACCTGAACTGGGCATTCCAGATTCTGTCTGTATCCTTCCAGCTCTGCCTTTATGAACTAAATCAATATGAACGTTACGTACCCCCCTCTCTTAGGGAATTCCATCCGGATCTTAGACGTTAGCGTCAACGGAGAGCATTCTGAACCTGTCTGCAACTTCAGGGTCGTACCCACTCCAGCGACATCATGCGAGTAGGTCAATCTATTAGAGTTGTGATTAGCTTGCGTAGAAATATTGATATTGCACGCACTGCGCTGTAAACCTTAAGATCTGTAGCCACGAATAGCCATGTTGTCACGCTGCGCTATAGCTGGGAGTAAAAGATTAGTAATAATAATATGGGTAGGATATTAAGAAAGAATAACTGAAATGAAGATATCATCAATGCATAAATACACCTTCCTCATCTCGTATTCACGAACCAACCATTGGCCGAAAAGCAAGGGAATAAGGAATGATGGGTCTCATGTGGGGTTAAGCTTATTCATGCCCAAGCGAATGGTATGACCATGTTCTTACATGTGTCTAGTATCCTGCCATCTCGGTTAGACACTTACCCTAGGAACGATTATTTTACGGGATGTCCTTGTGTTCCTCAGCCAGTAGCTTGACGTTATGATGCTAAATGCAGATTCGGACTTAGAGTGTTATAATTCCGTAATATCCCTCGATTACAAATAGATACATTAAAGGGAAGCGGTGAATTTGACCGGCTTATAAATGCAAGACTACTATAACTATATGTTATCACTCAAAAGAGTTCACAGTCAGACTAATTTCACACTTAGTTTATCAGATCAAGTACCTTTATACCACATTTGGTCTTAAAACATTTCTAAAGCTTTGGCTGAGAAAATGCAGAGTATTAAAATTTACCACGGACCTCCTGGCACGGGCCCGAACCCCTGGAAAGTTATCATTGTCTTGAAGGAATTGAGCTTACCATGGGAGTTTGTCTGGATACCTTACTCTGAGATCTACAAGGAACCCTACCTCAGCCTCAACCCAAACGGTCGTTTACCCGCCATGATCGACCCCAACACCAACGTCACCCTTTTCGAGTCTGGTGCGATTGTTCAGTATCTCATCGACCAGTATGACAACAAACATTTGCTCAGTTATCCGGTAGATAACCTTCAAGAGAAATGGGCAACAAACAGCTGGCTCATGGTACAAATGAGTGGGCAGGGCCCAATGTTTGGTCAGAAGATGTGGTTCACCTATTTTCATCAGAAGAGAAACGTGGAGACAGCGATTTCGAGATATGGCGAGCAGAGTAGGCGCATTATGCAAGTAATCAATGAACATTTACGAAAGCGGCGACAAGAGTTGAAGTTGGACATTGACAGCCCGGTCTGGCTGGTTGGGGATCGATGCACCTATGGGGACCTATCATTTGTCCCCTGGAACATCCTGCTCTTAACTGCCTTATTTCCAGACGAAGAGCTCAAGCCCGAAGAGAACTATCCTGAGTGGTTCAAGTGGCATCAAGAAATGATCGCAAGGCCTGCTGTTGCTGAGGCACTCAAAGAGAGAGCGCATGCGATGGAGACGATGGAAGATACAGCAGCAGCTGTTTTGCCGCAGAGAGAGGGTTAATAGTCCCCAGGCCATTGCATTGCCGTTTCGTACACTTACTTGACCTTGCAAAAGTAGGAAAAAGGATGTTACTGGTCATTGATCATGTAATTGGAGGGGAGTGAATACCGGTCTTCCGGAATTATGTGTTTACATAGGAAGCAGGTGGTCAGCTCATTGACAAGCCAAGTAGTGTGCGGATACCTACCAATGTTAGCGGCGGGACGGATCTCGGCCCGGACACTTGTTTTCTCCTAGCACTATTTATAATCGCTGATCATTTATTACCTACCTATGCATCAGATTTCCTTAGCATCGCCAAAGTATTTACTTCCATAAGAGAGCTCTACATCCCTATTGTCCGTCCTATTTTCAGTAAAAGAGGAAATTCACCACCTCTCATTGGCTCATACCCTTGTAAAATCCTCCCTCTTTCACTGAAAGAGGGACAGTGTTTTGGAGGTCCTACTCTCGTAGGCAAATGCGACATAGGTCTTCAAGGCCGCCACCAAATTTTTAGGCTAAACTTAATTCTAATATAGTTCTCTGGTCTAAAGAGCATAAAAAGTGAAGTTTTATACTTTTTGAATTAATGTTGCTGTCGCGGCATGTCATGGTATATTGCCATAGAATGACTCTTGATCAAGCGTTACAGTTCCTAACATGGCTAGTGCTCCCAGCTTCGCAAAGTTCAGCTGTCTCACCCAATGTGTTGTTAGGTGCGGGGTCTTTATGAGTGACCCCCTGGGTGCTATGGTAATTACTGTAAGTTTAAAAAAGGTAAGGTTATAAAAGAAATATTTGCGAGTTGATTGATACTAATATCAACCTATAAACTCGCGATGTTAGTGGCTGCGCCGTGTATTTGCTTCGAGATCATTTTCTTTGATGGTTGCAAGGCGACAGGGTTCGTGAACATGGATCAGTCTGCCTACATGATGATTACCTGCGGCACTCTACAGAGTACTCTGTAGTGGAGTTCTTTTTTGTGCTCCAATGTACAAGGGGTAGAGTTACATAAGGAGCGCGACCAGGCGTAGTGCATCTGAGCAAACACATCCTACTTACATGCATTCCTAAGATCTATTGAGATACCTTATCTAACAAACTCTAAAACATTCCTGCGACACGGGTCCATTCATCTATCTCGAAACATACCGAGTTACCGTCTGCAAAATATGCGAATTTGCCTATGTATCAAATGAGGTATCCACTCACTTGCAAATATACCATCTGCAGGGTGACGAAAAGTGGCAGAAGTTATCGCAAGTATTCCAGGTGTAATTAAGGACCAAACAAAGCTAGAAGAGTTTCAATTTCCCCTCCTACCATAAGTAGCATCGCTTTTCTCGCTCTGCCGAAGCCAGATGGGCTCAAGTGCTGGAAATGTCCTTACGTCGTCAAGCATGTAAAGAAGATCAAGGCACATTGTCACAGCTGCCAGCACTGGAAGAACCCACAAGGCCGTGGTAGATCTAGGCAAGTCGGTAACCAGTTAGAAGCTGAGCTTCCATGGAGAGAAGGGGTTCTTTACTAACGCTTTTTCCCATCCATACGGGCTAGCAGATGGTTTGAAGTTGGCCACAAAACAGTCTGGTATGCTCGCATGGGGAAACAGACCAGAACCGCTATCGACGATTATTCTGTACCTTCTCACCTGAACCCAGAAACGCGAGCACATTTACGGGAGGTACTAGAAAGGGAGCAAAAATACCAGGATGATGAAAAGCAGCCACGTATTTACGGCAAAGCACTTGGCGATGATTCGTTCGCAGGTACGAGTCTCTGGTTGGAGCGCACGTGGTGGCCAATCATCTACAAGAATGCTCGGAGGGACATATTACAGGAAATGACTCGGATTCCGTCCTTTCGTAAGATCGATTTCGAGTTCAGTTCCAACTTCGTCCTCAGTCAAATCCCGATCTGTGCATACCCCAGATGCCTACTAAAAGCTAAGGGGGGTTCAAACTTGGGAGCTGGCAGCGTACAGACACCTAAACCTAGGGGTAGGTATGTGATGAACGCTGTAAAAGGTATGTTGTAATACTAAGAAAAAGAGGCTCCAAAAGCCTATAATCTTACCAGTAACCCTATCAAATCTAGCTAGTTTTCCCTCAACAATCTTGCTTAGGTATTCGTCAATGATCCTTGCTATCCCCGTGTAAAGCTGCAATAGCATATCAAGTCGTCCATTTTGTCTAGCAGTCAGACCTGCGTATATCGATATCCACCGAAATCCTGGCCCTTATATCGATATCCAGATAAGTGGGAGAAATTATCTGGATATCGATACATCCAGGTAGATATCCATACAGCCACATAGCCACTTTAGCAAGGTTGATATCCAGATAAACCACATATAATTCTTGTAGGCTAGAAGAAAGAACAAGAAAGTACCTTAATCTAGAAAGTCCTCTGCCTCTGTTTCAACGCTAAATTCAACAGCAACGCTGGAAATAACGCCCCTGCCACCGCGAGACTTGGGTACAATGATACCCTCGCGCATCCAGTTGCCCACACACTCAACCTTCGCCAGGTTCTCGCAGGTCATGCTCTCTCTATCCCATGATAGCGTACGCCGCGCCGATGAGAAGTGAGACTCAACATCAGATGATTCAGGAGGGATTGAGAGGATATCAATTGCCATGCGGGATAACCGCGGATATGCTTTCCTTTGATCTCGATGTAGCCACCACTGGAGAGGAGAGCCAGTTATCCGGGTCGGTGGTGCATCAATAAAGGTTTCGAAGTCATCGGCGTCGTCTAAGATAGGACCAGTAACAGCAATATCGCTCAACAACTCATCCAGCTCGTTATGCTGCCTCCCAGAGGAAGAGGACACATCTAGAGGCACCCGCAAGGATTCTGGGATTGGCGCGGCATTATATTCATCTAGCCAAATTTGCTGGGCAGCAGCAATAGCAGGCGCGTGCCAGGATTCTTGCCAATTCCGCTCAATGTATTTTCTTCGTTTCGAGGGATCGAGAAGGAGTGCGGCGGCATACACAGGTGTCTGGTCTGATAAGGTGTAGTACTTATTAAGTACAAACCAGCCCATATCGATGCAGTGTACCATGTGGGGATCATGGTTTTCCTTTGAACTATAAAGCTCCTAAATAAGACAATTAGTTAGCCGATCAATTAGATAAAAGAAAAAACATCGCCACCGACCTTATACTTCTCGTACTGTCGCAATAAAACATCCATTATCGAGAGTGATTGGGAGAGTGTAGATCGCGCCCCTTCGGCCAACAACGTAGTTGAGGCAAACGGCTGTAGGAAACGATGCGTCCGTTCAATAAACTCCCACTCTGAAGCTAGCAGGATATCGTCTTGAAGCTCTCTATCATGGTCAATTAGGAACTGTTTTACACGGGATTGATACCGCAGAAAATTATCCAACAATCGATACCATGAATTCCAGCATGTGGCATTATCTATGCCTAGTCGGAGCTTTATTTCATCGTCCCATATAGCCGAATGAAGCGTAGATTTACGTATCCAGACCGCGATGTTGTGTACTTTCCGTAGGGGCACGATATGCTGCCATCCAGTGAAGTTCTCAAGTATACGATTGCCTCTTCGCGAAGCTCTTCTTCTCTGATGGGCTTCATCTGTTCTTGTTGTCTGTCCGGCGTCGTGCAAGGTGTCGTAGAACTGTGCAAACAACTGATCGTTTGAGGTATCATCGGTGGCATCAAGAGCGGCGATTAGTGCCTCTTTCGAAGACGCGAGAAGAAATGCTTGGAGGGATAGGTTAATAATGTGGGCGACGCAGCGGATACGGCGCTTAGAGGGATCAAACGTCAACTAGCAACCGATTAATCCTAATCCAGAGATAAGGGAAGGGCTATCGTACCCCATAGTCGTCTCGTAACCGCCGTGAGAGATAAGACAAGCAGGTATCATTTGAAGTGGCATTATCCCCTACATGGTAGCCCACTTTAGAAGCAATGCCGTACTTTGCCAGTGTATCGATAATTAGAGATGCCTGGGTTTCACCACTATGGCTATAGCGACACTCTGGCATCGCTAGCAGTGCCCTTTGTGGCTGATAATCCTGATCAACCCATCGCGCAGAGATGGCGAGTATCCCATGGCGATGGGGCGATGTCCAGAGATCAGAGAGGATATGGATCTTTGAGATGGAAGCTTCAAGAGTTGCCATGAGCTGAGAAGAATATAACTCATACGTGGCATCAATTAGTCGCATTAGAGCACTTCGGTTGGTCACTAAAAGGTCCTCTATAGCAGGATTAGCTGCTAGCATAATCTCTTGCATCTCATCCCAGTTAATTGCTGAGAAGGCAAGCCGGCGGCGTGTGATTAGGCTGATTATTGCATCTAAATACCGATCGCGGTCGAACATACGGCGGAGAGAGACATCCGAGTAACGAGAGGGAAAGAAAGCATCAATCCGAGGGCGTGTGGCTTCCCTTTCATCATCTAGAACATCAGAACTGCCCCCAATGAGCGTGCGATCGAGGGAAGAGATAATATCGGCATGGCACCGCCGGGCGTGATGCCATGCGTTGTCCCGCTTCCGATTCGCCCAGGGCTTATCGGCAGGGCAATGGAGACATCGATACATCACCATACCCCTGGATTTACGCTTACGTGACCCGCCGGTGGCGTTCTGGGTGTCCTCATCAGGATACGTTGCTTTGAAGAAGAGGGAAAAGTCCAGAGACGTCCCAGTAATGGGCTGGTCCGAAATCGAGGGCGTAGAGGCGGCGGTGGTCTGAGATGATGCCATGGTCGATAAATCACCTGGATAAGCTAATTATGCTAGAATACCTAGGGCCGTTTGAACGAGTACTGAGATGGTGGTGCTGATGTTGAAATTGAGAGAAGTTGTCAGACAATTGGCTCCACAGGGATCATTGATGGCACCCGTCAATTGATGAGAGTTATCTAAAGAACAAAAGAAATCGAACAGCTATGTGTTCGGGAACAGCTATTTGAGCTCATGTTAGGATTATGCGACAGGCCAGATGTGAAACCGGATACGCGACCCCAAGGTACGCCCCGTGTTTCATATCCAGTCGCACGAACCTAGTGGTGATATGCGACAGAAGCCTTTTCATCATCTAATCGATTGATAAGATCTTTTCAGCCAATCAGAGAGCGGTATTTAGGTGGATATCAATCTGGATATCAATTTAAGAGGCAGAGAGTTATATCGATATCGATATATATCAATATCGATATATCCAGATAGCACAGTTGATATCGATATATCATATCCAAATACGCAGGTCTGCTACACATCTAAGGTATGACGATCCACGAGCCATCCACCAGAGATACGTCAAGTCAAGAGAGGATTGGTATAAAGCTCAACCCCCAGGAGCCTGGCTTGGTAATCGCCAGTATCGAAAAGCAATGGGCCTACCTTTGGGATACCCAAAAGCAAGCTACAGCTGGTGCCTTGATTATAAGCAGATGGGGAGGTACTGCAAAACCTCGACGGGTCTGAGAGAGTGGACTAAAGAAGAGATGATGGCTTACTTAGACTGGGACAAAGCAGAGACTGATCGCATGGAAGCACGAGTAGCTGAGGAGACCGAGAACGGACGACTGTTTACAAGCAGAAGAGGCATGGGCGAGCTTTGGGAGATGGCTCAGCGAGATATCGATGAACAAGAAGCCTTGTATTCTGCCGCGGAACAGGAAGAAAGTTGTATTGTAGTTCAGCCGTAGTTCTAGTAGAGTTTATTAGAGTGGATGTATCACTTGAATACATCAAGGCTGATCAAATTAAAGTCATCGACTTGCTTTGAAAAAAACATAGCAGGTTAATGGGACTTCAAGTAAAACCACTCGAGATAGTGGAATTGCACAGCGGGAGGTAATCCGATAGCGGAGAGGGCTAGACTGAATATGGCAATTGGGACGGGACCCGTCCCATTTTAGAAGGACGGGTACCCGTCCGCCTATTAGCCGCCCTGGGAAGTTGGAGAGGGCGCACGGACCAAATATTCTTGTATTGCGACCCAAATCCCCAAAAATCTAAAAGAGGAAGGTGCACGGGCCACGAAAAGTGGTATTGGATGCCATTACCAGTGGTAATTGGTACAGTAGATTCATCCAACCGATGGCATTAAAAAAGAGGATAAGTTCCGTGCCATGGCGCTTGCTGTTGCAGACGAGCTCCCCAACCTCTTGGAGATTTGTGAGGCATCGTACAAGCATGTCGTCCAGCCCGTCCTGAAGCCCCTTCTTCCTGGCAATAATATGCAAGATCTTTCCAGGGACTTAAGAGTCCCTGGGGTTCAGATGGCTACAGACGGTGATCTACACAGCCTGCGAAAAACGTCCATTCCAGAACTGCTTGGTGTTTGCATACCTCCACGAGGTTTTATAGAGGAATTGGGCAGTGTTACAGGAGGAGATGCTAATGTTGGGACGACATTGGTTCGCCGACAGTCTACTCTCCACGGACATCATCATGAAGACGGCAAAGATAGTAACGTTGACGATGATGATGATGATGGAAGTGGGGAAGAAGAGGATGAGAATTCTGATTGACAGGAACCAAGAAGTCAAGAGGGGATTCTGATATTTGACAGGAGTGGGACTCGATCACATATGTGATAGGGACTGGGGTCTGTATCACCTGTGAGTTTAGACGAATCACATAATATGTAACAGTGGGGCTTGGATCACACATGCGATAGTGGGGACTCAATCTCACCTGTAGTAATAGACAAACCCAACCCTAACACCTCAGTATAACTAATGTCTTTATTATATATATCAAAAAGCTATGTCTACATTGCTGTCGATATAGCGAATGAAAACTGAGTTCAATTATATTTTCATCAAATATATCTATAGCAACAAATTCAAGGTGCGACCATTGCTACGGATATGGCCAATGGAGTGCTCGCTGACAATAAATACGAAATGGTATGGTATGCAGACCAGAGTTCGCTCCTATTACTGACCGTTCCGAGATTAAAAGCCACATATGGCCTTTGAAAGGGTATATAGAGCAAACACTACGCAGATCGACCATCTCACATGTCGATCATGGCTAAACATCAAGGCAACTCAGCGCAACATCCCGTAAAGGGCAGCAGCTCCAATGTGCCCAAAGGCTCTTTGTCCCGAAGCGCAAAAGTTGGAATTTCCATTGCGGCAGTAATTATTGGTCTGCTGCTGATTACATTTTGTTACTATACGATACAAGGTACGTTGTTCGTTCACTAAATAAAATTCAGTCATTCCGATATATATGAAACTTACTGAGGTCCTCTGTAGAACGGCGTCGTGCAAGGAATGAACAAGATATCTTCAGTTGGAATAAAGTCGCTCGCAAGACACTGAATGCTGCCGTTTGCTTATGGATCTTCCTTCCAATTAATCGCTTTTTAAAACAGCGTCGTGCGGTAAAGAACGGGGCATGAAGTCAGGTTGGCGCTAGAAACGGTGCATCGTTCTAAAATCTTGACGGAATGGGGCAGAGCATGAAGAGAGTCTCATTCGTCAGTAATATAGCCAGTCTGCCTGTGGTGATGAATTGCTAGTAGCATAATCACGACTGCCTACCTACTGTGCGCGGTCATAGTGGTAATTTGACCAGATTCGGTCCGCACACGTTACTGGGGTATCCACGCACGCGTCGTGTCCTTTCTAGTTCCTTAAATTACCATTAATACTAAATACTGGCCCGCAGAGGCGTAATATCTCGTAGCCCTCTCGATACACCCTTGTTGACATCATCCCATATGCCACGAGATAGACGAGGCAGGAGCATTCCACCGCATTCCGCTAGTAGCGCCCGTCCCGTAAACACAAGGCCTGAAAGTACGCAAGTGAATAGGTGGGCAGGTCGGAGTTGCCCCGTCTCGCCGTCAATCCCCAGCACGCCGAGGAAGTGCCACAGCGGACTCGCAAAAGGTCCCCGTTCGAGTCGCAGAAGTAGCGGATCGCACGCTTCGGCCCTGCAAAGAAGGTCTGCAGATGGACGCTGGTCCAGTGGTCTGCCCGGGCCTTGGCTCCTTTGATGTTGTGCTCCTCATTGAAGTGAACTCGCAGCCACTTCCAGCTTGGAGTGAGATGCCCGCAGGCCGGCCAGGTGCAAGCGAAGCCTTTGTGAATAGTCAGACCCTCGATGGCCTGGGTCGGATTCGATGCGCCATACTAGGATAGAAAGGGTAAGGGGTATAGTGAGTAGGTAGGGGCCCCTTGATGGTAATTGGCTGTTTTGTTGGAAGGTGGAGAAAACAGGCCTTATTCCCAGATAATCCCTATTTTACGTGAGAACTAAGATAGATTTTGGGAATGGGCCCCGTTCCCGGGCTGGTAGTAAACAAGGATAGTTACGATAAGGTGATTGGTGCAGAAGCGGGAATGGGCCGCGTTCCTGATGGAAATACATGGTAGATTTACCCTCCCTATAGCACCTCACGCGAAAGGACGCGTCGCGCTCTGGGGTAAACCCCTGTTCTGATCAGCACTACTATTCCTGTATATAGAACAATGTCAAATCAACTCTACACCCTGGCAATAATCAACTCTACTAGGTTTAAAGTGGGTCAATAAAATCAACTCTACTAGAGTTGATTTTGGACTGTAGGACTAGGTTGGACCCATGTTCATGCCGAGCCATCAGCAGCCACATATTGCTTTGTTGTTCCAGTACCATCAGCTGCATCTTATATTCTTGCCACTTGAAGTCGCTCTGTGCCACATCGACCTTGACTCGCGCATCGACATCGTCCTCTTCCACCTCCCGTGAAGTCATAAACCGAGTCCTATTCTGTTTCTCCGGTATCAACTGCACCTGATCGGCTGGCTCTGTCAATTGGACGGTCTGGTCTAATTGTGTCGGTAACCCCTCACCGATGAGCTCTTGATCTGTTTGTTCCTGGATGGGGGGCCTGGTGGGTCCGTTTTGGGGGATGATATTGCCACGGACCAGCCCATGACACTGAGGTTCATGCGTTCTAGTTGTTGGGATGGGCAGGGGCGCGTTGCATTGTTGAGTCATGGCATAATGTCAATTGTAAGGCTCGATATTCTTACTCTACACCTTATAGAAGCCAACTACTAAGCCTGGGTTTATAGTGGAGTAAGGAGGCTACTCGCCTATGTCCTGGCGTTCCAGTTGTTCTTGTTGGATTGAAGAAGGACCTTCGGGAAGACCTAATTGCGATCGGGAAGATAAGAGAGAGTTCCCTGCGACTCGTCACTGAACATGAGGGCGAGATAGTTGCTCACGAAATTGGCGCCAAAATGTATCTGGAGTGCTCGAGTTTAAGCGGTGATGGTGTCGATACTGTCTTTGAGATAGCCAGCCGGGAAGCTCTGTTAGCAGTCCAGAAAGATAAGGGAGAAGGTTTCTGCCCTATCCTGTGAAGGCATTCTCTAAACTCGAGGCCGACGCTGAGGGCGAGAAGGTCTAGTGTGCTAGCATCCAGCGTTATTGTAAGTAAGAAAAGCTGTCACATCGTCTCACCAAGACCGCTCTGACACAGGGGCTGTATGGCCAAGAAGGATCAAAATTTGGATGAAACAGATCGTGAGAACTTCGTCATAGCTGACGAATACGATCCGGTCCAAGGAGGTATAAAACAGACCAATTTCAGTCACTCATTCACTTAGAAATCAAGAGCTTCAACGCACAGTCAAAATCCCCCGTGAAATATGACAGTCTTCGATACCACCCATCCGCCCTCAGCATACAGTAGTCTTTAAACTAGTGACCCACAATATCTGTTGAGAAGCCACGACGGTTTCAACTCCGATATGCGCTTCCTCATATCCTGTAATTCTTTCGACGGAAGTCTGATGAAACTGAGCTCAAAATGGTTCAATCAGAGAACTAGGGGCTCGTACCGTAGTCGGACTCTCAACGAGCACCGCATTTGGAAGCTCTTCATCGTCGTGTTGTTCGTCTAACAACCTTCTCATCGCCTGCAAGAGTCGGGCGACGAGGCCATGAATAGATTTCTGTACCGTGAGGTACTGTGCCTTTCCCGTTGCGCACATCATACTCTACTGTGTATCGCCCTCCTCCGTTTCCGGCTTTCTCATAGATCCCAACAAAGCAACAACGCCATTCTAGCATCCGATTGGCACCTGTTGAATGTTGGAGGGTTCACCCTCAACTTCAGGATTAAGGTTCAGGATTAAAGTTTGAAGTCCTAAACTTAGATCGTAGGACTTTCATCTAGGACTTTCTAGGACTCAAGTCCTAGAAGGAACCAGTCGAAGATATAAGGTCTCAATAGTCCTTCGATTGCGACAGAATCAAAAAATATACACGATTCACCTTAATATCTGACAGCACCCTTAATCGCTCCAGGGGCTCTTCTAATATCGGTCCCGAATACTGTGGCCTTATTCGGCGGCTCCACGGTGAATGTCCGAGGAGGAGATTACTAACTATCCCATCAGGCTTGCAGAGATAGATGGACCAGGATCTTACACTCAACTTGATTGATGATAGCTCCCTATCGATACGGGGATCAAAAAGGTGGGGGGGGCTTCAATCAGCTGCAGCTGACTGCCCTGATGTTCGCCGCGAATGAGAATCTTCTGTGGGATACTGGGTTTCCGTTTAACAATGGGACATCAGACTGGGTGCCCTAGTATATGTACTGAGTGCCGGAGCGAACCACTTCTGTTTTTCCCGTCGTCTTCGCCATGGATGCTATAATAACAATCTTTCGTCTCGTTTATTTCTAGAAGGCAGTCTAGTGTCGAAAACCAGTCAGCGGGGGACGTCATATTTCCCTCATAAAGTAAGGTTGCAGGGTAGAAGCCTTTTAAACAAGTTCAATCTTGCGAAACTCGAACCAGTGCTGTTATTCAGTTCGAAGTTCGTAACCTCCTAAGAGCCTTCCCCAAATACTGGTAAGCTGAGATCTCCAAACATTCCCATTATGCAATGCCCGTGTAATCAAACGAAACCATGAGTTCCAGCGTATCTAATTAATCTGGACAAGCTCAAACACATCGAATTCAGAGAGATCTCCGCCAATAGTTATTGCAGCAAACTCCTTACAGCGTTGTAGAGTAAGCCCAATGTATCACATGAGGTTGTAAAGCCGACAAAAGACTTTGGGAAGTAGCTGAGAAGTGCCGGAGTTAAAAAGAAGAGTAGTTTTCATAAATACTGATTTTCTAATTAAAAGAGAGCAATATAATAGTATATAAACTAACGAATTAGAAGCTCTTTAAACTTCTTAATTAAGGCTTTCCAGAAGAAGGTATCAGTAGTAATATGCTGGTCCTTCTCCGCACTGGAATGGCAAGACTAAATTGCTTTCTTTACAGGACCATTGTAGCAGAAGTAGATACCTGTTAATGTGATTAAGCAGCTGAGAAAGTTGAGCGTTTTCTGTCCAGATGCACAAAATGGAAAACTTAACGTGAAAACATGCTGAACCGCTTACAAAAAAAAGATGGGTAACCTCTCGTTCTTCTGGAGAGGGAAGGCAGGGTCTGACGGTGACAAACGGGCGCCAGATATGCAAGCAGTACGAACGACAGTCAAATTTGCCATTATAACGGGGAGGCTCAACATAGGCCAGAAGCCTCAGGCACACTAATCATTTAGATCGAATCCTAGTGCCACCATACAGTCTCATTCTGATAGATTATGCCTTGACTGCTGAGGATAGGATGCTGAATACTGGGAGAAATTGGCCATCAATCAGGCCTGTCATGGCATGTACGTCAAATCGGTAGCCAATATAGGTGGTAATTGCTTCAAGAGGGGAATCGTTATGGCCCAGCCCGAGTATTAATACGATGTTACAAAGTATCGTTTTAAATCAGGACGACGTGGGGGAGTAATCATGCAAGGCAATCGTGATAAAACATAAAGCGGCCTCAGAACCTCGAAGTCCGTCAAAGATAGGCAAGCCTACTGCGAGGCAGCTGCATCGAAGGATCGTTAACTTCGATCTTCGGTCCATCGGCATCATAAACCGCAGTACCGTATGCCGGCAACGGCCCGATAATCGTGAGTTTGATCGGAAGGTCATAATTTGACCACTATTCCTGTTGGCCCAGAACGAATTTCTGAGGGGAGTGCTCAGCTGCAGGCGCGTATACCGACTGGTTCCCGAGCAGATTTGGTCAACGATCAACGCTTGGGCCTCCTTTGAGTATGACAATTGGTGGGATGCCCCTGCAAACTTGCAGATAGCCACCTCAGCTCGACAGAGGCAGTGCACAATACGGCTGGCAAAGTATATAGCTGCATTATCATTACCGCAGGTTTAAATTCTAGGCAGCAATAATTCAATAACTTTTGAGCGATCTAGTTTAAAAAACTGCCGTATCTTGACGGTTTCATCCACCTTATCTGTCGCCATACATAAAGCAAACTCGTCAGTATTTATCATAAGGCGAGAGAGAAAGCTCGGTTACAGCCAACACCTGTAATGCAGCAGGAAGTTTTCTTCTTTGAGGGCGAATCAGTAATACAAATCATCTGGTCAGGGCTCATCGATCTCCGCGGAGCGGGCTGGTGTGCCTAACGACGACTTCATGCTGACATGGTGGGCAGATAAGCTTGTCACCTCACAACCGAGGAACGCACGACAGCCAATGATTGCCCATTCGCTCCCATTGTACCGAATTGCTAGCCTGCATTATTCGTTTGTCGCAAGTGTCACTGCACGCCCGGACGCCATGTGCACCAGTTAGGCGGTCGGCTACCCGCTATTAAGCCCCTGTGTACAGACTAGCATGTGTCGAGGTCTGCCTTGCTTACCCCATCAAACGGGCTGTTGTGGCTGCAGCCGGTCAAGCTGACCGCCTTTAAGCCTTCGGCAGGATTTGCATCAAAACAGAAAACGTCAATAGACCGAAGTTGTTTTCTCTTTCCCCAAAGAGCTTCAGAAACTGCCCAAACCGGTCGGTAATACAAACGGTTTTGGGCCGGCTAGCTCCATCGCGCTATACAGTACCTCTCTTTATCAATATCTTTTTATCTCTTTCTATCCCTTTTTATTTTTTACTTTTCCTAGCTATTTTTCTATTTTCTTTCATTATTTCTTAGGTGTCTCTCAGAAAAATCTCCTCTCCTATTGAACTTTCTTTTTCTGCTGCTGGCTGTTTTTTTCTTGCAAATCACCTTCGCCTCTTTCAATGAAATCCTCTTTCGCTTGACTCTTTCTTTACCCCTGTCGACGCTATGTCGCTTACCCCGCATTGTATGCTGCCTGATGAAACAAAAAAGGGTTACCCCCAGGAGACTGTTGAGGCTTATACTTCAACACTGCCGCCGGTACTTCCCCCAGCCCCGCAGGGGTCTCCGCTTGAAAGAGGCTTTCTACCCCACCCCACTCTGGTCCCTCTCTCTGGCCAATCACAGCCTTAGATACCGACAGGGGTTTCCTCTTTTACTGAAAATGGGAAGGACAATAGGGATGTAAGCCGCCGGGCGGCCCGGCGGCCTGTTCTGACCGAAAGGGCACTAGTCACTCATGCTTACATACAACGCCTGCTTTTCGTCCTCGTTTCCCCAAGCCCATGCTGTGCCACACATTGCTCAATTTGTGTCTGCATTTTCCTAAAGCCCATACTGAACCTTGGTTTTACACCATCAATCTGAAATTCGTGTCCTTAAGCCCATCTGCAGTAATACAGTGATGAACACTCGCAGCTTCCTCTTTTATCACTCATTGTTTGTGTCCCCACACAGTGTCGATAATTTCAGTTGTGTTGACTGTGTACATGCACATGGAGACTGAGGAACGTACAGTCTAAGCTTACAGTAAGTAACCACAGGGCTAACCCGCACTGTCAAAAGCAATTCCGTTTTAGGACTAGCTGGTACACTTAGAGTTACTGGAAGAGTACACATTCTCATGAGCTAAAAATGGCTTGGAGGCAGTTTTTGTTGAACGGATCGCGTGCGCCTTGATGTCCTTAATTGTATGTGTATTGTCCCAACTCCATCCCCCGCCTTCCTCGGAGAGGGGTCTGCTTATTATGCTTTCCTGAATGGGTCTAGGGTTGCCGACAGCTGACTATTAGGTCACATGATACCCCGTGCGGCCATCCTACTGTTCAACAGTTTTCACGTCCTAAAATAGACATCAGACCCGCCTATAAAGTAGGCACATGTACCTATAAGTCTCTGCTCCAAAACTTACAAAGAGGATGTTATTGCGAAGAGGAAGGTGCACATGTACAATACTGTACCAACTTTACTTCTCGCAACAACGCTAAGTACTTCCGCCAACTGACGGCGATCGAGATATCATGGTGTGGAATATCCTTGCTCCTTACTACGCAATACGGCAGTAGATCATACTTCGAACCAACGAGAGTCGTATTACGACTAACTACTAACTATTCTGAAAGAGCGAATTTAACATCCCACTGTTGACATTATCATCATAATAAGAGTACGGAAACAGAGGGTTTTAGAGTCCCTCCCACTATCGCCTTTCAGTTTTATGCGTATTAATCCCTGAATAAGTCATACCTTGCCAAACTGACTTTTTATAGTATTAAGGACTGGCATGTCAAAGTTTAGGATAATAATTCTCTCTTAAAATAGCCAAGGTTCAGCCTCCCGCCTTGGCCGCCACCAACATCTCAACCCAAGCTGAGGCTCACAGTTCAGCCTTTAAGGTTTTGATGTCGAGTTCTATTGGCCTTATTGGAATGGCTAGACCCGCCAGTTTTGCTTCACCCCGACATCCGTTAACCGCAGCTGGTTGACATGCAGCTTCCCCTCCGTAGCGAGATAGTCCGGACTCAGAACCGCTCACTGAGATCTGTGTTATCAATGAGATAGAGGATTAGAGATAGACTCAATCCTTATAGCTTTCCTGTCATTCATTTATAGGGTTTAGATATAAAGCTGTTAATTAATAGTATTATTTATCTTTCTCCTAGAAAGCTTTCTATCTACTTTTCTCCTTTACAAGTTACAAAATAGCTATATATGAGAATATTAAATGCTCTTAATATGTCTAGAAATAGCATGCTTGCTATCTTACCTCGCCTAGTATGTTAAGCGTTATATATTTTATTTATAAGATATATGGCATGCTTCATAACCCTAGATTTCATGAGGTAGTAATTAAGAACGTCAGGCAGATTCACTGTAGATTGAGTAAAAGCTCGAGAGCCTATTTTACTTTTCGTTATTTCCTCATAGAACCAAACAAATCCCCTTATAAAGCATGAAGGAGCGTGGGTGGTTGGGATGAGATTAGCCTGGCTAGAGCTATCCCCTTACTCGAACCGAAGAAAGAAATAATTTAACTGTCATCCATACCCCTCGTCAATTTGATAACCCCTCCATTCCATTGGAAATACCCTGAATGCCGAAGTCTGTTGATAATACGCCGCCCACTCTAGTTACAGATGGCTGCCATTATTCATCTCGGGTTCCAGAGAAGGAGTTTAGACAAAGATAACCTTCTGGTTGCCGAAGGCAGAGCAATACTGCGACTGGTGATTGTTGTTCTACATTATTCAGTTAGCGTAGTTCTTCTAAGATCACTTGCTCTTCACATACTCCTTGGACATTTTGGGCGCAGCAAACAATGGTACTCTGGACGTTGCAGCTGTTGATGTTCTTGTTGCACTCGTAGTAGCTGAAAACGCCTCCGTCAGTGTACTCAGGGGAACAGCAGTAAGCAGAACCACCAGTGCAGGTGACGGTCTGCGTGTTGGTGTTGCGGTCACCACGGTTACCACCACGGTCACCACGGTTACCAGGAGCAGCAATAGCACCGGTGGCGGCGACGAGAAGAGCGACGATGGAGAACTGCATTTTGGTGGGTAAAAAGTGTTGAGATCTCAAAAAGAGAGTATTGAAGAGAATAGTAGATTGAAGTCTGTTTGACTGAGTTGTGAAGATTGAGTGAGTGATGAGGATAGATGGTTAAAGGGGGAAGAAGGCCCCCTTTATATATCCTTTCCTGCCCTATTAGTTCTCACGAGTCTTTGTCATTTTTTCTTAACAACCTAACCACAATCTCGCCACTAGACGCTTTATTCCGCATCTCAGATGGAAATTGAAGCTATTGAACTCTTTTGAGGCCCTTACGCCATCATGAACACGTACATGATGCTGCCGAAGAGTGAGTTGGTGTCACTGAACTCAATAAACCTCCCACCACTCGTCGAATAGCTGGAAAAGATGACTTGAGGCTGACTTGAGGCTGACTTGAGGCTGACTTGAGGCTGACTTGAGGCTGAATCTAGGCGTGGTCTAGGTGGGTCCAGGCCGGTAGACTTTGAGGCCGGAAGCATGGGCTGTTGCCACGTCGGAGGTGAGAAGCGGGCCCGGTAGTCCTGTTTACCCTCCTGCTGAACGCGTTTGTCAAGGTATTAAACTTCGATACAACAGAAACTATCCCGAGCTCGTCCAGTCTATATTTAGGCCGACCGACAAGCCGACCGACAGGCCGAAGAACGTACGGTTATCTGTTACATCTAGGCTCACCGTAGGTTCCTACAAGCAGCTGTAAGCACCAATATAATTGTTATGATAGCAATTATAGCCCAGTCTTATGCCCTGTAGCATAATGTTTAGGTGCGACTGTTATATCATAATTTCTACAAGCGGGCGGAGGTTGATAATTTGATACCCTTTGGCATAGCTGCTCACAAGCCTGCATTTGGCATGTGCTTAAGGGCAACTGTGAGGCATGTGTTTGAGGGGTGGTAGCTGCAATCGCAGGTACAGGGCTTGGTTACCCTTCGTCCGCAGCAAAGCCACACCGGAGGGGGAGCATCGTGTTACGGCTTGGTTCGCCGTAGGCTTCTATCTCCTGAGAGCCCATAATGCTGCAATTCGTACCGGTCCACCTTTTCTCTGCTATTGCTCGTGTTTGTTCTCAATTAGCTGCAACCCCTCCTGGTGCTGCGTTGCAGCCTTATGGGGTCTCCGGAGATAGTCCAATCTTTCGCCCTGTGGCGTGATGGTTGGGTGCGACCATGTTATCTGAGCGTCAAATTCAAGCGAAGGCAGCGAACAGACTTAGCACGGACGATGTTCCGACTGACCAAGATCTGAGGGTCATTACCATATCGTTAAGTCACCACGCATGTGCATCTTAGCTGAACATGAAGAATAAGGATGGGCGCCTATTAACGGGCAACTTCCGGAAAGTAAGGAACGTTGATTGGAGAAGAGATATAAAGTTATAAATAGTAGAAATATTAAGTTCGTAGCTATTTACATTCTGTTGGGAATGAGGAGTGGTCCTAGCTAGCCACATAATTAATTAAAATTATGTCATATATAGTCATATGTGACGGTAGGGAATGCTCAATGTTTCAAGGGGCTGATTTACCTTTTGGGCCGTTGTTGTTAGTCTGCCACCGAGTACCGAATTCGAGGCTAAGGGAAGAGTTCTGCACAAATACCGGCCTCCATCTCGTTTATCCTGTCCACCTTTCAACATCTCGATCACTCTAGATCTCGCCATCCGCTCGTTACAGAAGCACTTTGTCTCGTTCTTCTACCCTCCATTCATCCTTCCACTGTCTCTCTTCACTCCCTTGAGCTAGTGCTAAATATCAATCATGCACGCTTCCACTATCCTCTACGGGCTCGTTTTCCTGCGGGGCGCCATGGCGTCTCCGGTTGGTAACGTGGCTGCTGCTGACGTTGAACCTCGGGCCACCGAGCCTGAGGGCCTTGAAACTCGAGATATCGAGCGTAGGGCTCCGGCTCTTGGGGACATGCCCTTCCCAACCTTCCCATCCCTCAAAAAAAGTAAGTCGGGAATGAAAAGATTTGGGTATTCAGTCTAACGGGAGATCGCGCCTGAAGAAGGCCAGGGCAGTGGTAGCAAAGATTGCTCGTCGAATGAACAGACAGCGATCTGCTCTTCGGGAAGCGCATACTGCTGTAGCCCTGATGGAAACGGTGGTAGGTAATCCGAATCCCCTTTTTACCACTCGAGGAGTCTTAAATATCCTACAGGTACCAAGTGTGCTATCTCGGACTCTTGTAACACCGATTCAAAGATCATTTGCTGCAACAATAACAGTGGGGTAAGTGGCAGCATCCCATCCCCAATTCAAGACTTACAAATTACCTAGTATCAAATGTGCATTGGTGAGATCGACTTCAACATGCCCGTCACCATCAATATCAACATCAACGGAGGCGGGAAGGGCAAGAAGGGCGGGAAGTAGAAGCCTTGTTCGTGTTGTGCGGAAGACGATGTCTCAGTATCAAAACGGGTCTGTCGGTGCAACTGACATAGGGCTAGGCTGCCGGCTACTTTCGTTTCTTACGTTCTTTTATCCTATTGAAGACCCTGGAGGGTGGAATCGTTCCTTTCGAATTGTTGTAGTTTATGCAATAAATGAATACCACCCTCTTCTACCTCGTTTATAAAGCACACTGCCACGATCATGCACGACCAGGTTATTGGATCTGTAGGCGATGACGGAGGCCGACGGATCTTGGCTTGAAGGAACGAGAGGCAAGCTCAACACCTTCGTAGCAACCCACATCATACCATGCAGTACCCACCTGCCGTACGTACCCACCTACCGTACACCAAAAAAGATTTTCCCCATACAAAATGCCCAATTTCACTTATAGAGTACGTTGTCAAAATGAAAGATATTTTGATGAGAAAATGTCTGTTATATTAAGAATTGCATGGAATTTAATATTTCTACTTTGCTTCCACAGTGACGCTTGCGGTGTGGTCGCACGGAACTAATATAAAATGTCTCAAAATGCCTCCCTTATCAACCAGCCTCCTCGAAGCTTCATCCAAACTTTTCTCTTCCCCATCTTTCCTTGGTCACCTCAAACATGCCTCAATCATCTTATACGGAGGACGATGTTATCCAGGCCATACTAGATGTCACAGAAAATGGCCTCTCCCAGAACCAGGCGGCCCAGAAGAACGGCGTGCCTCCGACCACTCTCTCTGACCGATTAAGAGGCCTACCGTCAAAATCCGAGGTCACCCAGCCTGCTCAGCTGCTATCCAAGTCGGAGGAGTCCAGATTGGTTACCTGGATACTTCGACAAGAGGCCTTGGGCTATGCTCCTTCTCACAGTCAAGTTCGCGCCACCGTTGCTGCCCTCTTGAGACAGCAAGGACGGGAAAGGCCTATCGGTGTACACTGGCTAGCTAGGTTCATTAAACGCCATGACGATATCAAGACGAAGGTGGGGAAACGCCAGGAAGCTGCAAGGTTCAATTCCTTTACCCCAATGGCCGTCAATTGGTACTTTGATATCCGGGAGAGCGAATATGGCTGGATCAAACCGGAGAACACGGTTAATGTTGACGAGGGCGGTATCATGGCTGGATTTGGTGAGTATTGATCATTTTTGCTACCAAACTCACTAATCCACTGAAAAATATAGGCTTGGATTCCTTGGTCATTGGCAGTAGCGATCCTAGGAGGAAGGCCTTCCTCAAGGGCTCTCAGTCCCGCACTTGGACTACCTTTATCGAAGCCGTCACCGCAGATGGTCGTCTTCTGAAGCCGGGGATTATCTTCAAAGGTAAAGAGCTTCAGCAACAGTGGTTTATCGACGAGCTCCGGGGGATCGCCGACTGGTATTATATCACGTCCCACAATGGCTGGACGGACAACCATATCGCAGTCGAGTGGCTCAAGGAGGTCTATCTGCCTCAAACGTAACCGGCGGATGAGTCTGATGCAAGGCTCATCATATTAGATGGCCATGGAAGCCATGTATCTGTGAGTATCTACCTGTTCTAGATCGGACATGCCGCTGACGGCGCTGACTGAAAATCCAGGATGAGTGGATGGCTACGTGCTTTTTGAACAACGTATATTGCTGTTACCTGCCTGCACACTGCTCTCATGGGCTGCAGCCGCTGGATAATGGCGTCTTCAATGTATCCAAGGCTGCCTACCGAAAAGAACTGCAGAAACTCGCCAGCCTGACCGATTCTGCGCCGGTAGACAAGGTCAACTTCATCAAGGCCTATGCCAAGGCCAGGGAAGTGGGTATGACGAAGAAAAATATACTCTCAGGCTGGAGAGTGACTGGAAACTGGCCGATTTCACGGCGGAAAGCGCTCATACATCCTGAGATTCAGCCGGACAAGAAGGAAGCGACGCCCGGGTCGGACGGCCACCGAGACGGGCAAGTCGACTCTGATAATACGCCAAAGACCAGCCGCCACATCCGAGATATGGGGAAGAACAAGAGCCCGTCAACAAGAAGGCGCTATTCTGTGATATCGAAAGGGTTTGAAGCTCAAGAGTCAAAGATTGCCTCTCTGAGCACCAGAATAGCCAGTCTGGAGGAGGAAGTTGGCCGGTTGAGCAGAGGCAAGAAGAGGAAGGCGATACCGAATCCCAACAAAAGATTCATGACATTGGCAGAAGCTCTGGTAACTGGTGAGACTATTTCCGAGGCAAACGAAGCAATTGAAGAGGCGGATGCTGTTGAGGATGTGATCGAGGTGGGAGGGATGGAAGAAGTTGAGAGTTCAAATTCGGAGGAGGAAGAATTAGGTGTGGTACGCACACGCGCAGGGCGTGAAGTCAAAATACCGCGAAAATATTAAAATCCATTTCATTCTAAAACGAAATTCGAAAATCATTTCACGGGTTTTATTTTTGGTGAATTTTCAATATATGGTTGAAAAATAGCATTTTGTATGGGGGCATTTTTTTTTTGCTGTACGGTAGGTGGGTACGTACGGCAGGTGGGTACTGCATGGTACTCCAAGGGGTAAACTTGTCCAAAGTCGACGGCAGAAACGGGGCCTAGCGGCACTCATTGATTGTTTATTTCCCGGCAGCATTAGTGGTGCGCTGGGCCTTCACACCCTTGTATCGGACCATCGGCAGCGACCCTCGGACCGCTGATTCGAGACCTGAGCAATTACATTTGGGGCAACCGCTAAGGGTCTGAGAGCCTGCACACACCTGAGTTAGTGGACCTAGTGCCTTAAACCTAATGTGCTAAGAAAGACAACTTGGCGTTAAAACCTTCCACTGTTTAGCCAGCCCCTCCCGGCACCTCCGGGAAGTCCATAGGTTGTATTGCCACTAATAGGTAAAGGTTTATGGGCGAGAAGAGGGTATCTAGATTCGTGGCCTAGTAAAGCTGTTATGCGGGGGAATCTAAAAATATCTCTTTGTAGGTTCACACCCGCTCTTAGTGGCCAACGGTCATCTAAACTTTGTTCGTTTCGGGTTTGATCAGGGGTGGAGGACTAGAGTTTGGACTACTGCAAGCCATGCCAATAGTCTCGCCAATAGATCTGCCAGTAGTCCGTCTTCAGCTCAACTACAGGGGTATTAAAGGTTGAGATGCAGAATAGTCTCATTACTTCCGTCATCATCGGTTCATCGCCTCAACTGAAACTCATTTTGCGTATCAATGCGAGAGAACAGCCATGGTTGAAACAGATTCTGGTGAGGAGATTTGAAACCTCGCATAATCGACTCCAGGGGGGATCAGCACTTAGATTTTCCAAACCACAGCAGGAACTCCTGGTCTCGTATAGCTTAACTGGGTACCTGTATGCCTAGATACCTTGAAAATACTTTTTTTTTCGTCTCATATCTATTTTATTGTTGTATTACGGGGGCTGGAATGAACGACCTCAAGGGCCGTCGGAGAATAGAGTGCCGTTAAGCGTTACAATTTCCTAATCTGGACTAGTACGTCCTTGGCGAGCGTTACATTTTCCTGATCAGGTTAGCCCGTTCTTACTGCCCCAAGATCTCAATGTCTCAAGTCCAAGATATAGTTATGTTATGTTATGTTATGTATATTCTTCGTCCGGGGGGCCTTCGGCCCCGAAAGACCCCTACTGGGGCACAGGACGTGCTGAGCTAGAGAAGTCAGAATCTATCTACACACTATTTACAGAAGGGAATTGATAGAGCGGCATGACGGTTTTGATATAGAGGCATGACCTTACAGCGGCATGACTTTATATAACGTTTAATTGGTCAGTTCTGCGTGGACCCATAAATACTTCCTGACGAACGCAATGTGACCAGCTCTCTTAACATGACCTTATTCTTACCTCAAGCTCTCCCAGTGCTCAAGATCTTGGCAAAGTAGGATATTCAAGAGGTCTCGTTTTGAATGGAAAATTTCTTGCTCTGTTTATTGCTCAGGAAACACGTCTAACGCTCTACTCTCTGACTACTATAGAAGGAAGTATATTTTCATCGCTGTCAACTAGCTCCCATTGATTCCTCGTCCTCCGGATGCTAGGTTGTATCCTCCGACCGCTAGCACGGACTCCTGTTGTTCGTCCAGATCCGAGGGTGGCTGAGTGACTTCGTGTCTGACACTGAGTCGATATGCTGCTTACCTCACTGTTGGCCTGCGTGTTACTATGCTGGCTTGCTTCCAACGAGACCCTGGTGAGTGTAGATTTATTGACGATTCGCGGCGGGCGACCTCGCTTACGGCCTGCTGGCTGTCTTGCTGCTAGGCTGGTCAGTTGACTGACGTTTTGGCTGCTCCCGCCGATGGCCATTCTCGAAGGCACAGGACGCGCGGTATTCTTGGGTCTGCCACGTAGGGCAGTGGCAATCCTAGGATCAAGAATCCGTCGGTATGGATCTTGGAATGATGAATCTCGTAGTCGCCAATGTGGATGGACATCATATCTAGTGAAAGACGTTGCAGATCCCAGCTTCGCATAGACTTTATGACCACAAGGGACCCCAAGCTCGACAGAAACCGAGCAGTCATCGTTACAGTCTGAGAGAGGCTCTGGAAAGGGATTCTTTCCGGTAGGCATCGCCTTACGAGCAATAAGATATTGCTTGTTTATCAACCCAAGCGCCTTCGATGAAATTACTGTTGGTAGATCACCTAGGTAGTCTCCACTTGATCCTAGGTATTCACGGGCAGTAAGAACCTCATCCTGTGCGCAGGCATCCTTGAAGTCACGTTCTTGATCTTTCATCATGTCCTGCATTGCCTCGACGAGTCGATACAAGTGGCTCATGCCGTTCAAGAGATAGCTCTTGATGTTGTTGTTGCTTGCCTCTGTTCCGGAGGTGACGCGGATACCAAAGTTGCGATGCTTGCGGAGGAAGCAGCGTGCCCACTGGGCCCTAACCGGCAAATAGGTCCCATGGAGATAGCGTAGGATGACTCTTTGGTCATCAAACTTCTTGCAAAGGTCTCTCCACGCCTTCTCATGGACCTCCTCTGTTTCAGCAAAGAGTACACGCTTCTACATCATAAGAACTCCTCGGTAAGTGTGAGGAATCTCGTCACCAGTAAGCGCGTGGACCAGCTGTTTGTCCGTAACGCTGAGCTCAGCCTGTGTCTGAGGGGGCAGAATCCTCCCAGTCACTGGCGTCAGGGCTACTACTGCTCTTCCGTTTCTTAGCCCACTTCTGCTTCGACTTAAGCAGGACATTCGAGTTAATGTGATAGATGCAAAGTTGTTGCTGCACATCAGGAAACTGATCATTGAGGGCGGCCTTCATAGAGTCGTCGAAGTCGGTGATAATGACATCAGGTTGCCTAATAGAGTGCTGGTCTATAAGCTGGCGAATGCTCTCAGCAAGGAATTGGAAGCCTTCTCTTCTCTCATTGTCGATCAGGCCGAAGGCTGCGTTGAATACAGTCCCAAGACAGGTCTGACCGGTGGCTTGGAATAAGGGAAGCTTGAATCGATTAGTATTGTATGTATTGTCAAAGCTTATGACCTCGGGGAACCGCTTCCACATCTGGATGCAATAAAGAAATCTTCCAGACAAGACCAAGTAGACGGTTTGGTTGGTCATCGGCCCACTTGACAAGATAGGGAATCTCCATCTCGTCGAAGAGCTTGATTAATGCCGCAGTAGGTGTGTAGCCATTTAGCTTTTCCCGGTTGATGAGCGCGCGGGCGTTGTAGATATCCCTCTGAGTAAATGACGATTCAGGATGTTCCTTTTCGACCACGGCCCGAACATCACGAGCCCGGATGCCGACTCGACGGCTTGTTGATTCAATGGTTGCCCTTACTGGCGTAGTGAGTCGTCTATGGGAGGGGTGCGCAGACGATGTGATACTAGGTCCATGGTTATGCTGGCTGTGTTCCAAGTTTGAATGTTGTCGTAGAAGCCACTTGTCCTCTTCCAGGGCTTCAGCAATTACCATCCACTTAGAGCCACACTTCCGAGATTTACGCTGTCGAAGGCCTGCGCCTTTTGAAGCCCCTGGCTGTCCAAATCGATCACACTGAAGCGAGTATCTTATCCGTCGTCCTTTATATGAATAGGCATTCCTTCGAACGATGCCAAACCCGTTTTCTTTCGCGAGCAAATTGACCGAGTCGAAGAGAGCTTCAGCCGATGGCGCCGGATCGCCTGGAATAGGTGGATTAGGGATTGGGCCTGGAGAAGGTGAAGAGATTTGTTGAAAAGATAATGATTCCGGTGATTCGGCCCTTGGTGACACTTGAAGAATCTGTGTAGGTGACTTGCGCGGTGGAGAGTATGGTGGAGGAGATTCGTAGGCGTCTGAGCTGAGCGGCGACCAACCCCATCGCTCTCGCCATGCACGCACTCGTTCATATGACCGAGCAAGGTCAATAGTCAGTCTCTGGCCTTCACCAACAACCTGCCGTACAATTTTCATAGCAGATTCGAACTCAGCTCTTGTTGCGGTCGGTGGCCGTTGGGCTGGCTCTGGTAGGGAGGAGAAAGGTGGAGGGTCGATTTCGGGACCTGGAATAGGGGCCCTGACTCGCTGAAGTCGTGTTCTCCCTGATGGCAACTCATTTAGAAGGTGAATCTCGTAATCAAACCGCAGATCCCACGCAGGTTCGTGGAGGCCCTGCGAGCCGTGGGGCAGTGGGAAGGTCGAAAAAGTCTGTGGATAAGAAGCAAAGAGATTGCTTAGCGTGTCTTCGTCGCCTATTCCATAGTATTGGCCGATGCTTGCTGCGGAACTGCTTGCAGAGTTCGGTCGATTTACGAGTAAAGGAGGGCTAAAACTGGCTTGTCGGCTTGTTCGCTGTCGTTTTCACGGTGTATTTGATTGCTAGGGCCTAAGCTTTGCGGCCTACGAAGGCCTATACGTCGTTCTACTGCAGGGGGGAGACATTATGGAAGTGATAAAAGAAATGAGGTCAAGACATGGGAACTCGTCTACGCGCCTAGAGTTATTACGGCTGGTTCGGAGCTAAGGTCGAAAAAAGGTGGAGAGCTAAAGCGGTACCTAGTACTTTTAGTACAGGGGGCAGAATCCATAATCTACTAACAATTAAAAGTTTAGCGAATCAAAGCCCGTGAAAGTCATGCCGCTGTAAGGTCATGCCTCTGTATCAAAACCGTCATGCCGCTCTATCAATTCCCTATCAAAAAATGCATATACCAAATTAGAAGTCATTCGGCTAGGCGGTCATTGAGGAAATTGCAAGTTGACGAGGAAATCAGCAAGCGGGGAAGGATCATGGATGTTGAGTTTGCATTTTGGCGGTAACCACATATAGTTAGGAGCTTTTGTGCCAAGCAGGCTCGGGGACCCACGGGGCGTTACGAATTTCATGAGTTTCTACGGTATCTACATCCCAGCCACCAGCAGATCAGACCACCTTACTCTTACTCACACGGTCTCAACAAGGGCCTTAGAGGGACGTGCCATCCTAGTCATTAATCCACGAACGCCCTTCGTAGATTGATTCCCTTCCCTGACAACAATATTCTTCAGTGGAAAATCCTCACCTTGGACTTTCCAAGCCAACACCAAGACCATCAACATTTTCAATATGCCCACTTCCACTCTTCTTCTTTCTGCTCTGGCCCTCTCCCTTGCCAGCCAATCTATGGCGGACACGGTAGTCATGGTCAACGGCGTCACCCTCACCGGCGACGCCCAGCCTAAAAGCGGCAACAACAGATTTGTCGGCACGAAATGCCCAGGCGTGCTGCAAGTTACTGGCAACAACGACGCTCACTGCTGCGTAGGCGGGACCTTGAACCTCAGCACCTGCGAGGGCTGGCCACTCTGCAGTGGCCCTCAGACTGCAGCTCCCGAACCAACATCTATCAGCTGCGCTACCATGATCCCTCTGACGGCGAACGACTACTCCTCCCTGATTGAGAGTGCGAGCTCCCGGTACTTGAAGGCCAGTGGTGAGGCTGAGCCTTCATCTACGGGTGAAAGTTCCATGCCGTCGGCGACCAGCACCGAGGAAACCGACACTGAGGGCACCAGCACCGAGGGCGCAAATGACCAGGAGGGTTCAACGAGTTCAGGTGCCAGTCCTGCCGAGACAGGCAATGGATCCATCATGGAAAAGGTTCCCGGTCCGATGGCCAGAGTTGTTGGGGGCATTTTGGCCTTGTGGATGTCCATGTAACATGGTAGCCCTGGGGAAAATAGTAATAATTGTTACTCTTGGTGATAGACATTCGCAAAATAATGGGCGACCAAGGTCGATGAGTGAGGTCGTATTCTTGGAGCGGCACTGACGAAATGCGCACTGACGCGTCAGCAAGGAATTTGAATAACTACGGCGGACTGACATCACGGCCAGCCACTCGTCGCGGCCCAATCAACATGCCATTCCGCAGTAATTATTGCCATAATTAGCAACTGGCTTCCGTGTTTTAACCCATCGTTCTCTGAACCCTCCCGAGCCTCAAAGGACCGTGACGCATGGTTTGCCATCACGAAACGAGGCTCATGGCCACCAATTGCAACCTTCGGTGTCATCCAATCATAATATTGAACATCTCCCCGATGGCGCAATTGGCTAGCCCCTCTGGCTGTTAATCAGGAGGTTGGTGGTTTGAGCCCACCTCGGGAAGTCAGATCCAATCCAACGAGATCTTTTTTACTGCGTGCTGTGAAGGACATCTTCAATTCATTCAAGACCAACTGAGTTGCAGGCCTGGATCAGATACCTGTGACAATTGCCCATATGCGGAAGAGGTGACATCCGATCAGCTAACAATAGAAGGAAAGGATAGAGCAGACACAACCCGTCTCTCATCCATGTAGCTGTACAGGATTTGTAATAAGCCAGGCCCCGCAAATTCTAGTCTAAATCTTTGGCTGCTCCAGAGAGTGCCTCATATTTGTGTACTGCTCAGGCCAGGTCCCAGACTTGCCCGGCACGAGGATGCCATTCAGGTCAATACAATCCTTCAATTGCTCGACAAACCGTCAGCAAATAGAAAGGCTGTTTAACGCAGGTTCGTCAGCCTATATCTGCAACTAAAGTCTGTTTACACAACTGCAGCCTACAACTCAAACCGTCCTTATTACAGGGGATAGGAAAGTATACCTATCCGGTTAGGAACAGTTTAAGGTTTACTTTATAAACTAATAAGGCAACTAGATTACTATAAACCTTAAAGACATACTATTTATCCTTTTTTTAGGGTTAGGATAAGGTTAGTATTACCTATCTAAGCTATCTTACCCTATTGTTTTACTCTCTAAGTAAGGATATAGTTAAAAGGATAGAGTGGAGATTTTTCTAGAAAATAGAGGTAAGAAAGAATAAGAAATGAATAAAATAAGGTATCCCTTTGAGTGCCACAGCCCTTCAGAGGGGTCACGACAGGGGTATAGGACCAATCAAAATAAAGAAAACCAATGGTACTTCTCCCCGCATACTAATTCGTATGATGGTAAAAGTCCCAGCAGTTTTGATTGTTACAAAGAGCTACCTCACAGACTTGGCAGCCGTACCAGGTCTGCCTACCCGAGCCTCCTCGGTGCCGGCTTTGTGTATTACCAGTTATCGGCTGCAAAATGAAGCTATTTTCAACCTTCCTTTTTTTAAAGGGTCGGGGCTGCCCCTGCCTAAAGCCTTTACAAGCAAGGCAATCTGAGAATATCCCCCTGTTGACATGATTGATATCTCTTTGCAGGTGATTTTGCCATGACTGGGTATCGTTATGTCCTCCTCTTTCCCTGCCAGAGATCTCTTCCTTGCGCCGCTTTCTTGGGCAAATTTGACAAATAGGGCATCAGAAATGCACTTCTTCCAGCTCTCGAGGGTCTTGTAAGGCGGCCACCGCGGCTGTGAGGTCTTGAGCTGCAAAATGAAGCTATTCGCAAGTGCTACATCAAGAAGGAAGGACCAAAGGAGAGCTTGCCACGGGTCACGGCGAAATCGATGCTCATAGCTCGTATAGGACCTTATCTGATCTCCTTCGGTCTACATGATTCATTTCATCGTTGTAAGGAGTAGATACAGTCGGTATAGGAATAACCTTTATTGCGACATCACCAAAGGTCTCCTGTATTGGCTTGGATTGTGCCCCTTTATCGGCAGGCTTCTTCCTTCTCTTTAGGGTGCGTTGGTCATCGGCACCGCTGTATACAGTAGAGAGAAATAACACAAGGCTATTATCCTTCCAAGCGATTTGAGCGACCTAGGAAGGACGAATTAGTAAGGGAAATACATATAAATAAGTCCCTCGGGCGTACGAGGCCATCAATTGTAGGGATCGACTTTACTTCATTATACTTAACGCCTGAGGCACCTGCCTTATCCTTCCCTTTTGCAAGCTTGAGCTCCTTAGTGATGCCGCAGTTAGGGCGGGCCATACATGGGCAACTTGTTCTGTTATTCTGTTGCTTGCTCTGTATAACATGTTAATATTTTTTTATTCTGTTATTCTGTTATCATGTTAAGGCTCTCACACTAATCTGTTATAACGGAATAACAGAATAAACAGGATAACTGAAATAAGCTTTTTTCATTGCTTTTGTCACATCAAACGGACCAAAAGGTCATATATTGATCAAACCGGAAGCAAGGTCTCTCAGCCGTTCAGAAAGGTTGCTGACTGGCGGGTCGGAAGTCCGAACTTCCGGTTAGCACTTGGTGTCACCGATGTTTCCCGAAAAGCAAGTTCTTCAACACAACGGCTCCGGAGGCCCTTCACCCTAGGTATAAGAAACCGACCTATTTTCCACTCATTAGATAGAGAACCAAGAGCCTCTATGAGAATCCATTCATCGCTCAATGTGACAGCTTTTTATCTCCGGAGAGATCACAAATACCGGAAAACTTTCACATTAAGATAGTTTACATCTCATACCCATCATTATGGCTTCAGAAAGCGATATTTTATCGTCGATAGGCGACTCTAATTCTCAAACATCTGATCAATTGCCTTCAAACTTCTTCTCTATTATGGATCGGCAGTATCCAGATAAAAATAAACCGCTTGCCGCCGGCCGCAAACGAAAGACCAAAGGCACTCTGCTTTATGTGTGCGGATTATGCCCTAAATGGAGCCATGGGCATCGAGCAACAGCTGCGCATCATATCAAAAACTGCCATGCTGCACAGCTTCGACCGCCGCCGCCGCCTTCGCCGATATCATCGAATCAACGCTCATTACCCGCCATGTTTGCATCTATCCCTACGCCTGATAGTCTTCGGCAGGTTTTCAATCGGCAGGCATATAATGAAGCTGTTATAGGACTGCTCACACAGCGGAGAGCTCCTTTTTCAGCTGTTGAATGGAACGAGTTGAAGGATCTCGCTTTGGCATGCAATCCGACCATCGGTGATCAATTAATCACGTCCAGACGCCAGGCCATGCGTCACATTGCGGAAAATCACGTATTCTATAGAGATCAGATCAAAGACAAACTAGCAATCGCGTCTTCACCTATTCACATCTCCACCGATCTCTGGACATCGCCACATCGTCATTCTCTACTGGCTGTTTGTGCTCAATGGGTTGATCAAGGTTATCAGCTGCAGAAGGCACTTCTAGGGCTACCGGAATGTCGCGGCAGCCACTCTGGAGAGCGGCAAGCTGATCTCATTATGAGTATTCTCGAGACCTTCGGAATCATGTCAAAACTCGGCTATCACACCGGGGATAACGTTACGTCAAACAACACATGTCTGGAGTCCATAGCACGTCGATTGAAAGAGAATCTTAATGTAAGTTGGCGGCCGTTTTTGACGGACTAATCTAATGATGAGTGGTAGATCGACTATGACCCCAAAAAACACCGCATCCGCTGCATCGGCCACATCATCAATCTCTCCCTTCAAGCCTTCCTTCTCAGGTCATCGAATGAAGCCCTCATCGCCGCACTTGAAGCCGCATCTGAAGCTACTAGTGAAGACCTATTAATTCGCTTCTCTCAGGCCCTCACCACTAGAAGACGTAGAGGTCATAGACGTCTCTCGAGATCGGACGTTGATGAGGACTATCTAGGCATTGAGGGCATACCTGCGCTACGTAAACTGCACGGTCTGGCTGTTTGGGCACGCTGCTCATCGCTTAATAGCCAGCTGTGGGACGATGAAGTCGGTTTGCGATTAGGGATCGATAATGAGACGCGGTGGTCTTCATGGTATCATGTCCTCGATAAGCTTTTCAAAAAGAAGTCGCAGATCGTCCAATTCATGCATGAACACGAGCAGATCATCGGAGACAATCGATTGACAGCGGCTGATTGGGATTTGCTTCAGAAAGCGTACCTATTTCTCCAACCGTTTGATGGGGCCACATTGTGCGCTGAGGGCAATAAAGCATCTCTTTCACAGTCATTATTTCTAATGGACTGCCTTCTTTCTCATTATGAAAACGAGAAAGTGAGCCATTTATTGCGAGGTAGCGAGGACATCTCAGCGTTGATCCCACATCTGAGATATCTCTCGCATGCGTTCTGCAGCCGGGACCCGTGCGGACATCTCATCGCCGGTCTCAACAGCTAAGATAGATGCTAATACGAATATAGCAGCACTACAGCGCACCCGAGACACGCGATGAACGCATGCTACATGCCATCGATATGGGCTGCTTCATTATGAATAAATACTACACCATGACCGAGGACGTTCCCGTTTATTCCGCCGCTCTCCTTCTCGACCCTTCAAAACGAGACGCCTACATTAAGCAGAACTGGCCGGATGCGTGGTACGACAACGCAATTGGTGGAGCACAAGAGATTTGGGAGGAAGAATACAATATTGAGCTCCCTACTAAGCCTCCAGCCGCTCCGAGCGCTGTGGCGGACATTGTGGAACACGAGAGTAATAAACTAGCTCAGTTGGCGAGGAATATGAAGGTAAAGACCGCCGTGTTGCGTTCTGAGGATGATTTCGTGACCTTCATTACCGCTCAGCCGATAGAGATCGATTCTACGCCGCTTCAATGGTGGTGCGCATCTGAGCAGCGGAGAAGATATCCACGACTTAGCCGCATGGCCATCGCGATACTCTCCATTTCACCAGAGTCATCCGAGCCAGAGAGAGCCTTCTCTGGGGCCCGCAGGACATGCTCATGGGATAGGCTGCGGATTAAATGTGCAAACATTGAGAGGGTAGAGTGTGTAGGCAGCTGGCTGCGCGAAGGTCATATCATACCTACATCCCGTGGTGGATTTGGGTTACCGATGATGTTTTCCGCATTAAAAGACAACCTTACTAATTCTGATGACGATTTAGAAGACAGAGAGGATATTGATTGATATAGAATAGAGCCGATAAATTAATTGTTTGATTTCATCGCTTCATTGGCTTACTATCGTGTTCCTTATCCTGTTATCCGGTTATTTTATCCTGTTATCCTGTAATCTGTATTTTTTCTTATCTTGTTCTGTTTAACATGTTAACGGATTTCTTAACATGTTATACAGGTTGCCCATGTATGGGGCGGGCTGTACCTGTGGCCCCGTGACCGGCTTCTCGAAGGGCACGGAAGAGATTGGGCGAGGCGAAGAGGTTATCCATAAAGACCTGATAGGTCTGCTTTGGCAGCATATTGACTAGGCGAATAACGACTCCTGCTGTATTGCTGAGGGACACAGTCTCCTTGGGCCTTCCCTTCCTCTTCTTCCCCTGTTGCGACTTGGCAGCCGGCTTCTTTGGCAGCTCGACGATAACAGCGGTATATGGTGATGCCTTCACATGCCACAGCCACCGGATAAAGAGGCCGTTTTGGACGATAAACCAAACTTTGAACCCTACAGGCGTAGGCTTATTCTTGACTGGGGTAGTATCCTTGCTCCTGCCTGTAAAAGAGAAAATACACTCATCCACAGTGACGTTATTCCCTGGGATATAGAGCTGGACTGACACCTTCTGTATAAGGTCAGACTATAGTTCAGCAGCTTGGAATGCCTTCGGAAGGTCTTCTTCGTTGCCTAGGTCAAGCAGGGTATGGTCAAAAGTCCATATATAGCGTGAGATTATCTCGAACCTCCATAGAAGCATAAACTTAATGGCTAAATGCAGAGGGGACTGAATACTTAGGGAAGGGGAGCTCCAATGGCGCTTAATCATATTTTCCTTATCAATTCCTAGGTAAATCAGCAACCCGAGCCATACATACACTTGCGCAACCCAGAGCCCGTCCCACTTGTTGATCCGTGAGTGGTTAGAAATGGACGAGTTGTAGCTATCAATAACGCCATTTTGTATAAGATGAGAGACCCAGCTTTCACTGTAGTAGACCCATGACTATACGAGGGATATAGGTGTAAAAAGTTGGAATAGCTCGAGTGGTATTCGGGGCAGTATGTTGATGTGGAAGTCACGATTTTCTACGTTGAAAGGGATGAAATTGTAGCCGCCGGCTTCTTCAGGCGGGTTAATTATTATTCCGGCGGGGCCTAGGCCTCTTTGCTGTAAATATGTGTGAAAGGTATGATCACCGAAGTTATATTCCTTAACTTGTATCTTATTAAGAATTAATAGGAAATTCCTCGTTTCAATAGATATCAATTAGCATAAGTTTTTAGTGGTATTTTGTAAAAATTGAGTATCTCACGAACTTCCGGTACCCCGCACGTACTAACCTTAAGACTAAGCGAAGTGGGGCGAGTGATCTCCTGAAGGGCTGTACCGCTCAAAGGGATAGAATCGGGTCGTTCATCGGTAACGGGGAAACCCTCATTCCCGGACTTGTGTAGCCTCTCTCGGCAATTCTTATCCGTCTCGCGGGTTGGGATTAGGATGCCCTTGATCTTCTCTCTCGCCAGCTACCTACATATGAACTTGGCAAAATTGTTTGAAAATCCATCCATAGTTTTTACCAAAAGTATGTTCCTTGGGTCATGACCTGTCCGTGTTGAACGAATGTGCTGGCACACGCTGTCTCCTTAGCTCAAAGCGTTGTGCTTCCTTTTTCCAACAGGCCAGCAACACCACACATCAACCAATCCTAGCTCAGAGCCATCTCAATCCCTGTCAACTAAACACTAACTTAAATCCGACCGAATCACAAACTCAGCCTTGACGCCTCCTCATCTTAATGTTGGCTCATGCCCTTGTCTCTTTCCAACATACAGGGCATATTCGACCATTTCTCATCTCAACAAGGCTTTACTACTACTTATGTTATCGTCTGAAAATTCTGTGTAGAAAACCTCGTACAATAACGATAAGAACTATCGTTAACGGCTAGCCATCTCCGTCTTGTTGCCCGTGTCTGAGGGTGGTGCACCTCAGGTTGTGGCGTCCCCAAGGCATTGTGACATGTCGCTGCGCTATGGCGTGGCTGGCATTAGCGCTTGCGATGAGGGTGCCCCCTGATACATGCTGACGAAGGCTGGTAGCGCCACGGATTCCCAGGTCATCCTACTTCTAGCCTGAGGCTCGTTCTCATCAATCCCAATCCCCGTTCAATTACCCTCACAAGCGCGCAGAGAGCTACCCGTTCTCCCATCTGGTCTTCGAGACTTGACCGAGCTGATTGTGGATTTGCCCGGATGGACCAAGACGCTCATCTGCCACATGACTCGCTGGGACCGCGGGCTCTAGCTATCGTCACGCCCTTTCTCATCATTGCTATTCTTGTCTTCTCAGTGCGGATCTATACTCATGTAGCCCCAGTATACAAACTGGATGCCTCAGACTATACCATCTCGGTCGCCATTATAAGTACAAGATAATCTAGATAAATAGATAATACTGATTTAAGTGTAGATTATGGAAGTCATTATCTACTCGCTCTTTATAGTAAGTGTTGCTTCTGGGCTGGGCCGTTACAGCTATAATATATCTCTGGAGCAGGGCATTAAGACCCTTTAATATATTTATATGGTTATTTTACTGTTAACTTTAGTGTCTGCCCTCGCCAGGACCTCAGTTGGGTTTCTACTGCTAAAGTTCGCATCAATGAGGCCTGGCATGCAATCATCTAGTTTATAATTGGTATTCAAGCTGCCTGCATTATCAGCACTGAAATCTTCTAGCCCATCCAGTGTCGACCAATTAATTCACACTGGGAAGAGGTTCTAGATGCGCGGTGCTTAAGTGCGCAGCAGATTTAGATATGTGGCTGCGTGACTATAGGTAAGTTATCAACCACGCGTGATATTGGCCCTTATTGCATGATGCTAACTCCTCTTGCAAGGAGCTGCTTTATTTGATGACTTAACTTTAGCAATCATGCTAATGTTCTTAATCTGGAAGCTTAACTAATCGACAGTGGAACACTGTCTTATCACCGTTTTGATGGCGCTTGGCCTGGTTGCAGCTATAACCATCATCTTGAGGCTCATCAAGGTATGCATATTGGACTTTGCTTCTCCAGAAAGGTTCAGGACTCTAATACCGGTATACTTTTGGCTTCAAATGGAAGAGGCCATTTTGATAATAGCTTCCTCCGTGCCCATACTTAAGTCCCTAATCGAGCATATCCTCCATCGATTCGGCCTGCCTATATTCCAGCCCAGGATTAGGAAATTGACCTCATTTCACTTCAGCACCCCTACGTCAGATACAACACCACGCTTGCACCATCAGCAGTCGCAGAAGGAGCTACTAGGATACAAGCAACCTTTTTATGCATGAGCCCCGGCTCGAAGCAGCAGAGGACAGTCCATCAATATCGAACAATATGCAGCCTCTTTGCGATATTTCCGAAGCACTGACGTGCTGATTATCTCACCATGGATTGCGGCAAAGGGTCTACAGCCTGATCTGATAACTCGACAGCAAACACGGCTTGAAAATGAAATACTCATCCAATCCAACCTATGGATTTCCTTGAAGATGCAAAAGGGAAGAATTTCAGGAGCTCCTATCCTGCCCAATCGAATCCCAGATCCTCACGACAGCCTCCTGGGCAAGCCAGATTGTATGAAAACGCGATCATATGACGCAGAATCGCCAAGCACCTTCGTGGAATAACAGACTCGGACGAGGTAGACGCAGTCAGGTAAGAAAGTAGTAATCATATATACATCGACTCTAACAAAGAGATATATAAAATTAGCGTTTATTTTCACCCAGCTCTCGATCCCTCTTATGCTTCCGCCTTGGCTACATTAATCTCAGGCCCTGACCACCCGATACTCAGCTTGGCATATCATTTATGGAAGCCGTTAACTAATTCATCCCGACTTTGGGGAAGCGGTACACTCCTGGAGCCACATATGAACATAATCGTATTATGAGCTACTGTCAGTCCAAACATCGCCTAGTTATACTACGCAGTCGCCTGCACAACCCGAAATTCCCGCTCTATACGGGTTTCTCCTGGGCCCGCATCTACGCTTATGGTAAAAGTAAGACTCCAGCATGCCAAAAACGAGTGGGCTTGGGACACGGATGTGTGCACGGATAGGTTGGCACATAATTTTGTTATCATACGGTCCGTGCTCAGCCCAGTAGGTAATTTAAAATGTTTAGTCCGGAGAAGTTGCTCAGGAACCCGTGAAAGGCCGCCTACAGCTCGTTCCTACAGAAAAGTTATTAACTCCTCCCGAATCCAGGACCAATTAGTTTTCCAGCGAAGAAGGTGTATTTAGAATCTACCCAAAATCTAGCCCCAGTCAGCTCTATCCATAGCTGTTCCTCACCCCAGATTTCTCCAATTAGCCATTCGATCTTTCATTTTTCTTCCTCCACTGTCAGATTCTATCACAATTCGATATCGAAATCTAGCCATTGCGAAGCCAGTGCTGATAACCTGCCCAACTTAAGCTTGAATTATCAGCCCAAACAATCGATACTTGCCAAATTTCGAGCGCTGATATTCTCTCAATTTCTTACCGAGCTCTCACAGTTGGGACATTAACATGGGTTGGACCCGATGTATCAGTGCTAGAGCCTGGGATGAGTTAAATCGTGGTAAGTGACTATTAGCCCCTTGTACTCATGCCTATCGACTGCCGCTGACAACTGTCCACAGTACTTGAGTTAATCCCTCAGGGAAACGACGCGATCAGTTGTGGCAATAGCACTGGGCTTCAATGTCCCGAGTGCTCAGACAGCAAGAGCTGCCGATATACCGTTCCCCTCTACTGTGTCCAATATGCTACATCTGCCTCCAGGAGGAATACAGAGGCCGAATCAAAGAAAGGCGGCTGCGGCCTAACCATTGGCGGCATCATTGGCGGTATTATCGCTAGCATTGTAATAGTTTTCGCCGCTACATATTTAGTTTGGAGGCTCTATATCAAGCCTAAGAGGTCACAGAGTCCCACATCTATCCATGTCTTCGACATGGACCCTATGCAAGGTTCCGAAAAGGATGCCGCCTCGAGGAGAACTTCTCTCTTATCGACACATACCGTTCACTCTATGGCTCCCACCATTCTTACTCGAGCCTCCAATATTATACAGATCGCCTACATCCCCGGCGTTACCAACCGAGCGGCTCTGACGTCATCAAACCTTGTTGTTTCTTCCGTCCCGCTGACCCCCATGCGTCACACGGAGGGCAACCGAGGCCATGAGAACAATGACCAACACTTTTTCTTCCCTTGCGACCTTCAAGGATCGACCCATTCGAATCTATCTCGGTATTATCAACAGGCGATTTAACTACCATCGTCCATACAAATCGATGCTCGGTTCCGTTCGCAGTGTTGTCTCTCTGCAGTTCAGCTGCGCGTGGTTGCAGTTCTGGTTGCGTTTCTAGATTGTGCTGACAGCATGTTTCAACGCTTACTGTTCGGGCATTCTCTCTTTGTTCTTTGGTCAGTCGGCGAAAGACGCCGTGGACTTTCCTTGGGCGAGCTGGGCACTTGTGAAAGTTGGCGCGGTGAGGACCGATGCAGTTGACACATTGTTCTGGGACAATACAATCATCTGGGGCGTAGCCAGTCTTGCCGCAACGTCGACAGGGAGGGCTCTTGTGGAAGGCGCGGAAGGAGGGATGGTCCCAATGTGTTTTACAATGCCTATGACGATCGGCTTTTGTCAACAAGGGTAGCCGTGCGGCTGCCAAATAGAGACCAGTATTTCTTAGTCGGCTTCAAGAAAGAGACAAGCAGGGTCTTATCAAGAGGGTATCCGAGGTATGCTACAAAGGGCGCACGTCAACAGGCTTGAGCCCCGTCTGGATTTCTATTTCATCGTTCACAACACTTCCGCTGTCCAACGTATTGCCATGGAAGTCGGTTAGGCCACGGGGAAAGTCTGCGACCGCATAGGTAAACCACTTCTTGTTAGTCTCCACCGTGGTGGTCCTAGAGTCTGCTGCCCACTCCGCCTGCTTCTCTACGAGGAAGTCACGGATCTCAGGGTCGGTGGTCTGGATAGCCATTCAGAGTTGAGTTGAAATACCTACCGAATCCAGTCCAAAACAGTGCTGAGCTTTCACAGATGAGGGTCCGGATTGCGTAGTTATTATGTTCTGCCCGGAGCTCTGGCTTCCAGGAGGATGAAGTCACGAAGGTCCTCACGGAATGGGGGCGGTAGTAACCGGTTGCCCCTGGAGATGAGGAGGGTCGATATTTTGTTCTCCTCATTGTCGTTGATGTTGACGCTGATGGCTTAAGTGGTCATAAGCAGCAGGAGGCGAGGCAGCGACGCTGCTGTGGGTAGGTTTGGAGGCAGATCTGGCACTGGAGAGCTCGCCGCTCCAGAAGTCTGGGAAGTTATTGGAAAACTATTGGATGAACTCTCGTTCCAGTCCAGTAATAAATTCTCTAGCAGTTTCTTCGAGCTTGACTCAGGAGGCCTGGAATACTATCAACTTAGCATTATACTCCTCCAGGCGTTCGCGTGCGAGCCTATTGGCTGGCTCGACAATAGAACCCGCTTACTATCCTTGAGGGGATAAGGGGCACGCAGAGTGGATTGCTTCCGTAGCTGCGGCAGTGTTGGTGACGTTGAGTGGCGATGACGGCGTTTGAGCCATCCGTCCGGGTCTTAAGCAGTGGGCGGATTTGTCGTAGAGGATGCCATCGCCGCCACTTTCGAGCAGGTTGGGACGTTTGCTGCGCACTTGTTAAAGAATAAGCTGTCGATAAGGCTACTTTCTCAAAACCTGCATGCCAAGAAAATGAGATTATAAGTGGAGGTTTTAATAACCTAATCAGCCTCGTGAAAACTACGACCGATTCCGAGTAGGCACGGCCACCTCCCCGAGAGCCGTTCATCTATGGTGCGTGTTAAATGGTTGAGACCGTATGACTAAGATGGTTCGATCTGTCGGTGGCTAGGATGTGGATCCTATGTAAGGAGTTGTTAATTAAACCTTTTAGTGATATCTTCGACGCCCACGATATTGCTTCATCACAAATATATCAAATTAAATTTCAAATACAGCATTTGATATTCTCGATACGCAACGAGTCATTAGTACATTTGTTTTGATTTACTTGATAATTTGTTGGATTGGATTGTATTTTTGAGCAGCACCGCATAGTTTGCGCGTCGGCTGGTCACAGTAAGCCATTCATATAAGCGTTAAAGAAGAGCGAGCGCCTCGATGATATCTTGAAACGTGGCGTAGTCGCTAGTGCTAACTATATCTGTTTTCTGACGTCAGCGAGCGTACATCATACTGCTACATTGTTACGAGCAGCTATTATTTACCAGCTTACGATATAAAATAGCGTGCTATCTAGAGACGGAGTTGGAATTATCCTTAAGCTACTCACATATCAAATTACACATCACTTATAACGACCTCTAGTCCTGACAGTTCCTGCCCGAGAAGCGCCTTTATTTTGAGAACTTCCATGATGGCTTTATTAGAGTCCAGAAGGAGCTGTGGGATGTCGTAGGCGTGACGTTTCCGACTAACTCGAACTCTTAAAAATGTAACTCTCGGGCCCCTTAGCAGTATCCCTAATGGCTTTTGGGGATTTCCTACCGATAAAGGTTAATTCACCTGCGGGAAGGTTATTTTGCGGCAAGACTGTCGCGGTCCGTGCTTCATTTTATATGCACGCACCATGGTTATTTCAGCGTGAACACATACAGACATAGTAGAATAAAGCCCAGACTCTCAGATTATAGATATGCCTCCATAAATCCGGGAACAACCGAATCGCGACGTTATAGACCTAGGTGCTTGCATAATAGGCGTTTAACGGCGTCGGCTGCGCAGTTTGCATAGATTTAGCATATAACCCTCTCGAGCCTCCTACCTGTTGCTAACCAAACATGAGCCAGGACGCAGGGAGCTCTCCACATGCACGATTTAGTCAACAAGGTGTCACGCATACGGCTTTGCAACGATATGACATGGCAATGGCGAACTTTCTGAAACCAGCGCCTGTCACAGCAAATAGCTGGACGTTTGAGATTGGTTCAGCATCTTGGCTTGGTTGATCAGGACAAGATTCCTACCACGGTGCAGACACAACATTACAGTGCAGCCGGCTCCATAAGGCAAAATAATTTGGCAGTCCTTGAACTAGCATCCCCGTTTAGCGTAAATGGCAATGGCCACCCGCCAATTGAACGTAAGGATTGCCTAATCAATACAGCCAAACCAAACGCACCTACAACGGTACGAGCTGGCGGATCTTGCCATCAGAATGACATTCGCTCCAGCGGTTGGGACGTTGATTAATTTATAGATAGTATTTTACCCCTTCCGGCTGTGCTGCGTTGAAGGCTGTACTAGAAAGATTTCATACCCTGGCCCTGCGGATCCTTGATCTCATTTTTTCTGATCCTTTTTACACCTTTCCTCTTCGTTCCGTCGGAGAATCAACATACAATTAAGCTATCTTTGATCGATAGTATTTTCCCTAAGATGACCAGCCCCTGTGCGAATTACTATGTAAGCTTCCATTCCTGGCTCAAAATCTTGAGTATTGACCACGAACAGGGCTCTCCCAAGTGCCGCAATACTGTCCTGTTATTTGGTGCCTGGTGCAATTTCTGTCTGGTGTAGTCTTCCTAGACGCAATTGTATCGTTCCCACGCTAACCCCGAATATGGTACTAGACCGCAGGTGCTGGGATGCCTATTAATAATTTGCTGCCACACCCTTCGACTCCATCCAGCGAATATGTCAAACCCATGAATGAGAACGTGCGGAAGAATAATGCGGCTGCTAGTAAGGAGGGTGTGGCATACTGGAAGAGGGCCTATGCTTCTCCTTGGGCCGTTCAGAAACTTGTATATCCAGGTGAATTAGGATTCTGAGACGGCAACTCTGCTTCCTTCTTTCCGATATTAAGTGTTAGCGACTGCCACTGTCATGGAACCTCCCAAATGGGTCGCAAGCAATGTCATCCACTGGAAGTCCTCGAGGTGTTATATTGATAGATAGCCCCCATCCACGTCTAGTGAGGGGTGATATTGGAACTGGCTGGTCAGGCCATTGAATCAAGGGGCATAGCGGCCGTTTCAAATCCTTCTAAACGCATGTTAGAGTAAGTAACATTTAAATCTTACTGAAACCCGGTCACGAGGCCGGGAGAATCATGTCTTCAAACGCTCTAATCTGATATTCATGGTTGAATGCCATATGATTCTTCAGTGACGCGTATGTCTTCCGGGAGAAAGAGAATCCTTGCGCGGTCTATAGCCCATTCATTCCAAAATCGACCACATCAGGCTGTTGGGGGCATGAGGCTAGGGTGAGGGGGAACTGCCATAAATATGAGGAACACACTCTCTCCTAGAGGGTGAAAATATCAGCATTCCCAACAACTCTCACTGCCATATTCCCCTCCGTCCAGTCATCATAGAAGAATTCCTGTCTTCAACTAAAACACTCTGCGAGGGAAACGCATTGATTTTGATTTCGTTCAACTGTTCCGTTCTTTATTTGCCGGTCACTGGGAACAGGTATATTTTCTTTTATGCGCCATATTGCAAGGCTCGGGGAAGACTTGCCGTCAACGTTCAGTTCGAAACGTCGGATCCTACAATTCAGCCATTGACAGACTGCTTGGAGGCCATTAAGCCAGCAAGCGGTGCATAAGGAACAGCTACTAGTGAGTAGCTACCACTAAAGAAAGTCTTTAGCCTAGCGGGTTGAACAAGGGTATTCTGCCTTCCCATATCGTATTCGCTTGTCCAGGAATCACACTCTTAAATGGTCTACTTCATAAGTGGCCTCCAACATGAAGCCATTGATGCATACCATGGCTTGAACATTGAGGACTGATGCTCCTGATCGTGTTCGACTATTTTTCTTTTCGTCTTCCTTCCTTTCTTCCATTTTCTTCTTCTTTCTTTTCTCGCTTTTTTTGTATAAAAAAAGAAGAAGAAAAGACATTCATTTAGGGAATGAAAATCACTCCCTCACAAGCGGAGGGATCCCTTGCGATATTCGTCGCTGGCTGGCCGCTCGTAAGAGGAGATGGATTCCTAAAGCTCTGGTTACCGCCCATCCGCCTATTGGTGCATTCGTGAACAAAGGAACCCTACAGAATCAGACAATAGCAAGTTGTCGTAGCAGTCAACGTGCACATAAGCATGATTCTTTGTCGGTCAGCAAGGATGCTGTAAGGTGTGATGTTAGATTTGTAACTCACAGCACTTCGTGTCTTTTTTTTCTTCCAGCTCGAAACGCCAACACCAGCGAGAAATATAGGTCTCGAAATACAGAAATTCCCCACATTCTGCGAGTCGAAGGTGGCCGTAGCTTCAAGCTTGTAATTGAGTGCCTGAAAATGGCTCAGTTTTACGGTATAAATGAAGGTGCTATCTGGAAATTCCAGGAGAAGCCGAGTGCCCTTTGGGCAGGTGGGTCAGTTCTCTATCCGATTAAGCGAAGAGAGCACAAAATAGTATGCATCACAATGATGACAGATTGCAGATCCAACTAGAGCGGGGTCTCTCATGGCGGAGACGGCAGCGAGCTTTGGGAGTTTTATATTTCAGTCACCGAAATAACCAGCCCCATTCCCTTACCATATTTTTTTGGCCTATGCCTTACCGGCTATTCACTCCTGTTTGTGAATCTTGTCCCAGGACATCACTTGCATCGAACGACGTGCCTCACCGTCATAGACAATTGAACCTGCATCATCGGCAAGCCAGAATACTACATCGACGGTACGAAGAGATAACCTTCGACCAGTCCCTTCATCGGGACGAGGCGGATCCCCCTCCGGACCCCAACACCTCCATATTCTAACTCAGCGAGCCTCTGAAACCACAGCCGCATTTGCCTCTGCCCTCGCTCATCCGCCTCGCCGGAGTATTGCCGAAAAAAGACATGCTTTTTGGAGCCTTGGAATAAGTCGCTTAGCGGGCGACATCGTGTTTGTATAGCGACCTACCATTATTTCCAGCGGAGCATTGCCAATGTGTACCCAGGAGTGCGCTCGAATAGGCCATAGTCATATGCCATCAGAATCTCTGGGTTGGCACAATTCTCCGGTCCACATCGTATAGAACCTCAAGCTCCAGCAACTTCATTTCTGCGGCCTGTACCCCTAACTATGGCGTAAAGTCTTGCTACTGAATGAGCCTGAATTCTTTCGATGAATATTAAGGCTGTTGATGTACAGTATGAGCAGGGTATCATCGTGGAAGGGGGAAGCTGTGCTGTAGCTGGCGTATTACAACGGAAAAACAACCTGGACTTGCTAGGGTTACGGGTGAAATACCTCAACCCTCACACACCAGTCGGCTTCAAAGTCTGGATTATTGCGCAACACGACCACTTTCTGCAGTGGCTTTAGCATTTGAAGGGATCACTATACACTGCTGTGGTTGTTTAAGCCGCCTCCGCCGAAGCCGCAGGGGAAGAAGGGAAAGCCCAAGGCCGTCGTGGCCCTCAGCAATACACAGAGTGTCGTCTTTCACTTATGTAATATGTTGCCAAAGCAGACATATCACGTCTTCATAGATAACCTCTTCTCCTCGCCAAATCTCTTCCGTGCCCTTCGCGAGGCAGGCAACAGGGCCACAGGCACAGCACGCCCAAATTGCGGCATCAGCAAGGAGCCAAAGGAGGCCAAAAGGAGGGATAAGGCGGGCACCGGCGCCGCCTTTCACTATAATCAGGTGAGAGCTATCCCATACAGTGGACAACCTTGTGAGTGTATTAGATATATTTGTGTTTATTTCCTTTACCAATTTATCTCTTTCCCTCCTTCCTAGGTCTCTCAAATCGCTTGGAAAGATAACAACCTCATGCTCTTTCTTTCAACTTGCATACTGGTGCTGATGAGGAGTGAACAAGGAAGAATAGGAAAATAGCGGCCAATAAAGGCATACGATCAGTGTGGGGAATATATTTACCGATGTAGATGGAATGTAAATGTAGATAAATGTAGACTACATCTATTTATCTACTGCTGGCCCTTGTGCATCATCTATCTATCTGGCCGCCAGGTAGATAGATGAAATGTGGGGTAGATGCCAGCCAAATTACCTGAGGTAGAGGTACCTAAACATGCTGGAATGTGCCTGGCGTACAGAGGTACTGGTACCCCTCCCTGTATTTTTGCTTTTGTTCATGTCTTGCCTTTGTCGTTCTTTTTGCACTCCTATTCCTCGTCAAACCGTAGATCAGATTTTGCTATTGAGATCATGCATGCAAATTTTGCTCGTCCTGCGAAGTGTCCCGGAATCAGTGGGCCTGGTCTTTGCCACAAAACCATTTCATAATGGCAACCCCCAGCGATATATTCAGCTTCTCAACCGATCCTAATGGCTCTTCAGATATATCAAGTCTTGCAGAGCTACGGAAGCTGGATTTGTCACTATCCCTCGGCATCTCCGCGATCATCAAAGACTGGGACGCAGTTTCTCAGCCTGTTCGGGGTCATTGGGTCCTCTCAACCCGGACTGAGCTAGCCACTGGGGGGTTTTGGGCTCATGGCTATGACGTTCAGACCAGAAATACAGCCAGCAAGCCTGACCCGTCCAGTTGGCTCTGCTGTCACTGTATCCAGCAGAAGGTGCATAAGCCAAAGGTTTATGTCTCTTCTAACACCCGGAAAATTGAGGGACACCGTAGCAAAGCCCATAACCTTTTCAATCCAGACCCCTTAAAGGTAAAGTGATACACACCGGACTCTGAATCAACTAACACTTCAAGACCTTGCCGCTAAAAAAAAAAAAAAAAAAAACCGGAAGGAGGACGACTTCCGTGATGAGCTAGTTGCTCGCTTTGACAAATTAACTTTTCAGCGCCTGCTTACCCAGTGGATCACAGACGCAAATCTCTCTTTCCGTGTCTCTGAGAACGAGGGGCTCCAGAAGGTCTTTGGTTACCTTGACTCTTTGGTTCAAGAGACCTCAGCAAACCTCAGGCATAAAACGATTCGGATCAGGATTATCACCGAGTTCCATACTTACAAAGCTCACATCATGGACACCTTATTGCAGAGTCCTAGCCAGGACCATATTGCATTCGATGGCTGGACTTCTCGAACCGACATTCCTTCTTCTCCGTCAACGCTTTTGTCCTTGATGAAGACACTTTTCGGCCTCGAAAAGTGCTCTTGGGACTTTCAACCATCTCCTTAGCCCATATTGGCGAGAACATCTCTGCAGCGGTGATGGAGGTGCTAAAAGAATACGACCTGATCTCTCACAACAAGATTGGATACGTTGTCCTGAACAATGCGTCCAATAACGGTCGGGCCATCGAAGAGCTGGGGCGGAAGCTCCAGTGGCGGGACCCAGCAAGCAGAAGGATCCGCTGTTTCGGGCATATCCTTCACCTTGTCGCCAGAGCGATGCTCTTTGTCAACGATGGCAATGCTCTTGAGGACCTGGATCCAGAGGAGTTTGATGAGTGGACGAAGGCAGACCCGGTTGGCAAACTCCACAACCTTGTGGTTTGGGTCAGTCGATCCAACAAGATAACAACAGCCCTACGAAGGCTGCAAGATGAGGACCTTGAAATGAACTATCCTGTGCCCTGGACGGGGATGCCCTCAGTTGGCTTAAGGATATCCTTGAGATGTTTGATCCTGTCTCTTACGACTTGAAGGAAACGGCCAGGTCAGACTCCGTAAAGGAGAAGCTGAGGCGCAATATGGCATTGTCTGGCAGGTCGCTATTGCCTATGAATTTCTACTTGCCACGCTGGAGAAGGCAAAACTCGAATCAAAAGATCGAACAGAGCCCAGATACCATTCCTCCTACATCAATTCTGCCTGGGCCAAGCTACACAAGTACCATGCCCCACCCCCCTTTCGGCAACCCCCCCCTTTCGGTAACCAAAAAAATCACCTTCCCACCCAAAATCTATTTTTTATACGGGCTAGATTTCCATCAAATTTTGAGTCTATAAACATAAAATATATATCATTCTGTAGAGAATTGAAGTATTTATTCTTGTCGAGGCTTTTTTATAAGCCGCCCAGACCTGGTGGCTATTTGAGGGGGTTCAGGTGCAGCCGTGACCTCAATCTCCGAAGCTGTCTCCATGTCTGAGACCACCTCCTCCTCCGATTCAGAATCCACCAAAATAGACGATCCTTGATCTCCAACTTCGGGAATAGATTTATCTTGTATACGAGCCTCGCTGAGTGTCATAAACCGTCTGTTCGGATTAGGAATAGCTCGTCTTTTCTTCCCTCTCTTCAAACGAGCCACTTCTTCCTCCAGACTAGTAATTCTGCTGGCATGTGCTGCAATGGCCTGTTCTTGGGCTTCAAAGCCTCTGGCTATCACAGCATAACGTTTTCGACTTCCAGGAGACTTGTTCCTGCCAAGATCACGAATTTGGCGGCTGGTCTTTGGTGTATCATCCGAGCCCAAATAGGGGACGCGGTCGGGAGTCGTCTCTATCCTGTCTGCTTGAATCTCTGGATGCCGCAATGCCTTGGCTCGTGAAATTGGCCAATTTCCAGTAACTCTCCAACCGGACAGTATATTCTTTGACGTCATCGCGACCTCACGTGCTTTGGCATAAGCCCGTATAAAGTTGACCTTGTCAATAGGTGCAGAATCAGTCAGAGAAGCTAGTTTTTCAAGCTCTTTCCGATATGCCGCCTTCGAAGCATTAAAAACACCATTATCCAACGGCTGGAGACCATGAGAACAATGGGCAGGGAGGTAACAACAGTAGACGTTGTTCAAAAAGCACGTTACAATCCATTCGTCCTGTTTCAAATCAACATTGATTCTTTGGCATATAAACAAAAAAAAAAAAAAAACGCACCGTGGCATGACTTCCATGTCCATCCAGAATAATAAGCCTGGCATCAGATTCGTCGGCAGGCTGGGTCTGAGGCAAGTAGACTCTCTCAAGCCACTCGACAGCAATGTGGTTGTCTGTCCATCCATTAGGCGAAGTAATATAATTCCAATCAGCTATTTTCCGGAATTCTTCCAAAAACCACTGTTTTTGAAGTTCCTTGCCTTTAAATATGATGCCAGGCGTCAAAGCACGGCCGTCCGCAGTGATAGCCTCAATAAATGAAGTCCAGTTACGGGACTGGGGACCCTTGAGTAGGGCCTTTCGTTTTGGATCTGAACTCCCAACCACCAGGCTATCCAGACCTAGCAAACAAGCCTGATTAGCTAGATTCATGAATAAAAAGTTAGACACTCGCCAAAACCAGCCATAATACCGCCCTCATCAACGTTCACTGTGTTTTCCGGCTTAATCCACCCATACTCCTCTTCCCTAATATCAAAGTACCAGTGCACCGCTTTGGGAGTGAATGAATTGAATCTGTTGGCCTCCTGGCGTCTCCCAGGTTTGGTCTTGAGCTTCGGATGGCGTTTGATGAATTTGGCTACCCAGTTGCGTCCCAATTCCTGCTTCTTGTTTTGTTGTTTTAAGAGAGCCACGACGCAAGCACGGATCTGACCGTGGGAGGGAGCATAACCCAGGGACTCTTGGCGGAAGATCCAGGAAGCTAAATTAGCCTCCTGATTCCTGGATAAGTGTCGGTTAGGTTGAACCTGATCATCCAAGGCTGTCTGGCCATGGAATCTGTCGGAAATGGACTGCTGAGGTATGCCGTGTTTCTGGGCGGCATGGTTTTGCGATAAGCCGTTTTCTGTGACATCAAGTATGGCATCAGCCATTTCATCCTCCGTATAAACACTCCGAGGCCGTTGTGAAGCCATTTTGGGTGAATTGTGGAGGACTGGCAAGAGGAGGAATCATCAGGAAGCAGGAGGAGATTAGGGCGCTGAATTGCAAATATTGAAGTGCAGGGTGACCACGGACCACCGGCCCCACGTGACGAGCTGACCTTTAAAAGTGAACCCTAGCCACTTTTTTATACGTTAAAGGCGATGACTTGTGAATAGGTTCAAGAATGACTGAAATATATGTAAGTGAACTTGGTGAGTTTTGTATGGGAAGGCGATTTTTTTGGTTACCGAAAGGGGGGGGTTGCCGAAAGAGGGGTTGTGGATGGTACTATACGAAGATTGATGAGACGCCAGTATAGTACGCGGCTACGGTACGGTTCTTCACCCTGGAATACAGTGGTCGTTTTTGACAAAAGCATATGGCGGAAGGGAGGGTTGGATTGACAAGGCTCGACATCTCATCCAAACGCTTTCGGAGGAAGAGTATAGGGATCTTCCTGCCCAGTGGGAGATCGGTGATAGCAATCTTCCTGTAGCCGTGAGGGCACGGGAGTACAATCCCTTTGACTCATTCCAAGATAAGCTTATGTCGTATCCGAACTCCGAAGAAGAATCAGTCGCCGATGAGTTCGAAAGGTGGCAATCTACAAGGCAGGACATATTTTCAAAGCACGATAATCCGCTTGAATACTAGTCTGCCAAGCGGTTTGAGTATCCTCGTGTAGCGAAAAAGGCGATTGACGTCTTATCAATCCCTGCAATGGCTGCCGAATGTGAGAGAGCATTTTCCTCCGCTGGTAATATGGTCTCTCCTCAGCGGACTCGTTTGGATCGAGTACAATTGCAGTTACCCATCCCAGGACAGTCTCCCGGACAATCAAACAGTAGAAAGAACACCACAATAACGTCTCTAGACCACAAAAAGAGCGTCCCAGGAAGCTCAGCGCGCTAGAGATTGTAAGAATTAACTCATTTATTAAACAGAGCCGCTCAATTACTTAGAATGAAGCTTTGTTAGAGCTTGGTGTTAAGGTATCAGCCCGGACACTACGTCGTCGGTTGGAGCGATATTGGCGGCGCAAATAGAGATAAAAGAAGAGGATTAAACTGTCACAAGACGATGCAAAAGCACGGCTATAATATGCACGTTTTTGGATTCACCGTATTAATGAATATTTACTAGTAAATGCCGCTAAAATCCAACCCTTTCAACGCTAACTTTCTCAAAGATCTGCTTTACAGACAAAGTCACGGTTTCGAATGCGCCGAACAACCCTAACGGCTAGGTCTTTCGCCGGCCTAATGAGAAATACCGTACAGATCTAGTTACTATCCGGCAGCATATTAAACCGACTATTTCTATTATGTTCTGGGGAGCCCTTGCTAGAGACAAGCAGTCTTATCTTATTCCTATAATAGAGATATTACAGCAAATAAGAAGGGATATTCAAGCATGGTCTTATTGTATAGCCCTGACAGAAGGTTTTCTTCCTTTTATTGATGAATTTGAGCAATTTCAGTAAGACAACGCCCGGATTCATATCGCAAAACCGTCAATGGATTGGCTGCTGTTACATGGGATTATTCCCATTAATTGGCCGTCCCATCCGCCTGATTTAAACCCCATTGAACACATCTGGAAAGCTTTAAAAGACAAGGTTCGTCGGATGCACCCTGAACTTATAAATTGAAGAATAACAAGGCCGATAGAGCCGAGTTAATCAGATGGTGCCAAGAGGCGTGGGCAGCCTTGCCTCCCCACCTGATTTTGAAGCTGATGACTTCAATGCGAGAGCAACTTCGTGCAGTCATTCGGGCACGGGATGGCATGTACAATATTGAAGCTCTGATTCAGGGCTATTGATTGATATACTCTATGATTAAATTGAATGAATATTCCTATTGCAATTGCTGTTTATGTAGTTGGTGTTATCTCTTTGAGCGGCATAAGACTGCAGCGGGGTCACGACCGGGGTAAAGGATTTATCAAAATGAGCGCAACGAAGGGTACATTCTCACACACCTATTTCTGTGTGTGATAGAAGTACCAGCAGTTTGCCGTGTTACAAATAGCTACATCACATACTTTACAGCCGTATCGGGTCTGCACCCTTCGTTTATTTCCTGATATTGGCTGTAGATACCATCCAGGACCACCTAGTGGGCACCCCCACCTAATGGACCACCAAAACTTCGATCTTCCCATACAAAATCCAAATATTGATGTCCGCAAAAACAGGCCCGATTCTCAATTAATAAACGAGGCTTTAAAGAGAGTTTCTATAAAGTTATTTGAATTTTACTCTCTGCGTGGTTTTTTGACCTCCCGACCGCTTCGTGTGCGCTGGCAGTGCTTTGTTACGACCGTAAAGTCCTCACGTTCGTCCTCTAACCCGACACCCACCTCAATCATCGACTCGACCTCCTCATCCACATCCACCTCTATTTCTGCCTCCTTTGAGTCGGGAAAAGCTTCTCCAGTCGCTAGAGCCTCCGCTAGAGCCATGAATCGTCGGTTCGGGTTCGGTACCGCCTTTCTTTTCTTCCCTCGCCGCAGCTGAGCCATCTGCTCCTCGAGGCCAGTAATCCGCGCATTCTGAACGGCAACCTTCATCTCTAAAGCTTCCAGCCCCTTTGCGATCTTACTATACTTCTGCCTGGTCGGACGACTTCGGTGCTTGGCCATTTCCCTCACTTGCCGGCTCGTTTTCGGCGTATCATCTGAGTGCAGTTGAGGAGGGCTCGGCGTCTTGAACTCTTCCAGCAGTTTTTCTTTGTCCGGTTGAATCTCAGGATGTGCTAGAGCTTTGTAACGATTTATTGGCCAATTACCAGTAAACCTCCAGCCGGATAAGATAACATCCTTCCTCATGCCCACCTCCCTCGCTTTCGCGTATGCCCGAATAAAGTTGACTTTGTCAACCGGCGCAGAATCGGTCAAACTAGCCAGCTTTTGGAGTTCTTTCCGATACGCACCTTTTATAACATTAAAAATTCCATTATCTAACGGCTGCAAACCATGGGAACAATGTGCTGGTAGGTAACAGCAGTAGACGTTGTTCAGAAAGCACGTCGCCATCCACTCGTCCTGACCGCTTGTTAATGGCCCTATAGCGGGTAACTCTGCGGCGAAAACACCAAAATGCTTACCTGCGCATGGCTCCCGTGACCGTCAAGGATAATGAGTCTCGCATCTGATGCATCACGAGGCTCCGTTTGGGGTAGATAGACGTCTTTCAACCATTCGAGAGCTATATGGTTGTCGGTCCAGCCGTTCGGGGATGTGATGTAGTGCCAGTCCGCTATCAATTCCAATTCATTCAGAAACCACTGTTTCTGCAGCTCTTTCCCTTTAAAGATAATTCCCGGTTTTAAAGAGCGGCCAGTTGCAGTGACAGCCTCAATAAACGAGGTCCACGTGCGTGACTGGACGCCTTTCAACATCGCCTTCTTCTTCGGGTCAGAGCTCCCGATTACGAGGCTGTCCAGGCCTCATGGACAATCAATTAGCTATGCCCTATAAAAACCCATAGAGTACTTGTAGAAGACTTACCGAAACCCACCATTATGCCGCCCTCGTCCACGTTAACCGTATTCTCGGGTTTGATCCAGCCGTACTCGTTCTCCCGGATATCGAAGTACCAATTGACCGCCTTCGGAGTAAATCCGTCAAACCTGGCGGCTTCCTGACGTTTTCCAAGCTTGGTAGATAGTTCTAGGTGACGCTTGACGAACCTGGTGGTCCAGTGCTTACCCAGAGGCTTGTTATCGCCTTGTTGTTTGGGGATGGCCTCGACACAGGCGCGGAGCTGGCTGTGCGAGAGAGCATAGCCCAGAGACTCTTGTCGCAACACCCAACGAAGGAGGGTCTCCTCCTGGCTCTTTGAAATACGCTGGTGGGCCTGGATCCGTTCATTCCTGCTCGCTTGACCAGAAAGTCGCCCAGAAAGGGTCGACCGAGGTACTCCACGTTTCTGGGCCGCCCCCGTCTGTGACAGGCCTCTATCAGTAATATCGAGTATAGCCTCAGCTACGTCATCTTCGGTATAAACACGGCGAACCATTGCGAAAGGAGTTCCATCTATTAAGTTAGGTGAAAATTCGGCTCAATTTGATGGAGTCGCGTAGGGTAGATGAGGAGAAATGCGAAAGAATTCAAACTGCTAGAGAACTAGACCACGAGTCGGAACGGGGAAAAGTTAAGCCGATATTGAAATTTCATGAAAACTGCTATACAACATTGGTATGGGTTTGTGAGTATCTTCGCTTTTGGCTGAATGCGATGTACTTGAAAATTCGGAGTTTGTATGGGAAGATTGAAATTTTGGTGGTCCATTAGGTGGGGGTGCCCACTAGGTGGTCCTGGATGGAATAGCTTGGAACGACAACCGTCTTGTATTAGTCTTGACTACTGTATTCACCAGCGCCGACGATGAGCGAGTCGAGCGGAAGGGGAAGAGGCCGTCCTCACGGAAGCCAGAGGCCAAGCAAGCCTATACGCTAGTTTTTTAGATTATACGTATGATCATTCCCTCCGCCGCGGCCCTTGGCAGGCACTCTGTTCGACCTTCCTTCTTGATGTGGCCCTTGTAAATCGCTATATTGCTCAACTAAAGGGGCCACAGCCAAATTGGAAGAGGTATACAGATCATAGCGAGTGGTGAGAGTGCATTTATAACGCCTTATTCAACACATATCATGAAGAAAGTCAGTCAAGAAAGAGGTATCGCGTAGGGGACGAATCCGACCCTGAAATACAGCAAAAAGAGCACCTTCTTGTCCGCCGGAAGATGAGGTCGGATTGCTTTGCTTGTCAGGGCTTTCGGCAAGGCTAAGTGAGGTCAAAAGGCTAAAAAAGGAGGCCCCTTGGGGAGGGTGGGGGCAATGCAAGAAGGGGCAGACCGATTATTGGTGTAGCGTGTGCAAGGTTCCTCTTTATAACAACGGGAACTGCTGGTACTTCTATCATAATAGAAATTAGGTAGGCAATAACGTACTCCTTGTTTGAGGCATTTTAATTGGACCGACCCCGCTGTCAGTACGGGAATTGAGGCTTGTGGGCATTGAGGAGATAAGTTATGATAACCTAGGCTGCATAAGAAATCCCTCGATTTTTAACTAACCAAGTGACTAAAACTAGTCTTTTATAGCCTCATACAGATGGCCTTATATTTGTATGTAATCGCCGGATCACTTGATAACGTTATGTTAATTTACTATAGCTATCTCGGCTCTAGAGCGTGAATATACTGCTGTGCCTCTTTGTTAATGTGGTGATGTATGAGGGTGCAGTTACAACTCGTGTGCTGTAATAGTTGCATCTTGAGATATAAAATCTCTTCTTTCAGATCACCCACGCAGCTAGATAGCGTTCTATGGCGTTGCTCCATAACCTGTTCAACGGACTGGAGTCTCGCAAGATCATCCTTCTTTCTCATGCGGCATTTATCGGCGGCAATGCGATTTCTCTCTTGCGCTTGCTTATGTTTCGCGGGTTGTTTTTCATTAGTCGCGCCGCTGCTGACGTTGATCCCATTTCCGTCAGCAAGAATCCCTTTCCTCCTCTGATCATCCGTATTATTGTCTCCTCTGGTATTGCGTCTAGCGGGTTTTGGAGCTTCGAGTTCCCTGAGCTGCGTCTTACTCTTTCGGCTGGGCTTTTTGAGTGGCTCTTGCGACAACTGCAGCGGAGGAGTCAAGGTTGAGGATGGTTCGTCAGCGACCGTTACCAGGCGATCAGGTGATAGAGTCTGGTTATTGACGGCGGAGTATGTATCGATCCAATGGTCTCCTGATCTAGATTCCCCGTAGAATAACAATTGGTCTTGGGGAAGGTAGTCTTGTCCGGATAAGGTAGTGATGTCGACTTCATTCTGGAAAGCGGCCAGGAAGGCTGGCGGGTTCATAGACTCCGAGAGCTCCCATTGTGGATAGGATAGAACGGCCGCGCCGTATACGGTGAGATCATCTCCAATAGCCTCGTCTAGGGTGTAGCCGTCGAGCATTGTCACCCCTTCCATGTAAGGAAGGGAGTTCGTGTGAGCATCTGCTTCAGAATATCAGCTCATACTCGTCCGGCATAGTTGTAAACATCAACTTACTATCGCTCATTTATCTACCGAGGGTAGGAACAATGGCGTAATGATGCTCTCTATAGATGGCTATCAGTGGCTTGTAGAATGGATCAATAAGTGTAGAGATGAGCGTCTAGAAACTTTTTGGTAACTTGGTAATGTTAAGACCTTAGGTTTGAGATCAGTTTTGCGGGAGGTTAATGTGAGTGGAACGGACGTCCTATTGCTTCTGGATTGCCTCCAGCCCCAACCGCTCCAAGCCTAAGGCGCAACCCAGTGGCAACTCAGTGACGCCTGGGTGTGTATGGGTAGCATCAAGGCCCCTGAAATGCGCGGCCTGGATTGAAGAGGCGACCCAGAGAGGGCACCAATGAGCGGTTGGTTTGCCGGCTAAGACCCTTAAGTTTCCGGAACACATGTCTTTATACATCCCGAAATGTCAAAGGGTGCGTGCCGCCTGCAGATCTGAGTTTTAAGTCAATAACTGGTGGGTTATCATAGTGGGGGCTCAACGCTCCATGCCTCGCTAGAATACAACCCCCATCTCCATACTTTGATTGGACAGGAGTCCTCGGAGCGAATCTGGTCGTTGTGATTGGCCACTGGAAACTGGAAAGCAAGATGAGGCGAGGGCTATGACTCGCGATGACGCGCCGCGTCTTAACTCAATCTGCAAACCTCGAGCGTCCGCACCCGGAATATGAGGAAGAGAATGAGATAGTTCGTCTGGGCAGCTGCGTTGGCCAATCAAACCATTACGGAGGCTCCGTAAGCCCAGGCTTAAGGCTTATTGCCGATCAGGTGGTGCCCGAGACATAAGTCTCATTGGTTTAAGCAAGCCATCTCATCAACGGGCTTCCGAGTGCTGGGGTTCCCCAATTGAATACTTTGAGCCGGTCAGCGGCAAATAATTCGAATGCCTGCAACGAAAAGGATGACGGGTCTGATTGGATATGCCGCTGATACGGGATGATTTAAAATTGGGGTCTTCAGAGCTGCCAGTCCAAAATGAGACAAACCCTCGGCCTCGGCCCATTTTAATTGCTATTACAAGTACCCTTCAACGTGTGGTTAAATCTCAAGCGGGTAACTGCTCTATTGTTAGACCAATTTTAGAGACAACTAATAATGCTTATCGAAGGAGGGTTCTTCCTTTCAAATCTTATACTAAACGCATTTGCCAACGCGGCGAAAAAGCATGCATACTAAGGTACCTGCTGTTTTGAGGTTTCTCACTGGAGGCTTACCGCAGTCGAAGAGGTTTATCCCTGCACCCTCCCTCGTCGCGCCAGCCCGCCGATTCTCCTTCCCTATCGTTTCCACTTTGAAAATCTATCAAATATTTGATAAAAAAACACCTTCACCCGATCCCACAAGATCCTACAGTTTCAGACAACCGGCAAAGGGAACCAGTGGCCTCTTAATTTGCCATTACAACTACCAATTCTTCCTAAGATCAAGATGGCCTTTTTTACGCCCGACGGTATCTGCCCAGCCGATCTCTATCAATTCTCGGACCAGGTGGGAGAGGTGGATAGCTACAACATCAAGCAGCTTTCCGCAGCGATCCTAGAGAAAGAAGAATTACTCCTAGACTCACGACAGCACGGGGATAGCGCAGACATCAACCCTCAAAGAGATCCTAGTGTTAATCTACGCACCGCATCGCATAAGCCGAAGAAGCGGTTAACGAAGAAGATGGCTTATAAGAAGCCGTCTTCCTCAGAAGCATTGAAACAGCCACGCGAGAACCATAACTTGGCTGAGAAGCGATACCGGAGCCGGCTGAAGAACCATTTCGAAAGTCTACTCGCTGTTTTACCAGTACCACCGTCTAAAGATAGTAATGACGACGGTAACTGCGACCATCGCTTTAGTAGAGCTGAAGTGCTAGTCTTTGCGCGAGAGCACATCGTGGCGCTCGAGGAAGGCTTTGAGGCGATGTCTAAGGAGCGGGACCGGCTACTGAGGGGTATCGCTCTAATGCACGAATTCCCACATCAATAGTGAAGAGTCACTAGCTGGCCAAGAGCTACCGTATATCTATTGCCTTGTAATATTTCTATAATGTTTCTATAATTATTTTCGGCTCTAAATCTTGTTATGCTCGGCTAACCGATGTATCCTCCCTAGGCGGTATTCATTTAGTCATAGTGATAGAACCATGATAGAGATGGCAGCTGTCCTCCCCGGTTTCAGTGGCCTCCTACGGCTTACCTGTCGTAATATGAAGACGCCATGGGTGATTCTGTGTTTGTAAATTTCAGTCGCAAACGTCTCTACTATTAATCCTCAAAAATCCGGCCCCCTCCTGCCAGCCTGTTCCTCCCGACAAAAAGAGAGGAAAAGGTCCGGCGACGAGAAGAGGTTATCCAAGAAGATGTGATAATAATATCATTGTCTGAAGTACACCGAGGCACAATTTTACCGACGTATTAACAGCTCGTTATGGAGATTCCATCTGTGTCAGGCTTCGATTTTATGTGGTCAAAGACAGCAAAACATATCCCTTTGAGCGGTACAGCCCTTCAGGAGGTCACTCGCCCCACTTTGCTTGGTCATAAGATTAGTACGTGCGGGGTACCAGAAGTTCGTAAGATATTTGCCAAGTCTGTAAGGTAGCTCTTTGTAACAATCAAAACTGCTGGGACTTTTACCATCATACAAATTAGTATTAGGGAGAAGTACCGTTAGTTTTATTCAATTTGATTGGTCCTACACCCCTGTCGTGACCCCGCTGAAGGGCTGTACCGCTCAAAGGGATATGTAAAGACTTAAAAAGCAGGAAAGTTTAGATTCAATTCTAGTACAATTGATTTGGGTCTGTAGGACTAGACAGGGTTGGCGGGGGATTTTAAGCCAATCAGCAACGCGGCCCAACTCTAAACGATATTACTCCAAAATGCCAGCCGCGTAACCCACTTTATATGGGCGATTTGACTCAAATCGCCTGCGAATAATACCAAGGGTTTATCAAGACACAATTTCGACAAGCTTATCCACTAGTAAGTATATTCACGCTGTCTTTCAGTACCCAAATCTCAGCGCAATTGGAATGGCAAAATAGAAGGCAGTAGCAAATGAGAAGAACTTGCGGCTGTCGCTAATCAGACAACTGTCTCTATGCTTTTATTCGTACAGTTCCAGACAGATCCTTAAGCATGCAGATGCGATTGTAGGTCCTCGGTTTCCGATTCATCACCAAGATTAACAATGTAGCGCTGTGCTTGACTAGAAATATACTTTTAGATGAGATGACAATCGCAGTCTGTGTGCTGCATGAGCCGCATCTTGAGGTCGGTATAATTGGAGAGTGAGATCTGCCACGCAACCTGACAGATCACGCTTGACCTCCTCCATGTCGTGTTCGTCAATTTCGAGGTGATTGGCGTATTCTCTCTTCTTGACGCGGAACTTGTAAGAAGCAACGTGCTTGCGCCTTTGTATCCTCTTGGTTATTTTACTGTCGGGATGATCCTTGGGAGATGCGGTGCTGGGCTTTTGACAAACCGCCACGGGAGAGCTTTTGATACATGGCCATTATCTTCCGCGGCTTGCTTTTACTTAGACTTGGGTTTGGCCATGGATCTTGTCTCTAGTTACTTGCTTCTTATAGAAGAAGGTTTTGACTGCTTGCGAGTCGTCTGTGGCTTGGGCTCCGCAGCTCTCTTTCGACTATAGCCATTCAGTTGAGTCGAGACGGATCGACGACGGCTAACTGCTATCGCAGGAGAGCTCTCCCTGCCACAGTTGGCGAAGGATTTGGACTATGCGTTGAAGCTCTTTATTTCTAACTGAATGACTGAAGTTAGTCTGTTTTATACTCCTTAGATCGGATTGCATTCGTCAGCTATTACGAAGTTTTCCTCGCGATCTGTTTCATCCAAGTGTTAATCCTTCTTGGTCATACAGCCCGTGTGTCAGAGCGGCCTTAGTGAGACGATGTGACACTTCCTGGTTTTAGACTGAGAGGGCGAGGAGAATGAAGGCCGTACGATGCGAGGGGAGAGGTTGTTCTAGCTGTCGTCGATCGAAGGGGTTGGCGATATAGTGTACACCTTGTGTACCACCTGGAAGACACTTGCCTGTTGCCCACCATTTGCCCGTTGGGGAGAGGAGGTCGACGAGCTGATTTGTGTTGCTTAGGTCGTTTTCGATGGTGTATATATTTGCAAGCCTGGGGTCAACCATGGTGCATGGTGGATATTCAGCTTCTAGGCAAGATATGTTAGAGCATAGCTTCTCGGCCAGAGTATCAAGATGAAGATTTGATCTTACCCATTGTAACGTTATTGATAAATGCCAACTCTCGTGTTAGCGGCTTGCTAATATGGGAGAGCTCAGTGTCTATCCCGCTGTTAGTGAAGTTGTACCAAACTACACAAGACGTAGGATAGCACTCCTGATTAATAAAATAGTGGCTACAGTCAATAAGGGATACTTAAAATGGAGAGACGAAGAGGCTAAGAGAGATCACAAGTTCTATGTGCAGTAGTCAGTATAGTTGGAACGTGGTAGAAAGCCAATATTATATGTTAGATGGTGGAAGCAGAAGTCACGACGACGAAATAGTGTATGTAGACAAGTAGGCTGCGGCCAGTAGAACGATTTACTTTGGGGCCGTGGCTATCTTTCGAGAGATTGCTGGGATGACGTGTGTGTGCCCAATGTGTGTATTGTGTGCACATGTATGTGTATGTAAGCATCGATGTCTCGTTGCTCTCCCTCGCCCTTGCGTTTATGCGCAAACTAGACCCGTAAGACACGCTTCCCCACAGTGGACCTCCCATGCAACCACCCCCCACAGGAGGCAAAACTAGCCCTTGACTGACTACCGCACCGAGGGGCGGCTTTTAGGGAGAAAAGCAGGCCTAGAATTGGGTTAGGGTGGTAGAAAAAGGGAAAAGGGGACTACGGAGATCGTGCGTCGGTAGCTGTGATTGGCCTGAAATGACGGGGTTCGCTCCAGATGGCGGTGATTGGTGGAACTGGTTCAGAACGAAGGGCACAAGACGCGCCACACACACCCGCTCCCTTACAAAATATCCCTAGTAGTTCAATCATTGATTATCGCCACACATGAACTCCGATAAATGCTCTCAGCATGATCTAATGCAGTTCCTTAGGGATTGTCTTGCGTAGTCATGACGACCCTCTTCCCGCCCCCGCATCGTCCCGCTCCCCCACTCCATCGAAATCTCCACCCACCCCTCATTTCTACCCGTGATCTATTTTGGAAAGTGGGTTTAACTGAGCATTAATACAAAATATCAAGTAGCCTGCTTTTGCTCTTTTTCACGTAGAGTGGGGTATTGATTTCTTTGCCCTCCTAAATCTCCATCACATCGTCCTTCGATTCCCTTCTCGCCCACATAACCTACCGTACTGCTCCGGGACTGATGACAGGCCCCCATCACATCCTCCCATACTCTGACCTCCTCTAGCTTACCTGACCCTTACTACCTATACCACCCTCATCCTCTGGCATATTCTATGGCTCGAATGCCTCTTCTTTTACCTCTACCTCTTACACACACTCACTTCTTTCTGTTTTTTGTTTATTACTCTATTCTCTGCCTGAGGTCTCGTCGCCCACACTCCTCGCTTGCTCTCAAGATCCAAACGGTTTCCAATCTTTGTCGCACACTCTAGTTTATCTTACTCGCGCTTCAACAGTCCAGCCATATCCTAGGGCCACTCTTCCCTCTAGGTACCTGTTTGGCGACTCTGGAAACACACTACCCCAACGTCCGAAAACATCCGGTCTTCAGCCCATGATCGCGAGCGTTTAAACACACATTTCTTCCTGGCCGGCCGCATCGCATTGACCTCTCCGTGTCGACAAAGGCATACTGCTACTGATCCTCCGGCCTAAAACACACCACCGATCCACTACGCTGACTGCAACCTGGCAATACTGCTGTCGCAGGGTGGCGTAGGTTCATCTAGCCGATATGTTTCGTCAAAGGTAAGCGAAAACGCACCCCCTATGAATCGCGCATTGGGCGAAACTCCTGATAAGCGCCTTATTACCGACTAGGGTTACAAATTTGCCAACAACCGCTATAGAACAAGCTCCCAAAAACCAGGGTATGATCTTCTCGCCAACTTCCGACAACAATTCCCAGAAGTTGCCGTGGTCAGATCCTCGACCGCAGCGCCGGGTATCTTACAGACTATTGCTGGCGAGAAGCCAATTCTACCCGCTGCTCCGTTACCCGATAGGTATGTTCATAGACCCGGTTTCTAGCCTTGTGGCCTTTCTTCCTTTCTGTCTTTTGCTAGCGATTCTTAGAATACTCGGTTGCTTCATTCATCGTACGGTTGCAGCATCACTGAACTCAGCTAATTCTTGTGTCTCACACAAAGATCGCAAGGTCTCGGTCAGGATGCCTTCCGCAACCAGGACCCGACTCCACGGGCTACCGACGAGCCTTGGAGATTCACACCTTCTCTATTAGACCCTAACTCTATGTCCTTTGCCAGCTTTGCCAATGCACCTCCTGGTTACTACACACCTACTCCGAGTAGTACTAACACACTTTTTCACCCACAAGCGGGCAACGTGCAAACCCCGACCATGGGTCTCGGCATGGGTCTCGGCACGCCGCTTTCTATGCCCAACTCAGGAGACGTGGTGCAATCCGTACCTGGCCCTGCAGTTGTTGAGATGGCCGGATTCCAACCTTTGCCAGCTCATCCGTTTCACCATTTCAACCCCTTCATCCAGGCCCCCCTTCCGCAGCAGTCCTTTGCGCCATCCACCTTTGTTCACCAGGACACCGGCTATGAGGCTATGGACTCGGAACCCTCTGAAGAGCGAATGTCCTCGATTGGCGCAACTCTCCAGAAGTTGGGTCCCATGATGGGACTTCAGACTCGCCAATTCCCCCGCACGCACATGGCACATCAACTGCCTCCTGCCGAGAAATTCCGATTCCATTGCACCCTGAACGCACCCACAGCCATGATTAAGCAGTCAGACGAGATCCCTGTCACTTATCTTAATAAAGGACACGCCTATTCTCTGTGTGTCGCTGATACCAACTCGACCTTGCTAGTTGCTCCAGGCACCAGATATCGCACATTTGTCCGCGTTTAATTCGAAGACGAACAACAGCGGCAACGGCCCGGCGTTTGTTGGGGGCTTTGGAAAGATGGGAGGGGAACTAACGAGGCGCATCAACGAGGTGGGAAATTACAGGCAGTCGAATTTGTCGAAGCCGGGCAGCCAGCGGAGGGAGACGGCAAGCGAACCTGTGTGGAGCTAGAGACGTCCTCCTTTGACGGTTTCTCTGTTATCTGGACCCCCGGTATCAACGGCTCCGCGGAGGTCAACATTGCGGTCCGCTTCAACTTTTTATCGACCGATTTTAGCCGTTCCAATGGCGTGAAGGGTATTCCAGTCCGGCTATGCGCGAAGACGAACCCGGTCCCTTGCGATTCGTCACGGCCCGCTGCCGACGCCAATCCAGAGACGTGCTTCTGCAAGGTGATGCTTTTCCGTGACCACGGTGCGGAGCGCAAACTTTCCAACGACGTGGCTCACGTTAACAAGTCAATCGACAAACTCAAGCAGCAAATCGCTCAGGCGGAAAGCGGACTCAAGGATTTCGGCAAGCGAAAACGTTCAAGTGGTGCAGCCAGGATCATTGAAGCACAAAGGCCTGGTAAGGTACAAGAACATAAGCGCACGTAGTTCATGTCATCGGCCAGCTCTGCCGGGGGAGGTGGCGGTGGAAGGCCGTCTATGGAAGAAGACCAGCACTTTAAGCTACAGACTCTCCAGTACATGTTTACCAGACCGCGGCCTGTCAGTATTCTATATCTAAGAGGCGAAGAACTTGACGACCCCGATCTCCACCCCGTCTCGCTTCCGGGAGACGTATCGCCGCTGACCAAGCCGGAGGGCCAGGATGGTTCCAACTGGCAGGCCAGGAGCGGCCACAGCTCTGTCACAGGATCGATGATTTACCCCTCACCCAGTTCGCTATCGCTGATATCGCAAACTTCTGGTATTGGCTCCGGAGGCCAGCGGCAGGGCTTTGACTCCATTGGCCCAAGTAACACGTCGCGCAAGGGATCCGAAGCACCCACGAAAGTCAGCAAGATAGAAGACGACGGCAGTCTCAACGGATGGATTGAGGCGCTCGGCGTTGACGCATCTTATCGTCCTCCCCTGGAACCCGCACCAAAACCTGTCGCATGCCTCTATATTCTACGGCGCACCCAGGGTTCGACAAGCAAGCCAGATTATCATCGGGCCATCTATCTGATGCAACGCTCGCTCAAAGAGCTGAACAACAAGATTGCGGCCAAGTGGGATCTCGACCCCTCCAAGATCCTCCGTCCCATCCACTCCATTCAGAACAGTTTGGATGTTGAGATGGATGATGATGATATCCAGGAGTTGAGAGAAGGCCAAGACATGGTTCTTGTGATTGAGGAGGTTGCCGGCAAGCCCGCAGATGTGAAGCAGGAGTGGGGAATGGCGGTTGATCCCATGAATGACTTGACTGAGCCACCAGCGAACCAACAGGTGGGCGGCTACGTCCTCCGACTTGCGTTCTAAACGTCTCGTCTTTTCTTTATCCCTCTTCTCACATTTATTCTTCCTCCTCCTCCTCCTCCTCCTCCTCCTCCTCCTCCTCCTCCTCCTCCTCCTCCTCCTCCTCCTCCTCCTCCTCCTCCTCCTCTTCTTCTTCTTCTTCTTCTCTTATACTCCCCCTTTTGCGACACGTAGCAGACGACGAACCTGAACTCTCTCAGGTTGAACTTCCGTGACACGCTCTACTAAGGGATTTGGGATTTGCTGGCTGCAAGGGGCGTTGACGATTTAACTTTTCGCGAAAGCAAATATACCACTGGTTTTCTTGTTAACGTGCATAATAAGCATGAGCACCAATAATTCTAACCCTCCTCAATTGAAATCACCAGAAAAGCACAACGGACTGTGAAATCAATTGAAATTAATCGCTAAAATCTTCTTCGGATATTGCAATAACTATCTGACATGTTCTTGCATTATGTCCTGTCTTTCCGCATCCTCCACAGCGCCTTTCCCTTGGTCGTGCCGATCCTCCTTGACCTCCACTTGTTGACGATGCGCCCTCTACCCGCCCATCTACATTCATATGATCAATTACCTCCCTTGCTTCCCTTACTGTCAGCACTCCTCCTTTTTGAAGTCTGGTTCTTTTTGCTCTCCGCCGCCGGCTTAGTGTCTCATTCGCCTTTTGAAGGTCACGGACCTGAGCTCTCAATAAGGCATTCTCATGAATTATTGCCTTTGTTCCCTTAGAGAGACACTTTAATGCTTCCAGAATTGACTCTGGAGAGCTACTTTGGTGTCTTCTAATTCGTCTATTGAGGTATTCAGACTGAGATTGGGCTTCAAGCACCGTCTTGGGCGTCTTTGAAACCCATGGGGTAGAAGGGCTGGCTTCCTCCTCAACCGGCGTTGGCGTCCGTAGCTGCACATCAAGCTTCGAAACCACACTTTCTGGGTCGAATGGAACAAGCCCAGCCCCTTTGAAAGCTGCCTTGATGTTTCTTTCCGTCATAGTGGCCTGAAATGCGGCGTAAAAGGCGGGAAAGAATTCGGTCTTGGAAACGTGGGTTATGGAGCATCGGATCAGATGCTCGATTTCTCGACCATAAGCCTTCTTGAGCACCCCAAAGCACCCAATATCAAGAGGCTGAAGCAGATGAGACGAATGGGGCGGCATACACAGTGTTGTGATCTTGTTTTCCTGGCAATATCTCTCAAAGTCGACAGAGTGGTGACTTTCGTGCCCATCAAGGATTAGAAGACGATAGGGCCCAGTAGATCGATTGGCTGTATACCGATTAAAGTGCTTCAGCCACTCAAGGCCTAGCTCATTATCGGTCCAGCCATTGGGAGATGTTGCAATAGCCCAATCGTCCGGGAGGTTGTTCTCTCGGTACCAGTTGGCGAGGTGATACTGGCCCGCACCAATGATGAACGGCGGGATCGCTCGACCTTCCGCATTGATCCCCTGGATGACAGTAATCCATTCCCGATTTCCAGGCTGCACTGATTTTGGTCTTGTACGTCTTTCTGAGCCTGTGACGACCATTCCACTTGCAATGACGCCCATCATAAAGCCAGTCTCGTCAAAGTTGTAGATATCAGCCAGGTCAATACCATAATTTGCGATTGTGTTCTTTACAAGCCTGAACCAATTTCGAATGACAGTGGGGTCTTCGCATTTGGCTCTCTGGTAGTTATATGTACGAAAATAGCGCGTCTTAAGCTCCTTGTGCCGCTTGATGAAGTTGGAAGCCCAGCGCTTGCCGACCGGTGGCGCGTCGCGGTCGGCGAGCAGTCGGTTGGCCATTTCTTCCACACCACGCAATCGCGGGGGAAATCCTCGCGAATCTAGGTCGAGAATGAACCGAACTATGATCTGTTCCTCTAGATTAGATAGCTTACGTGATTTAGGGATCCAATCGCGTCGAGATTGAATGCCATTGTGCCGGCGACGTAAGGCATAATAGTTGACCTTGTAGAGTCTTGCAGTAGGTTGGAGCTTTAAATTTAGGTCAGTTTGAAGGGCACGAAGTGCCAGAAGCATATCACCCTTGGAATACTGGCGAACATCTTTTTCGTTGTGAATCAATTGATCAAATAAAGAATTGTAAGGTTGAGGGATTTTTGGTGCACATACTTGTTTGGTGCACATGCTTATCATGCACGTTATCATTTTTTTAATTAATTTAGCATAAAAATCATCTGTTGGCTATAGAATGTGTCATGCGTGCTAAGTGAGCTTGTCACAAGGACTTTACTGAATCCATCGATCGTCATCAAGATGACTGACAAAACTTGACAGACCAATGTGAAAATACATAGCTCTGTAAGACAACCATATTGCCCTCATTCAAATCACACTCGTTGCTTATCAGCGACGGTGGCGCGACTTGGAGCGATGGGAAATGCCACCAGCAGCAACCTGTGCAGAGGCAAAGTCGACACCTTTTTGTCTTATGTTCTGCCTGGCAGTTCCTCGATGCTTCTGACCTATCCAGCCGTCAACGAGTGCGGCACCCAATGCAGCAGTAGCAACTTTGGCACCCTTGGCACCCAGCCAGGGCGCGGGATCATCTTGGGACTTTATTGCAGCCTGGACACCAGCGGTAAATGCCGTACGACAGCCAGACTGGACATAAGGGTTCTGCCACCAGTTCATCTTTGCTTTTGTACTGGCAGGCATGGAGCTTCGACGCGACTTGTCAGCTCTGGGCCTTTGTGTAGTTGGCGGGCGGCCACGAGAAGGAGAGCGGCCTCCTCGATCCCGCCCGTGGTCTCGCTCTTGGGAGCGGGCTCGCTGGCGACGGCCATCACCATAATTGTCATCGTCAAAATCAGAATAATATGTAGCGCGACCTCGTTGCCGCGGCTCCGGCGATGAATCCTGTGCTGCACTGCGATGGTGAGAAGGCGGGTCGCCGTGAAGATCGCGAAGTTTGGGCTTTTTTTCATGAGGGTCGTCGGGGTAATCGGGATAGTTCCGAGAAGATTTACGACCATAGGGACCCCGATTATAGGGGTCCCTCGAGCGGGGAACTTGACTGGACATGCCAGCCATGCGTGGATTTTCATTATAATCCTCTACCATTCGAGGACGCTCGTATGCATCAGCTTTGCGGGAACGATGTTCGGGTTGTGGCTTGCGCCCGGTGCGAGTTTCACTGTCTAACGATGGAGCTCGACCTGACCGTGGTGATTTGGATTTGCGGCGACGAGAGCCTACGTGTAGATCGATAGGCGGTGCGCTTAGGCTCTTTCTTCGGCGATCTGGTCCCCCGCTTCGTCCGCGACGATCTGGTTCATGTCGGCGTTGATACGACTCAAATTGACGAGGGTCATTGTACGGGTCTTTAGGATAACGAGATTGGTCAGGAAGTGGGCGCCGCCTCTCTGACTTGTGGCATCGAGGCGGGGGCAGACTCAGTGAATGAAGACGGGGATGCCCACGACTCTGGGGAGGAAATGCGTCGTGATCGCCGTACGGATCGTAAGGGTCGCGGTTGTAACTTAATTCGTCATCAAACTTCGCCTGACACGGACGCCTTTGGGAGCGCTGTTGTGTCATAGAGAGAGTGTGTGTGTAATGGGTGATAGGTGATGGGCGATGAGGCGGACACGACTGAGGGTAATAAAGGTTGGTTGGTATCTGGCCAGGTATACTGATAGGTAATCTGGATAGGTAGGTAGGGTTTGGTCTTAAGAATCGTTTGCTTTCACAGATAAGATAAAAGAGGAGGAGCTAGGTCATGAGTGCGTTGGCTTTAGAATCAACAGTAGCAGGAGGATTGAATTAGAAAGCAAGCTAGAGTAGAGTGGCTAGTAGTCTCAGTGATCGACAAAAGGTAAGGGACGAGGCAAAGTCCGAGGGGAAATAAAAGGATGAAATATGAAGAAGTCTTTATGTATTTGAGTCCTAAGACAGGGAAGGGGGTGGGCAAATTCGTAACACATGGTAAAGTAAGCTATGGTTGTGTCAAGTGAAGAGAGTGGCAAGTAAAATGGGAGCCAAGATGCAAAAATCATCATAAACTAAAGGAGACCTTCTAGTCATGGCTTTCAACCGGGCCTCAAGCAACCTACTTCATTAACTTGGAGCAAGAGCGAGCTGACATCGTTGGGAGTGGAAAAGGTTTGATTCTGAGTAAGGACTCTTTCTACCTACAAAGTGCGGTACAGCACAGTAGTGTGTCTTCTTTGAGGGTGTTTTGCTCATTGTGGCGGGGTTACCATTCAGCGCATGACGTCAGGGCCACAAGACCCTGCGTCGTAACATCGAGCCTCCGCTCATGATGATGATGTTGACCGATAATAAACGTCATTCTATATTCACCAAATGCGCTTTGACGCCATGTTTCTCCCATCTATCGTCTAAGAGGCCTCCCTTCCATAATGATCCGAGGAACGTTTTCTCTTCTGACTGACTCACACTGTCTCAAGTGTTTGGGACCGACCTCGTGCCGCAGGGACATTGACGCCCCGTAAAGTGGAACTGATCCGTTTGCATCTGTTGGCAGGGACTCACCAGGTCCAGAACCACCAGTCAACCATAAGTTATTAAGTGACATAACTTACCATGTTAACTAGATAAAAGTTGATGTATGATGAACCGCTGAATCAAATCTGTCCATTTCATCAGTGTCGTATGAGCTTTCCGTTTATGGCCGGAAACCAACAGGGTGGTCAACCAGGCTACTTCGGACATTCGATGTATTGTTCTACCCCCACGGGTGAAATCTAAACCGAACTTGTACAAATCAGTGCCGCCTTGTGAGATGGTCTCTAGAACTAAGAAACGGGGGACGGAGCGGGACATCAAGATGATTCGAGACACTTATCGTCTGGCAGTCTAAGATAACACACTAGTATCGGAGCTTTCGTTGCGGAACTGTCCGATAACGCTGCTTGCTTGCCTGCATGTCCATTCTTGTTTAATTACAAAAGTTGCGAGCGCGATAACTAGGTAACATACTCCACAAGCGAGCGTCACAAACAAGGGGAGTGTTATAAAAATCCCTCTATCTCTCTTCTCTTCAATTAATCAATTAATTCTCAACCACCAAAGATGTCGCGGTTAAACAATAAGGCAAATATTCTTCTTGCGCTTCGTGCGCTTCAAAATAACCCAAAAATACATATCCGACGTGCCGCCTCCATATACCAAGTCTGTTACCAAAAGCTCGGTCGTCGCCAGAAGGGCATACAGTCTTAACGCAATACCTTCCCTAAGTCACGCAAGCTATGAAATCTTTTGGAACAGAACACTATTCAGTTCGTCCCCAATTTTTCCATGTTCTCAAGGTTTCAATCAGTATAGTCGGTGTTAAATTTTCTCTTATTATGGCTTTCCAATCAGTGTTGTTGGATCACGCAGGGATGCTGAGTGCAATTGACAACAGACAGTTGTTATTAGCTCCTTGCAGTCGAAGGACCTTTGAGGCCTTACATCTTCGACTGATTCCTTCTAGGACTTGAGTCCTAGAGTCCTGGATGACAGTCCTACAATCTGGGTTTTAGGATATCAAAGTTTAACTTAACTTTAATCCTGAACCTTGATCCTGAAGTTGAGGGCTTGAAAACTCTGGCAGTGAACATGGCCTTGACATTCCGGAACGTGGTCATGACGAGGATTATTGCCCTTCTTCGTCAATAGGTTCAGGGATGTGATTCTGGGGACGATTCCGAAGATGGCACGCCTCGCCGCAATCGTCGAAGAGTATCCAGGTCCCTCATCGCAGTACACCAGTCAGCGCCCAGCGCCCTCACCAAAGGCGCTCGACAAGACGTACTACACAATTACCGGAAGACCGTCAAAGATCATCATGCGCGATGGAGCACCCCACACCATCACAGACGACGTCGGTACCTCCCGAAGCACACGCACTCCTCGCTCAGTTCGAAGAATGGCCTTTGCAGGGCACTTCGTTGAAGCGCATTACTGAAGGTAGCATAACAACGTTCCAGTTGCAGTTTGAATGGACCCCTTATCCAGGGCAGCAATGTGCCGCCGGCAGACGGCGTTCTCAGCGCCGAAGATCTCATACGGCTTCGCTTCCAGAAACAAGATCATCTGGTGGCAAGTGGACAGCAGAGGAGGATGCTGGGCTGAGCTAGACGAGGCGCCCTAAGATAACAATCCAACACCCGCTTCACAGCCAAAAAGAACTTTTCGAAGGCGAAGAAAAAAGAAAGACGGTCACATTGCATTTGAGGCTCCTCAAGGTGGCATTAATAGCTCTGAGGCCGGCGCTCTTTCGTTATCTGACGTAGCTAGCCCCGTCACGGAGTAGGTGGGAGTGTTCTAACTCATATTGCCGAAACGTTTATGGCTTAGCCAGTCCTTAATAGTTTAAGTGGTTGGCATGATCCGTCATTTACATACAGGACAGGTGTCGTGGCGCCCGAAGAACCATTCACCGAAGCAAGTTGAGTGAAAGACGTGGCCGCATTGTAAATGACGGATTATGTCATCCTCCAGCGTTGGCCCCAAACAGATTGTACTGAGAAGTAGTCAGAAAATCGGATTGACGTGGTAATAGACTTGTGTGCTTACCAGGCATTAAAACCGGATACGATGTCCGCCACATGATTCGTTTCGGCCTTCCCCTGCCTGTAAGCTCGTACAAGGGCAGTTTGGTCTAGTATCGCCGGCTCAAAAATATCGCCGCTGATCAACTCAGACCTACTGCCGGGTCTTAAGAGCCAAGAGGTTGATGCACCTCAGTATATTACTACAGAGATTATGAGGTTGGAGGACAAACAGCACATGAAATGCTAGTGCTAGTGCTAGGGTGAAGATGGCGAGGATGATGGCTGCAAATGGCAAGTCCGTGGCTGGAGGCGAGTGATCACCAGCCTGGTCGGACGTGACTGTAGGATTAACGACTATCATGGTGAAGAGGGCTAGGCCGATTGTATGAGAAGATCAAATTCTACATGCAATAATCTAATAGGGTGTTCATTTAGACAGATTATATAACGTGCATTATAAGCGAATGTCGCACTCCACAACGCCAACGTGACCACGGGTAATCAACCTCGTTTCTCTTTACAACTTAAGATGACCCAGAAAAATGATGAAAGTCAAATAATGTCAGCCCTCGGGGCTTTAAAAAACGACGCAAATCTTAGCGCCCGAGCAGCCGCCATGATCTACTCCGTGGATCCCAGGAAGCTTCAATGACGCGAACGTGGCATGCCATCTAGACGCGATATTGCGGCCAATTCAGGAAGCTCACGGATCCAGAAGAGAGAGACATTGTGCAATATGTTCTTGACTTGGATTCGCGATCATTTCCTCCCCGTCTTCATGATGTGGAAGATATGGCTAATAAACTGCTCGCTGACCGCGACGCGCCTCCCGTCGGCAAGCGCTGGGCTTCTAACTTTATCAAGCGGCAACCAGAGCTAAAGACGCGTCGTTTTCGGAGATATGACTATAAATGAGCCAAATGCGAAGATCCAGAGGTTATTCGGGGCTGGCTCGCGCTCGTGGAGAATACAATTGCCAAATATGGCATTGACGCGTCAGACATCTACAACTTTGATGAGACTGGCTTTATAATGGGCGTTATCTTAACAGGTATGGTTGTTACAAGTGCAGAAAAAAATTCCAACGCAAAATTGGCCCAGCATGGAAACCGGGAATGGGTTACGGTGATCCAGGGCGTCAGTTCAGAGGGTTGGTGCGTGCCACCGTTCGTTGTTGTTGCGGGCAAAAATCACCTCTCGAACTGGTATCAAGATAGCCCGCTTCCGCAAGATTGGGTCATCGCCACGACCGATAACGGTTGGACAACAAACGAAATTGGCATAGAATGGATAAAACATTTCGACAAGCACTCCAAGTCGCGAATTACGGGTGATTATCGCCTCCTCATCCTAGATCGTCATGAAAGTCACCACTCGGCAGACTTTGAGGTTTACTGCAAGGAAAACAAGATCATAACTCTCTGTATGCCTGCTCACTCATCCCATATACTTCAGCCTCTCGATGTTGGATGTTTTAGTCCGCTCAAGCAAGCATTCGGTCGACAAATCGAGAAGAAGATGAGGGCGGGTACAAGCCATATCAGCAAGGAGGACTTCTTTCCCGCATTTTACGCAGCATTCCAAGAATCTATGACAGAGAAAAACATCCGGGGAGGCTTCCGAGGGGCAGGTCTTGCGCCTTTGAACCCGGAAAGCGTGATTTCTAAGCTTGATGTGAAGCTACAGACGCCGACACCAATTGTAGGGGTCGACGAGTTGCCGGTACCTTGCGAATCGAAGATGCCAAACAATCCGATTGAGGCGACTTCACAATCAGACTTTATTAAGAATCGAATCTCTATATATCAAGGAAGCTTTCCAACATCTATTTTGGATGCTGTAGATCAATTTGCTAAAGGAGCACGGGGAATTATGCATCAGATCGCCCTGTTGAAGTCGGAAGTGCAGATCCTTCGAGAGGAGAATGAGACACTTAGCCGGCGTCAAAATGTCAAGAAGAAACGTTTGAGGCAAGGAGGAAGACTAACGCTCCGTCAGGGTCAAGATATGCAGGGCCAAAATGATGTTGATGTGCAGCTACAAGAAGAAAGTCGCGGAAATGGGCGTCGCAAGCGGAAGGCAAGGACAGAACAACGACGATGTGGTGTCTGCGGCAGGGCAGGACATAACGCAAGAAGTTGCCAGATAGAAGTAGCAGTGTCTTAAGAATTACACCATAGTAAATTTGAGTCGATTGATGATGTTTTGGTTCATTTTGCAGGGTAGGGAATCATGAGGGTGCGACTCGGTGCGACATTCGCTTGTCTGTGACACTCGCTTATCCAGCGCTCATCATATGTCAATCAAATCAACTTTGGCCCCGAAGTTGATTTGATTGACAGCCCTCGAGCTCAAAGTTGATTTGATTGATTTGATTGATACCCTTTTCAATTCCGTGAGTGGAGACCCCTACCCGAAGTCATCCCCCTCGTGTACACCAACACTCAGCTACCCACCCAACTACCTAACCTTACTCCACCCTGCCTGACCCAGTTCTTGAGGCATTGAACATGTTCCAATGTATCTGCGCCCATCGAGAGCCTCTGAGAAGTCAATGTCAGCTTCGCTAGGCTGAATTGTCTCTCACAATCGCTCGCCATCGCTGGAATAGCAAAGACATCCAGGGCAAAGCTGCTCAGTGAAGGAAACGAGGCCCTGTGGTCTCTCCACCATTCAATAGCATCCTGTGTATCCTGTGGCTCGAGACGGAGATACTTTTCGAGCTCGCCGACACTGCCACCCGTCGCAAACGCTTTCTTTGTTTTGCTATTGATCCACTGAGTGTACTGATCATCCTCTTGACCCATCGTCCTTGGCGCTGCGTCGTACTTCGTTGTTTCTCGCACAGTCCCTGGTTCGCGTCGTACCAACGGGTGAAGCAATCCTTGATTCCAGCCTTGGCATCACGAACCCAAGCGAGTTGCTCCTCAGACACCCAAGTCGCCTCTAACCAGCTGATCCCGAACCTCGGGTGAAGAATGATTGCTGCCGCAAACAAGGGAGATTCTCCGAGCTTGTCATAATACTCATTCAGCTTCTTCCACCCGTTGTTGATTGATGCCCGGATGTAGGCTCGATGGTCCGCTGGTAATGTGCTCTTTTGCGACGCCTCGGACGCTGATCGTTTCTCCGCCGTAGAATAATCAGCCCGAGAATGCAACGGTAAGGAAGATCCTACGAATCTCGGAGGTTGACTCTGCTGTGGTAGCGCGTAAACCTCATCCTCCTCAAAGCGGGCAGGGAGACGGCGAACGCGGCTTGGCCGACCGTTGGACTCTCGGAAATTTGCTGACGCCGTTGCAATCCGCTCCGCAGCATTTACTTGAGTTTCTCCCATCGTCTCCTCCGTAACCTCACTATAGATCCTCAAAATGCTCCAACAGATATTCCATTCCTCTCAGCACCTCCCACAGGCGTCCATGGCTGTCACCTTTACCCCAGCCTTGCGTCCGCATCGTCTGAAGGTATATGGGTTTGAGAATCTCGTTGACTTCGCCAAGAACCCGCCAGTCTTCGCTGGACAATATGTCCTCCGCCGGGATCCGTCTTGCCCCGTCTTCCTCTTCTTGAGTTGCAAAGATAAATGCTCTGATATCTGTCTGCTTTCGCAAAGCCCTCTCAATCATCATGTAAGTGGAGCTCCACCGCGTTTCGTTGCTCATGACAACCTCGAGCTCGGCCGTGGATTCCTCGCAGAGCCAGTATTCCTCGTGATCCTGCTCCCGGGCAACTCGCTTGAACTGTTCACTCCGCTGCGGCGATGAACGGATAAACTTGACAATGTTGCGGAGCTTCCCAATAGGTCCCTTCGTGCGCCAATGATCCGGGTCCTGCTCAACAAGACCGCGCATGCCGTTGATGTCAGACTCCAGCTCGAATGACTCGGCGTCTTTGCCAAAGAGAAAGGCACGGGCGACGAGATTGAGCGTGTGCCCATAGCATCGCATCCGGCGGGCTTTGATATCAACAGGTCTCATCGATGGATCGAGCCGCTGGTACATATAGTACAGGCAAGTATCATTTGCCGTCATGTTATCAGAGATGGCACAGCCAATGCGCCCCTCAACCTCCCATTCGTGGACGATGTCGATCAGAGAACCGGCGAGGTTCTCGCCGCTATAAGCACCAAATTGACGACGCAGAGCCAGCAGACGGGATTGCTGATGACCCAGTTGATCGATAAAGTGCGCAAATACAGTCATGATTGCAAAGCGATTCGGTGACGTCTAGAGATCGAAGCTAATGTGCACCGCTGTCAAGGCGTTGCGGAGCTCTGCTTTGATGGTATCCCGCTTCGCTTCAAAGAGTCGATGTATCTCTCTAGTGACAGGACTACCACTCCAGGCCATCTGGAGTTCTAAATCACTGTCGAAATGGTTGAAGATCTTCCGAAGGAAGCTGTGCTCGAAGACGGTGAATGGCACATCGCTATCAATGACGAAGCCGACGCTTAGTTCTTGGATGGCTTTTATTTTCGCCCTTGGTATGGCGCTCTGTTCAAGCCGGCGCCTTTTCGGTGTTGCACCAGAATAAATATCAATGACACCTTCATCACCAGGGCTTGACTCGCCAGACTGGCTAGCTGGGGTGATCCGGTGAGCTCTACGCAGGTCTGTCAGCTGCGGGATATCGTGTCAATGAGATTGAACGGGATAAGCACAGACTTTCGAAGATGGTCCGATGCGGAAGACGTGGCTTGCACCGAAAAGAACTCCGCTGCGCCTTTCATGTCACATCGATTGCAGCACCAGACGTGACCTATCGGTAGATCCTGATAGTTCAGCTCGACTAGGAAGGTCCCGTGCTAATCCAGCTCTTCCTGCCCTTTGCACCTTTTCGAGCTAACAATCCTCCTGGACGAAGCAACGGTTCTTCCAGGTAATCTTGGGCAGGTTCTCAATGGTCGGGTTGGGAGGTAAAGCTCCAACGGCTGCTTCTTCCAACTGCTTGGCGACCGTTTTAGGCTGAGACAATCGTGAGAAGACGGAAGAAGGAGGTGTAGGGCAAGGTGTCAATATTGTTGGCGGAAAGCCAGCTGGCGACGGGGAGAGTGGCGAGTTCGACATCCTACTGGTGAAATGGAATAAAAACCTCGTGTAGAAGGGATTATTTTGATGGCGCGACATGGTTGGAAAACGCGTTCCACATTGCATACGCGCGGTGGGGTCATGCGTTAGATCACGATAGCAGATACTTAGCTTTGCCGCTGATCCCCCCGCTATTTAAGAGTGGACTTCCATCTGCGACTATCTAGTGTAGGGTAGTGGCTCGGGAAGATCTGAATTTTCCCTCGAGATTAGACGATCATATGACGCATATGTAATATGTCAATTATTTCAACTTTAGAAATGTGTGATTTGATTTGATTGAAAGGAAGAATTCGACGATTTGATTGATTTGATTGATTTGACATATGATGAGCGCTGGGAGTGGCCGATCTGCCTAACAACAACTTGATACTAATATAGTTTGCAGGGTAAAGCGTGTCACCTCACGATTGAGGAAAGGCGGTCAATAGGCGGACGGGTACCCGTCCTTCTAAAATGGGACGGGTCCCGTCCTAATTGCCATATTCGGTCTAGCTCTCTCCGCTATCGGATTGCCTCTGCCGTATTATTTCAAGTGGTTTTGCTTGAGGTCCCATTAACCAGCTATTTCAACAAACCACTAGCTTGAGGTGAAATAGCCACGACATATCTGAGTTCCAAACTTACTCCAAATTCTACTAGAGCTAGAGCTGTATCACAATACAGCTTTCTTCCTCTTCCACGGCAGAGTACAAGGCTTCTTGTTTATCGATATCCTGCTAGGCTATTTCCCAAAGCTCACCGATGCCTCTTCTGCTTGTGAACAGTCGCCCGTTCTCGGTCTCTCGAGCTACTTATGCTTCGATGCAATCAGGCTCTGCTTTGTCCCAGTTTGAATAAGCCACCTTCTATTATTTAGTCTATTCTCTTAGGCTCATTGAGGTTGCGCAGCACCTCCCCATCTGCTTATAATCAAGACACCAGCTGTAGATTGCTTTTGGATATGCTAAAGGCAGGCCCATTGCTTTTCCATACTGGCGGTTACCTAGTGAGGTTCCCGGTGGCTGGGCCTTATACCAATCATCTCTTGACGTGACGTATCTCTGGTGGATTGCTCGTGGATCATCGTACCTCAGCCGCGTTGTTGAATCTGGAACTGGATCTTGCAAGTGTAAGGGTGATGATACTGACGGCAGAGACCCAAACAACTCAACGTAATCAACTCGTTGATCAACTCGTTGATCAACGGCCAACTCAACCAACTCAATGGAGGACTTTATTAGTAAGCTGCCCAACTCAATATTACCTTGAAATTGATGGATCTCGTTGATTTCGTTGATATAAAGTGGGTCTACTAGCCACCGTTAGTGACTGTAACTGCGGATTGGTATAAATCCTAACAGCGACCCGTAACTAAGGCTATGTGTGGCTTGTAAAATCACGTGCCAAAAGTCTGACAACACCAAGCCCGTCTACCCCGCTTCGGTCGGCATCACTAAACAACATCAATTACTTTAATAATAAGAATTATATACTTAATGGCTTCTGAACAACGCGATTTTGGTACCGAAATAAGCGGAAATCGCCAAAGAAATCATGAATTTACTCCTGAGCAAAGAGCAGCTATGGTGGCGGAGGTATATGCCGGCAAATCAATGAGACAAGTTGCAGCCTCCTACTCCACTGATCCCGGGACAGTCTCCCGGACAGTCAAACGGTGGAAAGAACACCACAACAACGTCTCTAGACCACGAAAAGGGCGTCCTAGGAAACTCAGCGCGCTGGAGATTATAAGGATTAACTCATTTATTAAACGGAACCGCTCAATTACTTGGAATGAAGCTTTATTGGAGCTTGGTGTTGAAGTATCAGCCCGGACACTACGTCGTCGGTTAGAGCGATATTGGCGGCGCAAATGGAGGTCAAAGAAGAGGATTAAACTGTCAAAATACGATGCAAAAGCACGGCTACAACATGCGCGTTTTTGGATTCATCGTATCGACGAATATTTGCTAGTAAAATGCCGTTAAAATCCACCCCTTTCAACGCTAACTTTCTCAAAGATCTGCTTTACAGACGAAGTCACGGTCTCGAATGCGCCGAATAATCCTGACGGCTGGGTCTTTCGCCGGCCTGATGAGAAATACCGTACGGACCTAGTTAATGTCCAGCAGCATATTAAACCGACTATTTCCATTATGTTCTGGGGAGCTATCGCTAGAGACAAGCAGTCTTATCTTATTCCTATGACGAGAGATATTACAGCAAATAAGAAGGGATATTCAAGCTGGTCTTATTATAAAGCCCTGACGGAAGGTCTTCTTCCTTTTATCGATGAATTTGAGCAATTTCAGCAAGATAACGCCCGGATTCATATCGCAAAACAGTCAATGGATTGGCTGCTGTTACATGGGATTATTCCCATTAATTGGCCGTCTCATTCGCCTGATTTAAACCCTATTGAACACATCTGGAAAGCTTTGAAAGCCAAGCTTCGTCGGATACACCCTGAATTCATAAGATTGAAGAATAACAAGGCCGATAGAGCCAAGTTGATCAGATGGTGCCAAGAGGCGTGGGCAGCCTTGCCTCCCCACCTGATTTTGAAGCTGACGACTTCGGTGCAAAATCGACTTCGTGCAGTCATTCGGGCACGGGGATGGTATACAAAATATTGAAGCCCTGATTCAGGGCTATTGATTGATATACTTTACGATTAAATTAAATGAATATTCGTATTGCAATTGCTGTTTATGCAGTTGGTGTTGTAATAAGGGTGATTGGAAGTGGGGCTGGTGTTGTCAGACTTTTGTCCTAAAATTTTACGTATGGCAGATCACCTAATTTCCCTGGCCGCCACCTCCTTTTAGCCTCTGTTCTGCCCTCAATTCTGCTTCCAACTTCCACATCGATTTCAACAGCTACACCGATTGCATTGTGTAACTAGTTCAGGATGAGTATTTTGTCAGATTCTGACGCCATCACTGCTGTTGACGATGATGGAAATTTTAGGTCGTCTCCAGCGCCTTCTACAGCTTTCACGCCATTCTCGCCAGCGCGACGTTCTAAGTCCACCTCGCCAGATTCCACTACCAAAGAGCGACAATATGAAGAATCTCTTTGGCGCCATTTCCCCGGGTTCACGTGGTCTCAAAGGGTTAGAGATACTAATTCCTGGGCCTGGGAGTATGGGTACGATATCCAGAAAGGCAACGACAGGAAGTGGGTTTGCAAAATTTGCATCCGCAAGAACACTCTTAAGCCAAAGACCTTCACATCAACGGGCATCCAAAATACCCTAAACCACCTCTATGACGATCACAGGATTTGTGCGCCTGAAGGGAAGACGAAATCAGCCTCGCAGCTAAGAGCAGAGGGCCGGAAGGCCAAGGGACAGTCATCCATCGCCGAGTTGATGAAGCTTGATACCAATAAGCCTAGAGAACAAGCAATTGCGAATGGCTTCATCAAGAACTTCGACAAGAAGCATTTCCAACGACTTCTAATGGAATGGATCGTGGAGGCCAACCTCTCGTTCGAAACGGCAGAACACGACAAGCTCAGGAAGATTTTCGCATATCTGAACCCTTGCGTGAAGCTCTGTGACGCCAATCTTTCCGCAACCTCTATTCGCAGGAAAATCGTGGCATCATACGAACAGCACAAGACGAAGGTTATGGAGGTCCTCCAGAGCTCTCCCGGCCTAATTCACGTCTCTTTTGATGGCTGGAGGTCCGGAAATCGGCACGCGTTATATGGAATTATGTGCTTCTTCCAAGACGAGAAAAACAAGCCCCGCAAAATCGTCCTTGGAGTACCCGAGGTCTCTACCCGCCATTCTGGCACAAATATTGCAGCAGAAGTCCTCGAGATTATCGATTCATATGGTATAAAGAATAAGATCGGGTATTTCACGCTTGATAACGCCGAAAACAACGATTCAGCAATGGCTGTGATCGGAGGAGAGTTGGGCTTCGATGGACGCAAGCGCAGAGGTCGATGCTTTGGCCACATACTCAACCTCTCTGCCAAAGCATTGCTTTTTGGCTCCAATCCAGAGGCATTTGAGAATCAGCTTTCCGGCGCAGCAGCGTTATCTGAAACTGAACACGATCTTTGGAGGAGGAGAGGGCCAGTCGGGAAGCTCCACAACCTCGTTGTTGACATCGACAGATCTGATGTGCTGAGTTACCTTCTTCGAGGTGTTCAGCAGGCTGATATGGACCAATCTATCGATCCGAGAGTTCGAGCGAGGAAGCCTCTGAACATCGTCGTCGATAACGATACCAGATGGCTGTCCCAGCTCTACATGATCCGCCGCGCGATCAAACTCCGTCCTTACCTCGATGTGATGATTCTTAAACACAAACAGGCTTGGGAGCAGGACAATAGGTCGAAAAGGACGGGCCTGATGAGGAGGTCGGCTGTTCAACCGCGAATTTGCCTATCCGAAAATCAGCTTTCAAACAAGGATTGGGACGTCCTCGAACACCTCGCCACGATTCTTGGATTCTACGAGGTCACCGTCAAAACCCTTGAGGGAGACGGTATTCAACGCAAACGGAAGAGAGGGTGGGTCGGCTCGTACGGAAATATCTGGGATGTCATCCAAGGCTTCGAATTCCTAATGGCAAAACTGGAGGAGTACAAAGCATTCGCGGCGGATTATCCTGATCCCGAACACTTCAGGATCAACATCAACCTAGGGTGGCAGAAGCTCAACAATTACTACACAATTCTCGACGAGACACCAATATATTACGTGGCGTTGGCTCTCCACCCTGCGTATCGATGGGGTTGGTTCGAAGAACACTGGGGAAAACATCCGGATTGGATCGCAACTGCGAAAGAGATGGTTCAGGAGGTATGGGAGACCGAATATCGCAACCTCGAGGTGGTATTGAGCCCAGGAAATGAGCCCGTTGCTAAACGGCGAAGGAAGTACCAAAATGCCTTCGAGGAATACTGCGAACAGTCACGATACGAGCCATCAAGCCGGTTATCGACGCCTACGACCACGCCAGCGAGGATGAGGTCTTCTGCGACTTCTG